TATAAAACACATATATATTATGTCAAAACAAACTTTTATTTTGGATGTGAGTAATCGCGATTTATCTTTGCCCAGCACCGTACTCAAAAAAAAAAAGATTCATTTGATTAACTAAATTTTTTTAAGGTAAGTGGTTGCAAACAATGTATATGGGCAGAATTTAAACAAAATAATTAAATTAAGAAATGTCCAACCTAATTTCTTTTTTTGAATTTAGCCAATATAAATTGTTTCGTTTCAACCACTTACCTTAAAGAAATTTAGTAAATCCAATTAATTTTTTTTTTCAGTGTAAATACATTAACATTAACCAATACAACCTTATTGTAAAATGTTACTGATACTGACTAAAAGACTAATAATGTAAGTTAGATGTATGCTCACTGATCTAAAATCAGTGCTTTATTTACAGTTTTTAGTCTTTACCGTGAAGTAAGTGCCTTTGTTGTCAACTCCTCCAATGACTATATCAGCTCCAGTCATTCCTCCATTAGGGCTCAAGCCGAAACTGATCCAGCCGCTGGTGTTGACAGAGAGCTGGAATAAGATGGTGCCCTGGATCTTATCAAATCCCCACTTCAGCTGCACATTGTGCTCAAGGTCCAAGTGTTCAGAGAAAGGCAGAAGAGGGTCTTCCTGAGCCCAGAACTGCTGGACGGAAAGCAAAAACAGGACGAGAGACAAAACACTCATGTTACCTTTTAAACAGGTGCCCATGAAAACTGCTGTGCGGTGTCTTTATCAGCTCTGTTTATACTGTAAGGCGTCCGTAGCCTGCTCACCTGAATCACAATTCTCCTCCTCTTTAGCTTCAAGTTACCTGAAAACAACAAGAGAGCTTGTGGTCGGCTAACTTTCAAGTTCTTTAGAAATTAAGAACATTATATACTAGATGTGACTCTTTGTTGAATTAATGGTTACTTTGGAAGCAGACAGAATTGCTGTGCTTACAGTAGCATTTGATGATGTGGCAGAGATTTATTACTTAGCCATTTATTGGTGATGTTACGAAACTTAAAGCAAATATATCTGCTGTTGTCATTTCAGTAATCTCAGATCAAAGCAAATGAGCAACAGTTGAGAAGAGATTTATGCCATATAGAGCATATGAAAAGCTGATCAAAAAATGTATGCTGAATTGAAAGAAATCTTTAAAGAATTTTACTGTGTGTGAGAGAAAGAGAGAGTGTATGTGTGTAATTTCTGATAACTACAGCAGACAATTTAAAGCTTTAACTCAAATAAAACAGGACTATACATAAAAAAGTAAATTTATTTTCAGTTATGCTTTTTTAAAAACTTATTTCCACTAACTTTTCATTAGAGACAAAGATCGCCTTCAAAACATAGTCAAGACTTGCTCCAAAATTATTGGTTTGCCTCTGCGGAGGTCAGTAGAGTTACATCAACAGCAAATGATCACCCTGCAGTCCAAGACCAAATACTCACTGAAGCTAAACAGGCCTTAGCCAGGTCAGGACCTGGATGGGAGATCACATGGAAAAACTAGCTTGCTGTTGGAAGTGGTGTTTCGGGCGCTCAACCTGCAGTCTGTGTGAGTCCTAATGCCCCAGTAAAAGTGAAGGGGACACTATATTGTCAGTGGGTGCCTTCTTTCAGATGAGACATCCTGACACTCTGTGGTCATTACAAATCCCATGGCACTTCATGTAAAGAGTAAGGGTGTAACCCCGGTGTCCTGGCCAAATTCCCTCTCGGCCCTTAACCATCATGGCCTCCCAATCATCCCCATCCACCGAATTGGCTGTGTTACTGTCTTTAAACTCCACCTATAGCTGGTTTTTGGTTAGTGCACTGGCACCATTGTCCTGTGGCTGCCGTCACATCATCCAAGTGGCTGCTGCACACTGGTGACTGGTGATGATTGTTAAGCGTTTTGGGTGTATGGCCATACACAATACATGTGCTATATAAATAAACTTTACATTACATTACAAATGATAAGGACAACTCAACGTGTGATAGGAGATGATTCCCATCCTCTGAAGCCTTTTTTTGTATTGTTGCCCTCTGGAAGAAGGTTTAGAAGCATTAAATGCTGATAAGTTATATTGTAACAGATATAAATTCTCCTTTGTTCCTGAGGCAATAAGGCTATATGTGCTTATATTTGAGCAAGTTTTACATTTTTAATATACGGGTTGTTCCTATGGTTTATTTATTTATTTTTTAGTACTACCTATGAAGTTATTATGAAACATGCTGGATAGTGTTTTTTTATACTGTTTGTCTCTTTATGTGTTTGTTGTATCATAATGCCACTGCCATAATTTAATTGCCCCTGGTTGAATTAATAAAGTTGTTAAACTTAACCCAATACTTGACAAGTACATATTTACATTTTTATTTACTTGATGCATTAAAGAAAATCATTCATTCATTCATTTATTAATTCATTTATTCTCTTTTCGGCTTCAGTCCCTTTATTAATCAGGGGTCGCCACAGCGGAATGAACCACCAACTTTTTCAGCATGTTTTTCAGCGAGGTTGCAGTAAAAAACGGGGGTACTAGCATTTACAGCGACGGAATGACATCCAATGCAGTACAGAGTTTGTTGTTGTATTAGAGATAAGTTAAATTGATTACATATTACACATATTATTTACATAATACTTTCAGCGTATTATAACAGCTTGTCACCCAGTGATAAGCACAGTTATTCAGCAAAATTAACGTTAAAGTCAGGGGCGTTCGTCTGACAGGTCCATTTGCGATAGCACCCTCCCAATGGATAGTGGATAAGATGAAATGGCTATCTCATTGAAACTCTAAGTGATTTTACGAGAGAAGTTAAAGGCCTACAAGTCTTTGGATGCCAACAATTTTGTTCGGTGTGGTTATGTGCAAGAAATAATGCTTCATGATTACCAGATTCAACACTATGTAGTGCTAAAATCCGATGTTCTGCCTAGCCAAAGACAAGGAAAGAAGACAGAACTGTACAAGGCCTATAACTAATCATCAACTAACAGAACAACTGCATTCTGACAGCAAACTGCATCTGTACGGCAAGGTATGTGAACTTACATTTTTACATTTCATTCCAAGCATTCAGTGTCTTCAGTTTATTATACTCATATTTAACTGTCTTTGCTGAAATCATTGCTGCAATCAAAAATTAGTAATGTGTATATGATTCAGCATAGCGTGAACTTACCTGATATGAAATGAGAACTGCAGAGTCGAGCATTTTTAATTAGGTCCTCACTCCATTCAGCTCTTCTGATGGCTGTTAGACAAAGACATCTGCGGTTGGCATTTAAAGCAGTGTGGTGTACAATAAAATTTAGGTTTTCTATTCCTCGCTTTTGGCATCCTATCACATAACACGACATGTTTGCTATTGCAACCGGTTTGCGCGGTTGAGCCCATGTGATGTCATGTGTGACGTAGGTTGGTAATTCCCCTATAGTATTTACTATTTTACTTTAGTATTTTTCAAGTTGGTCTTGTTAAATAAAAAGTAACATTTTCCTTACTGTGGTCTTTTGAGACTAAATACATATATTACATATATACACTTATAATACAAATCAAGCATACTTACTTTGCTAGGAGTTGGTAAGTCCATCCGCTTTGTTTGATAGCTCTTCGTAGCTCTACATGTGTGCGAATGTGCTATTGGACATAAAGTGCAAATAAAAAAAATACCAGACATCAGCCGGCCGGTCTATCTCAATTTGTATATGCATTCACTATTTACTTCTATTTCTTAAATATATTTGGCTGTTTTTGTCCTGTCTCTGTCATTCTGTTGCACTGTAGAAGCTCTGTCACGAAAACAAATTCATGTGTGAATACCAGGCATTAAAGATCTTTCTGATTCTATAAGCACATATAAATCAAATATGTTGAAAAATAAACCATTTGGAATAATTACAAATCCACCCAGGTACAACAATTTGGTTTTATCAAAGGTGGTTTGATAATATAAATGTATAAAAACACCTGACATGTTAAAAAATCTCGCTTCATTTGTTAAAACCGACGTGAAACGTGATTGGACCACCATCGAAACCACGTGATAACTCGACTTTCTTTGTTTTTTATTTTGTTGTTCAAGCAGAATGTTGATGTATATACTGCGATTTTAAGAAGGTTTAGGTAAGTACATTTAATATAATTATATTTTATAATAATTTATTATATGACAATATTTGTTTGTTTTTACTCTGCATGCATTTCAGCTTGTTCTTGGAGACCCCCCCCCCCCCCAAAAAAAACAGGCAATTTTATAATGCATAATAGGGGGTCTTTAATCAATTATTTATTTATTTATTTATTTATTTATTTATTTATTTATTTATTTATTTATTTTTGAAAAATAGAGAATTTGGGACCATTGACAAAGTCATCCATGTACAGGTCTAACACAAATTTGCTTCTACAAGAGATGTTTAAATATATATAAAATCACCTCACACCACCTGACAACGCTGCTGGCGCCATTTTATTTTGTGTTATTTATTGATTTTGTTTAAACAGAATGCTGATTTAAGGAGGTTTAGCTAAGTACATTTAAAAATAATTACGTTTTTTTTTTAAAGCTACTCTTGTCCTCTAGAGGCCGCTCTAAACTCAAACATCTGTCACGTTAGCCCGCCCCTCTCAGTTTGTTTGAACTTGACAAAAGTTGAAAAAAGCTGACACAATCATAATCTAAAATACTCAAAAACTTGCAGAATAAAAAAAAAACACTTTGATTTTGTACTACTGTTGTATTTCACCTATGTTTAACTTATGTTAAACATTTATAATGTGGGATAAAAGTGTAAGTAGCTATATTGAAAAAATATACTTTTTATATAATACAATGCATGAAACTAATAACAAATGTTAAAGTTTATGTATGTAAATATAAATATGCCTTGCGTTGAATTTTCTTTAATAATTTTTGTCTTCGTCGTCTGCAAAAACAGCTGTGTGTGTAGTTTTTTTTTTTTTCTTCAGGCGCTCGACTCGAGTTTGTTTCCGGTTGTGTCTCTTATGTGAAGCACACACTCAGCTGCAGTCAAGTTTAGCAGCTCAAGTCTGCTGAAAACGACGAGTTTGGATTTACACAAGTTAATAAGGCCCTACATTTGATTCTCTGTGTGTAAAAAAGAAGATAAAGTGTATTAGGCGATGTAAACAAACTAACGTTAGTCCGAGAAGAATCGATTCTGGCAAAAGAGACATGTCTGGATGAAGAAGAGAGAGAGAGTTTATCGCCAATAAACTGCAGGTTTCTGTAATGACTGGTTAATGTGTGTACAATGGAGTCGAAGGTAAGCACTTATTCGACGTATTTTTAGTTAAAGCGTGTGGCTGATCTGTTTGTAATTTCTTTTTCACTGACGTGTTGAACTGCCAAAGTTATTTTCAAACACACGCCGACATATTTGCTGTTAGTGTTCATAACTGTCACGGACTTCATAACCGAGTCGTTTAACACCCCGACAATGCCCATTTAAGAGTTTATTTTTGTTGTTTTAACGTTGTTTAATGGCTTTCTGGTAAACGTAGGAAAATATGGATCATTAGGAGTCTTGTGACATTTTTAGTGGGACCCTGACGTCATTTTGCTATGGATTCTGGGATATGTAGTTAAACTGTAAATCATTCACTAACATTAGTTAATCGTAAAACCAAAACACTAACTAAATTGCCAGTGTAAACAAGAGCTTAAACACATCTGACTGTAAATTCTTCTTGGAATAATGTGGAATATATGGGAAATTCTACCAGAAACGTACATTATCTGAAATAAAAACATAAATGCAGTGAATAAAAAGTTTTCATCCCAAAAATTTCGAAAATGGACTGATGGTTGCTTTTTTTTGAGCTGTTCTGTAAATGAATATGTAATTAATTTGGGTCTCAGACTTTTATTCTTTATTAAAAACATTTGTACAAGTGTACAAAACGTTGTCCTTTTCCTCAGCCCAATTAAACCTACGGCTTTAATAGTTCTGTGTTGCTAAAAACTGTTCTTTAGAAAAAATACTTCACAAAAAGCAAAGTTTTAGTTGTTATCATTCACATCAATTGATTAAAAACATGAAATTATAAATAAATTCTACAAATAAATGCTACAAATATATAATACAAATTAATGTACAATTGACCCCGTGTCAGTTCTGTCACATTTGCATTAAGTTTAACATACAATGCATTCAATACACCATTAAGGCTATGACTCGGAAGTGACAACATTTGATGGAGGAGAAGCTGACAGTGATCAAGAAAGTGTTCTATCATTAAATTGTATGATTTTATGCTTGTTTTTGTATATATTTTTTGGGACGACAAGCTAAAGTCAGGCCCAGTCACACTTTTTAAAATTGAAAATGAATGTTTCTTGTAGAATATCTCATATTAGCGTTGTAAAGAGTCTCTCCTAAATATTTTGTACCCTTTTATTACCTGGATATTGTGTAAAACAAATCATATTCATTGATAGTTATATTATTTTTGATGCCTAAAAGTAAAAATTGAGGTAAAGTTGGTTTTGTACTAACACATTCTGACTTTCTCTTAAATAATATAATTTCAGAAGAGTGTATTTCTTTGCAAAATATAAATAGTAAAATCATATTAGCAGCCAATGACTGTCAAAGTACAACAATGTTCAGAGTCAAATAAATAGTGCTAATGTTGTGTTCAAGTCATACTTGCATGTGATTTTAGTCCAAATATTCAAAGTACCATAGTAAACAATATAGGGAGCTTGTCACAAGCTGTCACTGAACGAATGTGCGAATATAAAACCAACTTTACTTCAATTAAGTTTAAAAAGGCCTGGTGGTAATTCCACCATCTTTTGTTTTTCTATTTTTTATATATGTTACAAGTAGCTTTTAGAGTTCAACTAAATTTGACTGACTTCTCATTTCTGAATTATACATTGCTTTTAATATTTATCCCTTTATTATTATTATTATTTTAAGTGGAGTATATAAAATTGCTATTGCTAATAATGTATTATATAAATCAAACTGTTAAATCTGACTTAATCATTAAAGGACTGACTTTATTTTAAACCGATTTTGACAATTTTTAAAAAAGTTTTAATGGACTATACGGACAGCCAGGCTGTTTCTCAATTCCAGAAACGCAGAATGGACTCGCGTTCTTGTGTAGACCGGTCTTGCCAAGTTATCTTGTAAGAGCTAACTCGGGAGACAGCGAGAACAGAGAACGTGTCCTGTAAGAAATGAGATCCTGCGTTCTTCCTGATGGTCACATGACCATCACGCGTGTTTAATGGAAAATTATTTAAACATTACAGCATTCATACAACAATTTCTAGTTTTCTCCTCTTTTCACAATATAAATTATGCATAAAGACCTTACAAATATGTGTTGCACAATACAAATAATACAGATTTTAATACAAATTTCAGCAAATAAACAACCTTAATGTGTTTACTTTATAATGATTTTAATATTAACGTTAACTTTTACCATTTTATTTAGGGAAACTCCTGAGACAAATAAGATATATCTGAATTTTAATAATAAATAAAATGCTGCACTTTCCATCTCCTTTATTTAGTCGCAATGACTTCTGGGACTTCTAGAGCGAGTTCGATGCTCAAGTTTGTTTGGTGCGTCCTTTATCAAGAACCCATCCGGGAACTTTCATGCGTCCTCCATTCTTGCGGTCTTGAGTTTTGGAACTGAGCTTTGGCAGTTGATGATGACTTTACACAAGAACACGAGAACGCAAGACTGCTGAAGAACGCATATTGAGAAACAGCTCTAGTCTTTTTCGGCCAATGGTGAACTTCCGGTAAAAGCTTTATGTGACTGTTTTCAATTTCATTAAGTTCCTTTTACAGCAATAATGCTGTAATGTGATTCAAATATAATCAGTTAAATAGACTTAAGCATCCATTCAATTGTTAACGTGTAAAGAGACGAAAGACGGTTTAAACGCAGGCTAGTGCAGAAATGCCATTGAAAATACTGGTGTAAAATTAATTTCCATATTTCAGACATGGCGCAGAAATATATCATTTAATGCAGTGCTTCTTGTTTATTCTGATACCCACATTATATTGTCTCTCAGCCAGGCAGTGAAGATCGCTGGTTTTTAAAAAAGTCAGATTTTAAACCCGGCGATTTTTGTATGGGATGACAATTAACCGGAAGCCCTGAGGCTGGCGGACTAAAATTAAAAGTCTGCGTGCATGTTTATTTAAGGTTACAATATCAATCTTAATTTAGCTTTTAATTTCAGATTTACTCTACTGACTCCCTTCTAAACTGTAAACCTTAATTTAGCTCTACTTAAGAGTGTAGCTTTAATTCTTTAAAGCCGATTCATCAATCATGCCTTTGTGAATACATCTGTTCCTCATAACATATCCGCTAAATGCCATGCTCATCATAATTATTGTTTCGTCATCATTTTTTTTCCTTGTTATGAAACCGCTGTGGTCATGCGTGTTGTATTCATGCACATTTATGCCATCAGACAGTGGTGCATCTATCACAAACCTTTTTAATCAATGTTTCATTTGAATCAGAAGTGAGTTGTCTTGAACACAGACTCTCTATGTGAGTTGCGGCTTGTGAATCGCTGCATAGAGAGACTCTGTGTTACTGTTCATACAGACCTCACTGTTTGCTGTTTCAATCGCTTCAGGATGTGTGTGTGTATGTGTGTTTCTCAGCGTTAGAATAACGGATGCTTTGTGGAAAGCTCTATGTACTGTCAAGTGATTTTGTTTTGGGACCGTTTATAAACAAAAATGTGCACTACATGATTTTGTTTTGACTTTTATCACTGCTGTTCATACCTTATGTGTTAATATTATTAACAAACGTTTACTTTTTGATTCACCCTAAAAGAAAAGGTAAAAAAAAACGAATTATATTTTGCATAAAGCCAATTAATTGGTTAAGTGTTGTTTTGTTTTGTTTTCAGGATAGTGCAAGTACTTTGGCTCTTTTATAGTAACATCCAGTTTTAAGTAGTTTTTGTTTAAATAAATTATTCAATTCAGAATTTATTTAATTCAAACAGTATTGTGTTGCGTTGTAGTAATAAGAATGAATGTTTTGGTGTTGATTTGAAAATCTAAGATATACCTTCTCTATATAATAAACACTCACCGGCCACTTTATTAGGTACACATGTCCAACTGCTCGTTAACGCAAATTTCTAATCAGCCAATCACATGGCAGCAACTCAATGCATGTAGACATGTTCAAGCCTATCTGCTGCAGTTCAAACCGAGCATCAGAATGGAGAAAAAAAAGTGATTTTGAGTTTGAACGTGGCATGGTTGTTGGTGCCAGAAGGGGTGGTCTGAGTATTTCAGAAACTGCTGATCTACTGAGATTTTCATGCACAACCATCTCTAGGGTTTGTAGAGAATGGTCCGAAAAAGAGAAAATATCCAGTGAGCGGCAGTTCTGTGGGCACAAATGCCTTGTTGATGTCAGAGGAGAATGGCCAGACTGGTTCGAGCTGATAGAAAGGCAACAGTAACTCAAACAACTACTTGTTACAACTGATGTGCAGAAGAGCATCTCTGAACGCACAACACATCCAACCTTGAGGCAGATGGGCTATAGAAGCAGAAGACCACACCGGGTGCCACTCCTGTCAGATTTCTGCTGCGACATTGGGATGGTAGGGTCAGAATTTAGCGTCAACATGAAAGCATGGATCCATCCTGCCTTGTATCAATATAACTATAACAAGAACTATAACAATATAACACTGGTGGTGTAATGGTGTGGGGGATATTTTTGGACCCATTAGTACCAATTGAGCATCATGTCAACGCCGCAGCTTACCTGAGTATTATTACTGATCATGTCCACCCCTTTATGACCACAGTGTACTGATCTTTTGGTGGCTACCTCCAGCAGGATAATGCGCCATGTCATGAAGCGTGAATCCTCTCAGACTGATTTCTTGAACATGACAATGAGTTCACTGTACTCAAATGGCCTCCACAGTCACCAGAGCTCAATCCAAAACAGCACCTTTGGGATGCGGTGGAACGATAGATTTGCATCATACATGTGCAGCCGACAAATCTGCAGCAACTGTGTGATGCTATCATGTCAATCTGGACCAAAAGCTCTAAGGAATATTTCCAGTACCTTGTTGAATCTATGCCACGAAGGATTAAGGCAGTTCTGAAGGCAAAAGGGGGTCCAAACTGGTACTAGTAAAGTGTATCTAAGTGGCCGGTGAGTGTATTATATACTTTAGCATATTTATAAAACATAATTAAAACGAAATACCCAAATATATTGAATTAAAATTAGGTAAATTATTTAAATAAGCATTTTTAAGTGTTCAGTTTTTTTTAAGTCAAATCATCAGAATGCTAGAAATAACATTAGAGATTAAAATGTTTAAAATTAATAAACTAAAAGGTTAACAGAAAAATATGATATTTTTTAATTTTGTCAACTTTTCAAATAAACTAGTTATTTAAAAAATTAAATGTATAAAAAATTATTAAATGGACTCATCGTTTTATTACTGACACACAACACACATGCAGACATTGCATTAGCTTAATGTGTTTTATAAATTGCAATAATCATGCATCAAAGGGTTAAAATGACCTTTTATTAAAAAGGTCACCTCAGGTCAACTTTCTCTTACAGACACTGGTTTGGGCATTTCTGCTGTAATTTATATAATGGTTTTTATGATAAGGCTTGAAGTCATTTCCATCAGTTGTGTGAGCCAGTTGTTAAACAGGTAAACCCTGAGGTCATTATCCAAGTAAATTACAACTTAACAAGCCTAGCTGGTTCTACTAATAATACATTGCTAACAGGTCTCAACACCTTTGCTGTCTGTATATGCATGTTTAACCAATGCATGTTTTATTTTTACACAGGCACAGGTTTTATATGATTTCGCGGCAGAGCCTGGGAATAATGAGTTGTCGGTTCGAGAGGGTGAGACAATCACAATAACCAATCAGGTGAGGGTTTTTTGTTTACTTTAAGAATGTGCACTCTTAGAATGATATGTTGCCTGTTTATGAATGGATCAGATCCTTTTCATTGAAGGTGATTTGTTTTCTTGTGCTCCTAGAACATTGGTGGAGGATGGATTGAGGCAAGAAACTCCAGGGGAGAAGTCGGATTGGTACCAGAGGACTATATAGAGGTAAGCAGTGGTCACCCTTAATGGCTTTCTCGTGCGAGTATGTACATACACTGCAAATTTGCTCATAGGTCTCATTGTACAGTTGAAAAATTATTAGCCTTCCTGTGGTTTATTTATTTATTTATATTTCCCAAATGATGATCAACAGAGCAAGGATTTTTTCACAGTATTTCCTATAATATTTGTTCTTCTGGTAAAACTCTTACTTGTTTTATTTTGGCTACAATGAAAGCAGTTTTCATTTTTTAAAAACATTTTAAAGTCAATATTTTTAGCAAACTTAAGTAATATTTTTTCATCAGTTGTTTACAGAACTGACCACTGTTATACAATGGCTTGCCTAATTAACCTAAGCTAAATAGTATCTTGAAAAATATCTAGTAAAATATTATGTACTGGCATCATGGCAAAGATAAAAGAAACCAGTTATTAGACATAAATTAAAACTATTATGTTTAGAAATGTGTTGAAAACATTCCATTAAACCAGGGCTAATAATACAGGGGGGCTAATAACTTAAACTGTTTATAAAGCAAATTTCGTCATAGACCTTGCACAAAGATATTTCATGGCAATTTTCCAATTGTTGTATAGTTATACGAGACAATTTTTTTTCAGAGTTAGAGCCTTTTTGTCTTCAGTTTATAGCACCACAGTTGCCTGTCACCACAGATTTTTTCACTTTGTCCTCGGAGTGTGTTTGTACATATTTGTTCCAAATTTGGTGAAAATATCTAAAATCGTTAAAGTGGCTCCACCAACGCCTAACACGGGGTGTCCGTGGGGTCTTAAAAGTATTAAAAGTTGATGAATCAATTATGAGAAATTTAGGCCCTTAAAAGCTTTTAAAGTCTTAATCGCATTTTTACGAGGTGTTAAATTTTGTTCAAGCGTTGTCCAAAGTGTTTGTCTCTAAAAAGCATAGACATTAATTTTTTTCCTAATATTAACAATGGCGTGCTCGATCCACGGAGTTGGTCCAGGCCGGGGCGTGTCCGTCCGGGTGATATCATGTAATGTGCGACAAACGCGGGAAGGTGATTTGACGCTCTCTATATAAAGCGAAACCATAGAGCAAAACAGATGACAAGATGGGAACATTTGCCTACTCCTGGTTGGAGAAAGATGAGTTTAAACAGTGGCTAAAGCCTGTCGCTGAAAACAATCGCGTAATTTATTCTTTCTAGCTTTGATTCTTCTGAGCTTATCTGAGTTCTGTTGCATGGTTGAGCTCCATTGATTTATTTAAATACTTTAACTGTTTATTAAGTTAAAGGTTTGATACTGATTAGAACTCGAAGTGGCGATGAGGTCTTGAAAAATTCTGAGATCTTTAAAAAGTCTTAAAGAGGTATTGAAATTACCTTTAGGATTCCTGCATATATTGTGAACTAAAAGTTTTATTATTATTCTATTGATTACGGTACTGTATATATATTTTTTCATAGACCATGTGAAAACGTTACAAAAGAAGGTTTTAGACACATTTAAAATTTCAAATATTGTATGCAAAATAAAATAGGACATATTGTTAGGCTGTCACTAGATCTATTTTTTTGTGATACGATATATAGCAACGACATTTATTGTGATAAACAATATTATTGGAATTTTGACCCCAGTTCACTCTTCCAAAGAACACATCATATTTTATTTTTAAGAATATTTAATTTAATTTTAGTCATTTCAACAATTTAAGAATCAGAATGTGAAAATGTATAACCTAAAATCAATTACCTAACCTAATAAAAAATAAATAATAATAATAAATGTTAACAAAAATGTCCAAAGATAGAAAGAAGTAGAAAAAAGTACCTGGGGCCTCATGTACGAAGACTAGCGTGGAAATCATACTAAAACATTGCATACGCATAAAGCTGTATATGTGCGTACGCAGAAAAAAATTAAGATGTATGAAACACTGTGTACGTCGAATCCTACGCATATTCTTTTGTACATCTGAATGAACGTGAAACTAAGCACAACATGCACGAGCACAAAACCCCTCCCTGCCTCCTCCCCCTTATGAATATGCTAATGACTCTACTTTGGCAAAACCCAACGAAAAAAGCAAAGGCAAAAGCAAGCAAGAAGAGAAACTTTGAACAGAATGTGAATTGAAGGTGCTGCTTTCGGAGGTAGACCGGAGAAAAACGGTGTTATTTGCAAGTTTGTCCTCCGGAATTAACAACAAAATAAAAAAAATAGAGTGGGAGAGTTTAGCTGATGCGGTTAACACAGTTGGGTCTGAACATTGCACTGTGGAGTTAAAAGAAATAGTGTGATTTATTGGTGTAAAATGTTGCAGAACCCTTAACAGTCTCAGTGGCGCAGCTCGTAAAACGCCTGTTAACATGTTTTGACACGTTCCAGCATGAACTCGGTTCGAATCCAGCGTGTGATGAACTCATTCTTCTTTTTTTCCATGCTACATATCAGATTTTGCCAACTATTTATCACGAGAAAGACAAGTAGGAATCATTAAGTCTGTGCATCATATTTTATTTGCACATTTATTGAATGGAAATGTTTCTGATTCACGCATGCGAATTCATCTTCAGGTGGTACCTTTATAGCAATGTGCGTGCTGTAGATCGCTCCCATTACAATGGGAAAACAGGCGACCGCTGCAAATTGCGCTTTAATGTTTAGCTGGTCAACTGTATGGTATGGAAATCTTATATACCTGCTAGATGAACCTGTCTCATACAGCTGCCATTGCAAGGCTCAGACACTTTGTAGAGTGCAATTTAACACAACTGCCTCTAGGAGTCGCCAATGGAAATAAAACAGACACGCACAATTAATGTGCGTACGCCAGCCATAAAGCAGGCGTGGAGCTGCGCACATTCTCACGTTCAGTTCATCGTTAGTAAATCCAAACGTGAGCGATTCTGAGCGTGAAACCTGGCATGCGCAAAGTTTTTGTGCGTACGCAGCGTTTTCAGTCATCAGCCTCCCACATGAAAATATACCATAGTAATTTATGGTAAATACTATAGTGTTTTTTTTAATAATACTGAAACTGACACCTCCAATAGAGTTGTTCCACAATCAGCTAAAATGTGGTTAAAATATTTTTTTATGTATGAGCAATTTATAATGCATCCCTAAAATGAATGACAACATGTCCACATGTTGTGCGACAAGTTAATAAATTATTTATTGTGACAGGCCTACATAGTTGCAATAATAATGAAAATCCTAAACGTTACAGTGGGTTTTTATCGCTATTTGTTTGAACATCTAAAAGTAGTAAAAGCATTGCCTTAATCTAGATTTACATTGTTTTTAAATGCATAAGAACATTTATTTTAGACAATGTATTTAAAAATGGACTCATTAGGCATTATAGTAGTAGTTGCAATTATAGTTGTGTAGTGGCATAGTATTAGTTGCAATTCTAAAATATCAGCCTAATAATTGCCTGGCCTACATATTAGTCTTTGACTGTCCATGATAAAGCATATTATTTTTAAATAACAATTTAATGGTTGTCTTTTTTTCTCATGCACTAATGCACCAATGGCCATATTTAAAAGCCAAAAGGACAGATAAACCATGGCTGCTGGAATGTGACCTGTTCGATTTACAGGAAGTGTTTTGTTTTCCTGTGACCAGTCAGAGCAGAAGTGTAAAGGCTAAACGAACATGCTACAAAATATACTGTTCTCTAATGCAATTATAGTGTATAAAAATAGGATTCATTGTTCAATTTTTTAAATGAAATGGTAATTAATGCAACTGCACAAACATTTTGTGGTCTGAGCATGCAAAAAAAAAGGTGCTAAAAGTATCTTGCTTTTAAAGTGCATCAGTCTGTGAGGCTGAATGTAATCACATTATAAAGCCATCTTGAGGCAGTAGTGCACATGGAGACCTAGTAAACAGTTTACTCTCTGTATAAATAGGCTGTGTAGTGATTCCGCCTGCTGCTGGCCACAGACATACATTTCATCTCCCTGCTGACCTGAGCTCGCAGCTGCACTGTCCTGCAAACACACATGCTTCCTTCGTTTGTCTGTTCTCTGAGACAAACAAATGACAACATGTTCACCCTTCTGCAAATTCACATTCTGTGTTTTGTTTTCACACATATATATTTATGTTGAGGTAACGACACTATTATAGATGTATATGTGTATGTAAATTGGTTGTTTCTTTGATGTTTCATAGTATTTCCTATTATATTTCCCTCTCAAAGTCTTTGGGCCCTATCATACACCCGGCGCAGTAGTCTTTAAGTAGTTTCAGTTTGGCGCAAGAGTCGTTTTGAGGCATTGCGCTACGTTGTTTAAATAGCAAATGCATTAGCGCTCATTTGTGCGCCCATAGGCGTTCTGGTCTAAAAAGGAAGGCGTTTTGAGGCGGACCGCTGGCGCGTTGCTATTTTGAGAAACTATAATAGATTTTTCATTAGACCAAAACTAACCCGGTCTAAACTCCGGCGCAGAGTTGCGCCTCGCTTACACACTGCTTAATACGCACAAGAGAGCAATTGGCAAATATCTTTACATATGAAAAAAATTAAATATTAAGGATATATATAGGATATAATAAGAATACATATAGAAAATAAATATAAAGGATTAAAATATTACAAAACATATTATTTTCTAGCCTACATAAATATGAAAAATCACTGCTTTTATGTCTTCTTCATCTCGGGGGCTTTTTCAGTTCATTCATGACAATTTGCTTTTGTATAATGTTAATATTATTAGCAGTATCATTTATTATATCCATATTTATATTTGTTTTATTAAAAACAAGCTTAGATTTGCCCACCTGTCAGGTTTTAGACCATAAGGGGCACAGCATGTGTTTTAGGATATAACTCTTTTTTTGAAGACATTTTGTTATTATTATTTATTTATTCGTTTGCTGGAAATCAAAACTGAATTCAGAAATAGTTTTGAAATGAATATTTGCGCTTAACAAACAAAAGTACTTATTTATAGACTAAATGATGTCTGTGCGTAAAGGTTTCCCTATCCAAGAGCAAATGTGAAAGTAGTTCCATTATCTCTCATTCTCACGCAGTAGATGCTCTGTTTAACAGTTTTCTGGTGAAATGCTAATTTTTTCCACTTAGACTTACTTTGCGTCCTGTAAATAGCGAATGCGTTCTTGGCGTTCTCTTAAAGGGAATGGGAGATGAGACTCTAATTGGTTTATTCTCAAAACACACCTATAACTCATTAATAAAATAAACTCAACCCTTTTAGACCATGCGCCACTGCGCAAGGCAGATTTCCCGTCCTTAAATTAGCAAAAACGCGTCCTGACACGCCCTGAAAGCGTTTGCGCCCTGCGTTTTGCCCTCTGCGCATGGACAGTCAAAATAGAGCCCTTTGTGTTAGTTTGGCTGGGATATTTAAAAACAACAACAATTGAATACAGTGTGTTCCCAGGGTCTTAAAAAGTATTAAAAGTTGATAGATCAATGTAGAGAAATTTAAGGCCCTTAAAAAGTATTAAAAAGTCTTAAATGCTATTTTGCAGAATATTCAATTTTCTAGCATTTTTGATTGTACGGTTGTCTGCTAAAGTTGATTTAAATGTAATCTATAAATAACAGGATGCTGTATAGTTTATGAATCAATGACATCATGCTGCTTTGTTTACTGCAGTAATCAAGGCAACACCATTATTTCTGCAGTTCTATAGGCGCCAACCTATAGAATTAGCTAGATGAATTAGCTAGATTTAATAGATTTGTATTCAGTATATGAATAATGTTTTAGTTTTGGATTAGTTTCTTACATTAATATTTAGTAAATATACTGTAAGTTAAAATTTCGCCAGTGTTTCCAGTTGAAACCTAAAGGGGTTATGAGGTCTTAAAATGTATGGAAAGAGTCTTTAAAGACGTCTTAAAAGGTATTGAATTTTACTCTCTGGTTCCTGCATATAGTCTGTAATAGTAACTATTCTATGGAACTTAATAGTAGTTCATGTAAAAAGGCTAAACTGAGCTAGTAGCTGCACTGTCCTGCAAATACACGTGCTTCCTTCCTTCATTCACATGCGCACACTTTTCCAAATTCACATTCTTTGGGTTGTTTTCAATGTCGTATTCTGATGTTTTGTTAACAGAAATAAAATGGGCTGCAGATACCACCTGTGTACTTTTTTTTTTTTAAATGAAAGTAGGGAGGAAAATAGGAAAATATGATACTAATCCATCAAACAAAGTCATCTGGAGACATGTCACGTTTAATAAAAAGTGTTAAGAGGCCTAAAAATATGGGAAATATTGTACCCTCACATTTGTTTTTAGTTAATAAAGGAAGATCAAGATATTGCTGGAGATCTTTGTCTTTACATTTTTGAGCTTCAGCAGCCATTTATACAAACATTTGTTCTCTGAGGAGACTAATATATGTACTCTACTGTATTACTATACTATTACTATATTACTTACAGAACTATTTGTGGAAAAAGATAGATAGATAGATAGATAGATAGATAGATAGATAGATAGATAGATAGATAGATAGATAGATAGATAGATAGATAGATAGATAGATAGATAGATAGATAGATAGATAGATAGATAGATAGATAGATAGATGGATAGATAGATGGATATATAGATAGATGGACAGACAGACACACAGACACACAGACACACAGACAGACAGACAGACAGACAGACAGACAGCTAGCTAGCTAGCTAGCTAGCAATTACTAATAGATTATTTTGCCCTTTTACAGCTCTAGTTTGAATCCGCTTGTTAAGTGTGATGTCACATGAAGCGGCTTCCGGGTCCAATCGCTCTATTCAACTGAATGGGGAGACTCATAAAATGGTAATGATAAACGTTTACAAAGCAATTTAATACTTTCGAAAATAACGATCGCAATATATATGTCCATGCCTAATATCCGATGGCCAGAAAGTGATTCATTTTTTTAAAAATTGTTAATTTTGGAATTTGTTATGCAGCAAGCCCAGAGATTGTTGTGTACACCATGATTTTATATAAAATTAAGTTTAATGTGTGATAGGAATAAAACGTGATCATAAACGAATGATTTCTCCACTGAAATGAATGGCGGCTTGGACCTGGAAATAGTATTACATACGTCACCAACATGTCACCACTTAACAAGCAGATATTACTTGTTGGCAGGAATTATGCAAATATGTTGCTTTGGTCATGTTGCAGATTGGTAGCAGGTAAAACAAATAAATAAATGAAAACGTTGCAGTGATGAGATTCAGAGCTGATTCTTTTTTTTTTTTGAGATGCAGTATCTTTTATAATGCACACTCACATGTTTTTAATTAACAACTGCAAATAATATGTTTTAAAACTCATATGTGCTTCTCTTTAAAGGGCACCTGTTTTACCTTTTTTACAAGATGTAAAATGAGCCTTTAGTGTCTTCAGAATGTGACTGTAAAGTTTCAGCTCAGAATACCCATCAGATTATTTATTATAACCTCCATAATCTGCCTATTTTTGTGTCTGAGTACAGTGTAGCTGTTTTTGTAGCTTGTGGCTTTAAATGCAAATGAGCTGCTTCTTCCCGCTCACTGTTCCCACATGTGTGTCTGCTTCTCATAATGGGTGACGTCAGATAAACAGTGAGTGACAGACATACTTGGAAGAAGCTGAAATGCAAAGTTTATTTGATATATTTGTGTAGAAGATTATTCAAGCCTTTCTGAAATGATCAGTCTCACACACACACACACACATATTAGCAATTACTGACACCGTGCAGGTGTGGTGATTGTAGCAGTTAAGAATTACACAGCAATTTTACTGTCTTCATTGTTAACATGCTCTATTTTAAAAACATTTCAAGCTTATTAAACTTATAGAAATCTCAAAGAGGTCAAACAAATATTTTAATCCCAGTTTATTTGCAAAAGAATGTTCTGTGAACATGTGTATACATGTTATTACGGAGGCATGGCACCTGTCAATCAATTCGGTGGGCGGGAAAAACCACACTCCTACGTCCCGTTCCCAGTTGGCCTCAAAATCACTGGTATTGGGATATTTAAATACATTTTAAAAAGAGACATGTAGGGTTTATATCACTCCAATATGACCATAGACACACTACATACACACAGTTCTGTCCAAACAGCTTACAAAAGCTGATTTTCATAATAGTTGCCCTTTAATTGTCTTATTTGACTCTTTTTATTTTCTTCTAGATTAACCAGGCTCAGCCTTTAACCTCTGGAGGAAATGCAGCCCCTCTCGATCTCTCATTTTTTGACAGTCACGTGCCGACCCCGGCCAGCACCGCACAGGTAAGCCACTTTGAGTATTTCCAGTATGAATGGTGATCACTCATTTATTAGGTTGTGTTTATCATGTCCTAAACTCACAGCTCTGTTCATTCTCTGTTTCTCCTGCTGTTCCTTCCTAAGAGGAAGTGAGCAGGAAGGGAGATTCCCGTTCTGAAGAATAAAACGTCTTACTCAGAATATAAAAATGTGCATGCATGTAAACTTTTCGAGTGAGGATTAAACATCCTGTGCCATTTATTATTAGGAACAGCAAATTGTGCTTTTTTTTGTTTATTAAGTATTCAGAGTCTCTCATTTGTTAGTGAGATTCTGTGGGTTTGGCCTTCAGTGCTGAGACAGCTTTTCACTGAGTGGGCTGAAGAATTTTCATAATGCTGCTTTGTTTTTTTTTTGGTGGAACCATGGTCTGATCAGCAGTATTTTGAAGAGTAGGAGGCTGTCTGACTGCTATCGCTTTTTCACAGCATTTGTTTCTATTGGCCCAGCTGTTGGCTTTAGTTTTTATTTTCATTCATACATTTTCTTGTCGGCTTAGTCCCTTTATTAATCCAGGGTCGCCACAGCGGAATGAACCGCCAACTTATCCAGCGAGTTTTTACGCAGCGGATGCCCTTCCAGCCGCAACCCATCTCTGGGAAACATTCACACACACACACTCATACACCATGGACAATTTGGCCTACCCAATTCACCTGTACCGCATGTCTTTGGACTGTGGGGGAAACCGGAGCACCCGGAGGAAACCCACGCGAAGGCAGGGAGAACATGCAAACTCCACACAGAAACGCCAACTGAGCCGAGGTTCGAACCAGCGACCTTCTTGCTGTAAGGCGACAGCACTACCTACTGCGCCACTGCCTCGCCAGCTTTAGTTTTCGCAATATTAAAATGACACATTTTAGGCCATCTTGAAAGTTATATTAGGGTGAAACGTAACATCTGTACATCAACCATACATATAATATCAACATATTATAATACTATTCTATAGTAAAATAATAGTTTTAAAAAGAAAGTATAGTTAGGCCTGTCAAGATATCTATTTTTCATTGTACTATATATATTGCACCAAAATATATTGCGATAGAGGTTATTATTGTCATTTTGAGACCACTCATTATATAATGCCAGAATGGCAATATAATTTCATTACAATGCAAGTGCACTCTCCCAGAGAACACATTATATTTTATTCTTAAGAATATTCAATTTAATTATAGTCATTTAACCAATTTAATAATCAGGCATTGAAAATCAGAATGTGAAAATGTATTTCCTACATAAAAGATATTAAATGTTAACAAAAAGTAAGTCTTGTAAAAAGTCAAATGTCTTGTAAAAAGGAACAGAGGCTACGATATCTGCTACCAGCTCTATTTTCAGCTGTCAGACACCCACATAAAATATACTAAAGTAACTTATAGTAAATATTATAGTTTTGTTAACTCTACTGGCACCTCCAGTAGAGATTGAAATGTTGCACAATCAGCTCAAATGTAGCTAGAATTGTTTTTTTTTTATTTATGGCCGATATATATCACATCACCAAAAATGATTGAGGTCATGTCCATGTGTTGTGCGACAAGTTGATGTATTGATTATTGTGATAGGCCGAAGTATAAGTGTAGCATTCTCTTAAAGTAATTTCATATACAGTTAAAGTCAGAATTATTAAACCCCCTGAATTATTAGCTCCCCTGTTTATTTTTTCCCAAATTTCTGTTTAATGGAGAGATTTTTTTAAACACATTTCTAAACATAATAGTTGTAATATCTCATTTCAAATAACTGATTTATTTTATCTTTGCCATGATGACAGTAAATAATATTTTACTAGATATATTTCCAGGCACTTCTATACAGCTTAAAGTAATATTAAAAGGCTTAATTAGGTTAACTAGTCAGGTTAGGGTAATGTAAAACGATGGTTTGTTCTGTAGACTATCAGAAAAAAAATAGCTTAAAGGGGCTAAAAATTTTGACCTTAAAATGTTTTTTTTAAATGATTTTATTCTAGCCGAAATAAAACAAATAAGACTTTCTCCTGAAGAAAAAATATTGTCAGACATACTGTGAAAATTTCCTTGCTCTGAACATCATTTGGGAAATATTTTTTTTTTTTTAAATTCAAAGGGGGCTAATAATTCTGACTTCAACTGTATTTTGTTTTATAGCTGAACGTAATTTCTTTGGATGCTTAATTTCATTTCATTTAAAAACAAATAAAAATTTTATTTAAACTTGTATTAAATGTATGTAGCGGTTTATTAGTGTTTTGACCCACTTGAGCATATTTTGTGTGTAATTTCATTATTAGGTGTAAAATAAACGTGCTGTTTAATGTACTAACAAGCATTAATGGTTAACTACAATTTAATTCGATGTCATTTCTGTTGATATTTGAATGATGTGTTTTAATATGTTGGCATTTACGCATCTGTAGCAGATTATATTACAAATAAATTAACTTTAAATGTAAGGATCAACACTACATCTAAAATTATAATAATACAATTATATTTAAATGAAATTAAGGATAATGTTATCATTTATTATGTAATTTAAAATAACTGCACTATTTAAATGTGAGAAGATACATTTATAAAAGTGTTTTCTCTTTAGTTTGACTTGAATAGCACTATATATTTCTCATTCAGTTAATTATTATCTTTATATGTCTCCCTAAGGAGATATTTTTTCTTGGGCCATCAAGAGAGCATTTAGTCACCAAACAGTTATTAATACTAAAAGTAAGCTTAATGACATTGTATAAATTAGACTGCACTATTTCATCTAGTTTGTTAATATTTGAACCCCAAACTTTAAAGTCATAGAAAGTAATTAAATATGAATTAAAGTTTATATACAGTATGCTTCATTTTTTTAACTGATTGATCATGTTTAATATATATAAATAAATATATATATATATATATAAACAACAGTTTCAAAAGCTTTTAATCACCTTTAGTTTCTGTATGATTCATCAGAACTGATCATGCAAAACCTCCCCCTGTTGACAAACAGTTGCTTATCTTAAAGCCTGAAGCTGATTGGCTTATTACAGGACAGACTTTATCCTAATAGCTGCTCAATGGATCACTGATGATAACTGATATGACGCCAGCATAATGCAAAATATTTATGAGTCACTGTGGAATGTGTGGCACTAAGTTCCTGTGGCATAAATATTAGTCAGCTCTAATCAGTGGATCATCAAGCTATGATATGGAGTAAGTCTGGCTGTATTTTAAGACAAGCAGCTTGTTTTGGCCTAGAACCTGTGGTCAACATGCAAAACGTATTTGTGTATTGCATTTAAAGTTTGCATTGCACTTTTTAACATTAAACTCATGAATATACTAAAGATTTCTACACACTATAAAGTTATCTGCAGGTTGCAGCTGGAAGGGCATCCACTGCGTAAAACATATGCTGGATAAGTTGGCAGTTCATTGCGATTTGGCAACCCCACAAGAATAAATGGACTAAGCCAAAGGAAAATGAATGAATGAATGAATGAATGTATTGCATTTGTCATATTCAGAATGAATACAATGGCATAAATCTCTTTATTGTGAAATCAAACAAGTTTGGACATTTAAAAATAAATTCTATACATATTATAATATATGAATAGCTGTAAAACAAGCAATATTTTTTTAAAGTGTTGCTTTACAACAGAGGTGTCCAAACTCGGTCCTGGAGGGCCGGTGTCCTGCATAGTTTAGCTCCAACTTCCTCTAACACACTTGCCTGGAAGTTTCAAGTAAACCTAGAAAAAACTTGAGTAGCTGGTTCAGGTGTGTTTAATTGGGGTTGGAACTAAAATATGCAGGACACCGGCCCTCCAGGACCGAGTTTGAACATCCCTGCTTTATAATAAGGCTCTAGTAGTTAATGTTAGTTAATGTATTTAATAATGTAAAAAAAAAATAAAATAAACAATACATTTACTACAGTATTTATTCATTTTTGTTACTGGTAGGTATTGAAAAATCATGTATTGTTCGTTCATTAACTAATGTTAACAAGAATAACTTTGGATTTTAATAAGACATTAAATTATGATTATTAATAAATGCTGTACATGTATTGTTCATATTATGTTAGTAAAAACCTAAACTAATGGAAACTAATCATAAAGTGTGACATAAATTAAATATTCAGTTTTTTGGAGCAAATATGTCACTGAATATTATTAATGTTTTTTTTTTTTTTCAAACAAAAAAAATCTTTTTTTTAAATTATTAAATAAATGAAATTTAAATGTGTACATTAGGGCCTCAATTATTATTACTATTTTGTTGGTGTGGTTATCCTAAATATGTTACACTACAATAATTTATGGATATTATGTATATTATGAATAAACAGAAAGCAAAAAAAGAGAGTGCTGTGGCGTGTGATCTGAAGCCATGATCACAAAGAAAATAGCTTTTGATGATACAGAACACAGATGGTGTTGCACGAAGTTGCACGATTGTGTATTAACTCAGCACTTGACTTTCAGATCTATTTGTCTGATGTCTGATGCGTCTTTTTTGTGCTTTAAAAATGAATATTGGTAACCCTTCAGTTAATGAGCGTAGGCTTGCAACCAGGTGCCTGGGGAAATCAATGTTTTAATGATGAAACGTTTAGGGTCATGTAGGGCTGCATGATACTGGCAAAATAGTATTGCAATATTAATATTTTTCTGCGATATTACATTTCCCTAGAGAAAAGATGTTTAATTAGCCTTGTTAAAAGTAATTTATGCAATGATCATGCTAAAATATATAGGTAATAATATAGATTTTTCGATCTAAAAAAGGTGCAAACATTTACACTATGACAGAAAATTAAAATCAATTATATGATTTTATTTTATTTTTTTTATATTGGGGTCACACTTGAAAACTTTCTGGCCAAATGTGTCTTTAAGGAAACAATTAGCCCTTAGTGCACTTTTCTAGTCATCTCAACTTACATCAATCAAACTTACAAAAAATATTAAGCGTTGTAAAACTTAAATGGTTTAGTTGATACATGATTAACTTATTAAAGAAAGTTAAAGCAGCATAAAAATATTTGCAGTCTTGACTATCGCATTTGCTTGTGTATAAAAAAATTGATATTTATTACAAAGCATTTTCTGCATCAGTTTTCAGTTTTGCCCCAAAATTTTCACTTCAGTGCATCCATAAAATAAGGTAATTTATTGTACTTCTCTGCGACACAGATATTGCATATACTATTATTGCTATAACAATAATTCTTTGATATATTGTGCAGCCTTCGGGTCATGTCAGGGTAACCCTTCCCTTTCAGGTGTTTTATGATCATATCACGTCTTTCCCCTAAGGTGGATGTAGCTCAACCGGAAAGCCCAGTTACCCCAGTCACCCCAGTTACCCCAGGCTTCACCTCCACCTCACCTGATGAGGTACCTGAAATGCATTAGCATGGACTCAGGGCCATGCATGCTCAATCCCGGAGCCCTCACTAACAAGACATAAACACCCCATTCTTGGGGACTGATTGAATCAGATCACTCTGCAAATCAGTCACACATCGATCAAAATGATCAGCACTATTTCTGCTACAGCAAACATTCACAGTACTCTACATCTGCCAGCTTTTAAGGTGATTTAGCCATCAGTTAAAGGTGCAGTATGTAGAATTGACATCTAGTGGTAGAACTAGGTATTGCAGTCCAAATTCAAAATATTGGAGAGGGTTTTTTTGACCTGGCTTTCTCCGACCACTCAACACACATGCAGGTTGCCAGATTGGCATCCCAAACAGTAGTATGTATGCCTAACAATCAAGCCTTACACTAGGATTGTTACGATACTGGAATTTGTACTAGTAGATGCTTTTTTATATTTTAAAGAACATTAATTTCCCTCTAACATTTGTGCGCTGTTGAGCGGTTCACCAACCTCACCGCTGTTTACTATAAAGATAGAGGGACACTGGAGTGTTTTAAAGTCAGGTCAATCAGCTGGTTTGTCCATAAGCTGACATCCATGTGATACGTTGATGAATCACAGCTTTAAAACGCTCCAGTGTCCCTGTATCTGTGGTTACACTCAGTAAACAGCGGTGAGTTTGGTGAACTGATGACCTTCACAGCCAATCACAGTCATTCCTGTTGAGCATGTGAACACAATGGGAAATCAGCGGTGTTTAAGAGCGTGGTCAACAGTGCACAAATATGGACAGTTTTAAAATTTCAGTATTGATTGGTACTAAATTCCAGTATTATGACAACCCTGCCTTACAATGTAAACCATTAATGTTTACTTTTGCAGTATTTAAATTGTTTGCTCATTTAAAAACATCTCTTGTATATTTATATTACTGTTCGTCTACAACTAACCTCCAGAGGTCACATTTTTGTCTGAGCTTGCAACATTGAGACATCCTTCAAGACTGAAGTGAAACACGCTGTGTTTTCTGCCAGGGCAACCTGGGATGCTGAAATATATTTGGTTAAACTGGTAGTGGGTGGGTTATAGAGACCAAAGCTAAGACATTACGAAATGCAACAGGTTTTCTGAAGAGAATAACTGACTTTAGCATTGTTTTTAGATAAACAAATATGTTCTTCTAGCAGGTTTCATAAACATCTGCAAACATATCATGATATCTTTATGCTTTAGAAGAGTCAAAAACTTACATACAGCACCTTTAAATATAGCTGCATCTGATTAATGTTTGTTGTTCTTTTCCATTTGTTTGTCAGTTCCTTATTCATGTCTTTGTTTTACTTGAAGAATTTTTTTTTCTTATCACAATTAAAGTAATCCAGGCTGTTTTGTTAGCCTCCTCCCGTGTACAGCTTGCAAACAGCATTCATGAGCTGTGGAAAAAGCAAACTAGTCCTTTATTGAATTAAGTGTTTCCCAAATGCACTAAGTGTCATTTGAATTGGTGTCGGTCAAAATGTCCCTTCCAAACTCCAGAATCCACATCAACACTCTTTTTAAAGCAGTCTCTCACCGCATGGTGCTCTGCTCTCAATGCATGATATGCAGTTTTGCATGAGCAAACAAGTCGAAGCCAAAAAAAGTGTTGAACTTTGTTCGATGCATGTCTGTCGTCGATTGTGGAGATGTAACAGAATGACATATGGAGTAATTATTCAGCACACATTTGCCAGAAATCATTGCCGTGCTCGAAACAAAAGGTCAGAGTTCCTCAGATGGGTTATTATAAGGGGTTGATAACATGAATGAGTCCTGGATGATAATGTGTGTGTGTGAGTGGGTGGCCAGTTGATGATTCGGAAATACAGAGCTTATGGCTTTTGCCTCTTTGGCTCTGGGCTTTTGTGTCATCAAGGCCGGCCAGAGGTCCATTTAGAGTCAGCTGTTGAGTGTTGACAAGCTGATGCATCCATCAGGAAGGTAAACATCTCTTTCCATTCAACATGTCCATCTGTGCGCGTATATTCCGGTTAAATGGGTTTTCTTTAGATGTCCTTGAATCGGCCAGAATCACTGCTCAAATTGAGTCTTTCAGGCTAATATAATAACAACAACAACCAAAGGTGCTTATCTTTAGATGTAAGTGGGCTTTTTTGTAAGTGTATCTTTTTTTTTTTTTTAAAGGTTGACTCATAAAAAGATAATTTTGCTGCTGGGCAGGAAACTGTCAGAAGTGCATGAAGACAAACAACATGTGTGGCTTGTGATATGAGAGATAGTGAGCATGCTCATTAATTTAACTCACGATTTAATGTGTGATGAACTCAACCAGTTGATTACTTCTTTAAACAGAATCACTATGCTTTTTATGTGTTTTAAGACAGACCATGTCCTAAAAATATTGAACACAACAAAAAGATTCCAGCAACAATCAATTCGTCTGTTCACACCAGATGAGACAAACATTTAAATAAAAAAATAGACGTTTTAAGAGCAAAAATACTTTTTATAATCTAAATGATAAATATTAGACCTTATTAACCCTTAGGTACTATTTAAATTATGTTATGTTATCGTTATGTTAGTGGCTGTTTTTGCCCCATTGACTTTCATTATAATGACTTTTTGATTGCAAAGTCTTGACACCGAATAATCATGTATTATTGATTGTTGGTGTTTTTCCGTTTGGAAGAGGTACAATTTTTCATTCTTACTGTTGATCATCAGTTGGCAGAATTTAGAATAATTAATTTAGATTAGGCCAGTGCAAAAATGTTTCTGACTTTTATATGGAACTCTGGAGTAAAACAACTAATTATAGTGTGCGTGTATAATATAAATACATTTACTATGTTTTTAGTGCTGAGCTGCCCATTTTTTTTTTTTCAAACATAAAAAAAGGTCTCTCTCACACACTCGCACATGCCCAGAAAAGCTTTTTTTGCACTTCAACTAATGATCAACAGTAAAAATGAGTAAGTTTACCTCTTCCCAAGAGGGTAAACAATCAAGAATGTATGCTTATATGGTGTCAAGGCTTTGCAATCAAAAAATTGCATTATAAGGGAAGTCATTGTGGCAAAAACAGCCACAAACATAGAGAAGGGGTAGTAAATTTGCTCAGTGTGTATTGTTAAGTTTTTGAAAATATTCAAAGCATTTTCCCAAAATATGTGTCATTAAGATTTGTCACCAAAAATCATTCTATTTGCTTAAACAGAAAGAAAGTTGTAGCCAAATTAAGACTCGAAATCACCACAGATGGATGAAAACATCCCGAACAGCACATAAGGGTTAAAAGTAGATGCTGAGTGACTTAGTTTGCTGGTTTACTCTCACAGTTCTAAGTTTTGGGATCAAACTATATGTTTGCTAGTTAATTTATTTTCAAGATCTGATTTAAACTATTGGCTGCCACTTTCAGCATGGCAATAAATCTCATATAAAATTATATTCAAACTCACACTGGTAGCATTTAACCCCGAATAAAGCACATAACCAGTACCTGAGGTGATCATTATCATAGTAGTGGAAATTGTTCTTCAGCCACAGTGTCACAAAAATCATATCTATTTCTAAAGACTTTAATGGTTATGAAAATTTCTTTTAACATGCACTGTATCAAATGAAATGAGTGTAGTTAACTCAAATTTACTGAAAGTTAATTATACTTATTTGAAAAGAGTTTTAAACTCGATGTTGAAGGTAATAAGTTAATTAAATACCTCATTACTTCAACTGAAATGGAGTAAGTTCACAGTACTCATATAGATTAGTTTAACTCAAATGGTTTGTAGCAATTGGTTTCCTCAAATGGTTTGAGTTGCCTTAACTTGTTGGGTTTTACAGTACTCAGTTGGTTTGAGATCTTTTATTGGGTTTTACTGTGCTCAAATTGCTTCATTTACTCAAATGGATTAAGTTCCCAGTACTCATTAGGATTAGTTTTGAGCTTTTTGAGGAAGCCGATTGCAACAAACCATTTAAGTCACCTTAACTTTTTGGGTTTCGTAGTGTGAAATAGATAGATTTTATTGTGTGTCGTTGTGTGTTGTTAGGACCCATTGTTTTCCTGTGTGCTGTGAAAAAGAATTTAAGCTTATGACTAGTGCAAATGCTCATTTGCTTTTTGTTCCTTTCTAATTGGAATGAACGTAGAACTGTGAAATATTGTCTTTCCTTTCTTTCAGACGAGTAACGGCAATGACCCGTGGGCAGTGTTTGACAATAATGCCTCTGGGGGGTTTTCTAATAACTGGGCAGCTCAGCCGGAGGGCACAGAGACGGGGAAAACCAGTAACAACAATGCATGGCAATCTGGGGGACAAGGGCATCCACAGGCCTACCAGGGTCCAGGTAACAACTCAAAATATTTGATTATTCACTCTGAACCAAATGTTTTGAAGGCTGTAATGATGTTTATGGGTCCCATAGACCTAGTTTTGTTTTAATTTGTAGTCTCAATTTGGCATGGGCCTGTAAACAATTCTGACACTATGATAACCTTATATAAAATGATCACTGTTACACAGTATTGTGGTTACTGCTTTAAAATATGCTCTTTTTAAATGTCAGGGTAAAAAACAACCACTTTTCCCCCATTGAACAGGTTATGGTAATCTAAAGTGACACGATATTGAGAAAAAAAATACACTGCAATATTTAGTTTTTCTGTGATGTATATTGCGATAATAATATAATTTCAGATGATTTTGGAAATGATTTATAATTTTACATTGATTTCTTGGAGTGTGCAAGTGTGCAATGACTCCACAAAATCATGTGTCCTGTTTAATTGTAATCCTAACTTGACAATGCAGAACCTGCGATGTGACCTGCATCGTCAAGTTGGGATTATAATTAACCAAGAGCCACAGTTCAGAACACGTGACGTCGTGGAGTCATTGCACACTTTACCCTAATCTATCAGAGTAAAAGATTACAATTTAGGGGCACAAAATTATAAAGTTTCTCTAACAAAAATTAATTGTGTTGATTATTTATAAAAAAGACTATACATTACTAAATACGTTAGTATTTAACGAATGACAAATATCTAAATTTTACATCAATAATTTTGTCTTCAACATTACATTGATGGAAACAAGTATGCATTTGCGCTGATTTCAGTCTGTTAAATGTCTTTTAATGCAGTTTGTGCTGATGATTCGGTCCTACATGGAAAACTGAACAGCAGAGCCAGAAGGCACACATACTTCTAATGTTTATTCCTCACAAAGAGCTGTTGCATTCCTCTGTAAGGGTTTCAGTCCTTTGTGTTCAGAAAACAAGTCGTTCTCTGGAGTTTGTAAATGGTGCTGCGCACTGTGTTTCATGGATGTTCTTGGCAAGATTTTTTATTACCTAAACATCTTGAAAGAGAGTAAATTCTTTTTGAAAGCTAGCTGGGTACGGTAGGAGTTAGAATGCACCAATCAACAAAAATACAATTTATAATAATATAATTTTATTGCAGGCAGATCAGATAATAAAGGAGAATTGGGAAAGTGTCAGGACGTGGACGCACTGGGTGCTTTTTTTTTGTACATGTCAGTGTTTACGAATAGATTACACCAACAAGAACATGAGCAGTCTTGACAAACTGTACAACAGTATAAAGCTACAGCCATCCACCACTAGTTGTTTTTTAATGTAAAGCTTATAAAGAATGTATTTGCTAAATTTGTATATAGTTCTTACATTTATTATCGTAATAACAAGACACACGTGCATTCGTTGCTGTACATTGCGGTTTATTTTGAAAGGTTAGGGGGAATTACAAGGGTGTATAATTGGCATGGACGGAGGGAATGTGTCCCCACCAATATCCACCAATTACCGAAATGTCTCTACCAATAATTTAATTGACTTAAAAAAAAATAATACTAATAATGCTCCGTCAACCTTACTTAACCTACACTTGCAAAAAAATCAAGTTTGCTTCGAGTCCACCGTAACACTAATAACCAAGGTTGTGCAATTAATCGAATATCGGTTTCGATATTGGCCTCAGTGATTATGAGAAACAATGGGGACTTCACCTCTCTAAATTTCTCTAAATTCAAACCTCCTCAAAGCCAGACTGCAGTTAAATAATGTAAATTGACTTTTGCAGCATGGGATGTAATTTTTTTTTGTATTAAGTGTTTACTTCATATTATTAAGTACTTTATTTATGTTTTTTAAAAGCGCGAAATTGCATTTTTGCTGTTCAATGCAGCTCTAGGGATGTATGTTCCAATGTCAAGAGCAAATCTACACCCTTAGTGAATTGAACAACATCTCATAGCACATTTAGTTCAACGACACAGTAATGTTTTATTTTGGACAGTTATTCATATGTTTGTGTCACCGTTTCTTCAGGAGAACTATTGTTTACATTTTTTACTATGGTATTTGTGTATGAAAATGGCATCTTTATAGTAAAAAGCAACACGGTTTTATAGCTTATGGTGTTATAAACAAAATGAGACCATAAGCTGAATAAAACGTCAAAGTTATAGTCACTAAAATCCAAACAAAGCAGTCGGGTGCTCTGACGTTTCGCTATGCCTACTGTATGCTATCTAAAAGCCGCTTTTAGCCAGTGGTTTAGTTTCTAGTTTGACTGGAGAAAACCTAATCCAAACTTGGCTTTCTCACTTCTGCTGAACACTAACCAATAAATTTTAAAGAGAGCAAGAAACTATTGACTTCCATAGTATTTGTATTTCCTACTATAGAAATCAATGGTTACGGGTTTTCAGCTTTCTTTCAAATATCTTCTTTTGTATTAAAACGACTTGAGGGAGAGTTATTGGTGATTTAATTTTCATTGTGTTGCTTTGGGGAATGTGTAGTACTCATTATTATGCAGTGTTGTATTTGAAAGTATGAAAAAATATATGTGACTTCTCTTATGACTAGCTGTGGCAATTATGGGTGTGGTGATCTCATCTGTGTCTTTGAGTCATGTGTGTTTTAGGCTAAAGTTCGCCAACAGTGAAGTCACTTCTGGAAGATCATCAGTTTTGGTCTTATTTCAGAGTCACGAGTGGTTGTAATTCACCTTTTCCATGTGCTGTAAAAATGCTGATTTATTCAATTTTGTGTCCTGTAAAGACAAGAAGAACATGTGGATTTGTTCTACAGATGTTTCCCCTTAATATTGAATCATTTCAGCAAACAAGATGACAAATTCAGTGAATTACTCATCCACTCAGTATAAATTAGGAATTAAATATGTTTTATTTCCAGTCAGTTCTTGCACAATCATTTTAATAATCTGAAAATGGAGGACTTGAAGGGATCATCATTTACTCTCCCTCATGAGGTTTTAAACCTTTTTAAGTTTCTTTCTGGTTGAAAGAAACTGGATGCTGGTTGCTTGCACCCATTGACATCCATAGTAGGTAGAAGTCAATGGGTCTCAGTAGTCAGCATTCTTCAAAGTATCTTATTTTATGTTCAACTGGAGAAAGAAACTCAAATAAGTTTTGAACAAATGACGGATGAGTAAATGATTTTGGGGTGAACTATCCCTTTAATGTGTAAAGGAGATATTTTGTCATCATAAATGAGCTTCAGATATTTATGTCATGACGTTTTTCCTTTTCTTCCTGAAGACATTTACCCCTACCCGTGTCTTATTGATCTCTCAGGTAAACTGTTTATGCGAGGGCTTGATGTGGTTTTAATAACAAACTGCACGAGCCAGAAACTCACAAGAATGTGTGTGAGTGTGAGAGTGTTTTCTTGCTGTGAAATTAGTTGTTTGTTTTCCACAGCCTGCATTTATGAGCGTTTTCTCAAGTACGGGCACTTTTATGTCCCAGGGGGTTTATTAAAATTAACATATTTTAACTTTGTTTTCCCTGTTAATAAACAGTCACATTAAAACAGAGTTGGAAAAAATTTCCTACTACTGAAATACACTATTTTGTATTGCTTTGTATTGGTTGATTTCACTGTATTTTATGTGTCCTTGTTACAGTGTAACTATTCCTTTAACTAAAGAGTGATATTAATTAATTACTGTATGGTTAGGATTGGGATGAGGGCTAGGTTTATGTTAGTTGCAGGTAATGATGCATAATTAGTTGTAATTGCTGCAGTAGTTACCTGTTATCTTAAAAAATAAAGTGTTACCTTTTTTGCTTTACCATTGTTAAAATCCTAGACTTTGTCATAATCTTAAAATATCTAATATCATAGACTTACTTTGTTTACGTACACTGCATGTGGAAAACAATAAATAAACAAAGGACCACATAAAAATTTCTATGGATTTTTAAAATGTTAATTTTAAGAATAATTTTTATTAAAGATATGTTTGATAATGTTTATCCTATTGCTAAATAGTCATTTAAATTATTTACATTTTTAGAAAATGACAGTGGGGTATATGCACACAGACTTTTAATTTCAGTCAACCAGCCGGGCTTTCGGTTGTTCGTCATCCCATACAAAATCAATTTAATCTGACTTTAAAAATCAGCGATTTCTCACTGCCTGGCTAAGATACACGATATAAAGTGGGTATCAGAGTAAACAGGAAGCACTGCATTAAACTATCTTTTCCCCCATCATGTCTTTAAAATATGGAAATACATTTTACCCCAGTATTTTCAATGGAATTTTTGCGCTAGCCTGCTACTAATGACAGTGCTCGCATTCAAATGTTTTTTCGTCTCTTTTTACGCTTTAACAACAAAGTGGATGCTGAAGTCTGTTTAACAGATTATATTTTAATTATATTACAACATCGATGCTGTAAATGAAACCTTATGAAACTGAAAAGCTTTCACGTAAAGCTTTCACCGGAAGTTCATCATTGGCTCAAAAGCACTACCTGTGCATAATAGCCAATTGGTCGGACTAACTAATGCTTTCTTTTGTTTTGTAAAGCTAAAAATTTAAACATTTCTGCCAAGCTGGCATTATTTTGTGATATAAAAAAAAATTATCTTAAATTTGGAGTAAATATCATCAGCATATATACATTGCAATGTTTCGTTGATCTGTGATGTATATTGCGATGATAATATAATTTCACTACATAGCTTTGAAAAATAATTCATAATTTTATATTGGATTTTTTGGATGAATTTGTTGCGAAGTGCATCTGCATAAAAGTATTTAAAGATTATTAAAAAAATATATACTAAATTATTTAAAATATCATCAAAAAAAACTGTTCATAAACAGCATTTTGTGATTTTTGCTGGAGTTTTACACAAACTGGCTAATAAAGCTGTGTTAGATGTTAACTAAATTAGCATGAGTGTTTTTAGCTGACTAACACCTAATTCAGTGCTTTTGGTTTTGTCAGTTCAAGGTTTGATAAAAATGTGTGTTTGGGGTGGCACGGTGGCTCAGTGGCTAGCACTGTCGCCTCACAGCAAGAAGGTTGCTGGTTCGGGTCCCGGCTGGGTCAGTTGGCATTTCTGTGTGAAATTTGCATGTTCGCTTTGTGTTTGCGTGGGTTTCCTCCGGGTGCTCCGGCTTTTCCCACAGTCCAAAGGCATGCACTATATATAGGTGAATGAGTAGTGTATGAGTGTGTTTGAGAATGTATGGTTGTATTCCAGTACTGGGTTGCAGCTGGTAGGGCATCCACTGCTTAAAACATATGCTGGATTAGTTGGCAGTTCATTTCGCTGTGGCGACCTCTGATAAATCAAAGACTAAGCCGAAGGTAAATGTATGAATGAATGTGTGTTTGTAGGTGCAGAAGATGATGAGTGGGACGAGGAGTGGGATGACATGAAGTCATCAGGCGGCTATGCTGAGTCTGAGGCCGGAGAGGGCGGGGCTATGAATAGAGGCGGAGCTCACGGTTCATCCATGAAAATTGCCCTTAACAAGTAAGTTGGATCAGAGGTCAGTGACACATAACGAAGTAAACAAGATGCACACAAAGCTGTTCAAAATAAATGCACCCTTTTCTCACGACTGACACGTTCAACGGTCATCAGCATCTTAAATCCTTGAAAGTTTTTAATATTTAGATTAAAATTAAAAAAACGCATATTTATATGCATTCATGTATGTATAACATAATCATCATAATTTACAAAAAATGAATTGCCTCTTACGAGAGGCATTTCTAATGCAGCATTTATGGACAGGACAGTTCATTTGACCTTGTTCTCTTTTCTGGCTGCCGTTATCAGTCTCGCACTTTTTTTCTTCTTCTTTTTCTGAAAGTCTTGATATCACCATCATGGAGTTGTTGTTTTTTTTATTATTACTTCAGCAAATAGGATCATAAAAAAAATATTGTTGCCCTCTCCCAATCACTACCCTCTGAAGTTTACCCAACTATGACTACTTCCGCTTCTGAGAAACCTGTAAATGTGAAAAGGGTCCATGTAGGGCTGCTCGATTATGGGAAAAATCATAATCACGATTATTTTGGTCATAATTGTAATCACGATTATTCAAAACGATTAACAGTTGAAGTCAAAATTATTCGCCTTTCTGTGAATTTATTGTTATATATAAATATTTCCCAAATGATGTTTAACAGAGGATATTTTTACAGTATTTCCTATAATATTTTTTCTTCTGGAGAAAGGCTTATTTGTTTTATTTCAGCTAGAATTAAAGCAGGTTTAAATATTTTGAAACCTATTTTAATAGCTCGATATTATTAGCCCCCTCAAGCAATATATATTTTTGATTGTCTGCAGAAGAAACTACTGTTATACAATGACTTGCCTATTTACCCTAATTAAGCCTTTGAATGTCACTTAAATCTGAATACTAGTATCTTGAAAAACATCTAGTAAAATATAATGTGCTGTCATCATAGCAAAGATAAAATAAATCAGTTATTAGAAATGAGTTATTAAATCTGTTATGTTTAAACTGTGCTTTAAGCATCTTTACTCTATCACTTTAAGAATAGTGTGGCTCTGCTATGGTGACTTTTAATTGTCACAACAATTTTAATTTAATTGTTTTAATTAATACGTGACTTTTAATTGTCAATTTGTGTGTTTATTAAACAAATGAGGTTAATATAAATAATCACTAAACACAGCGCTCTGACACAAATGTGCATGTATTTGACCAATAAAGTGTTCACATTAAGATGGCGTTAGATGTGGGTGTGTGCTCTGCTGTCCGAGGCCAAGCGCGGCGCTCGCGCAAACACACACACACACACGCTACATGTCCGAGGCTGAGCGCGATGCGCACACACACAACAGCACGTGCTCTTTCGCGCTTTTAAAAATATGAATGATGCGCATCCCGTACTGCAAAACTTACATTACAGCACATGCTTTTAGTCATTTTCACGTGGAACTGAGCTTTGCAGAGCAACATGTGTACAACTGGAAAGGGGGCGGTATGTGATGGAATGATCGTTTATCTCGATTAATGGTTTTTCATAATCGTTACAAGCCAAAATCGAAATCGGATTTTCGATTAAAATGCACAGCCCTAGGTCCATGAGGTTTGACATTTTTTCATCTAATGCGTTTCTTTCTTCCTCCTTTATCTTGCATATTTATTATGAGTTTTCTTGGCTCCTTGACAATTGGCTTTTGTTCCTCTTTGAATAAAACTGCCTGCTAGATGCATTAATTTAAATACCATCTTTAAAGCTTACTAAATATTTGAGAACTGAAAATTTTCATTCGTGGGACTGAAGGTTTAATTAGAACTGCCACAAAGAGGAACTAACACTTTGGTAGCCCTTATATTAATCATGCAATAAAGATGTATATACTGTATAGAGAGGACTCTTTTAATTTTACTACTAATAAACAGTTAACACTAAAAAATTAAATGAGATGATTTCCAGTTGGTGTAAATAATTACGTTTTTTTTCATATATGCCTTCTTGGTTTGCAATTTTTATTTAAGTTTTTTTTTTATTGCAACACGATTTACCATTAATACAAAATATAACGACAAGCTTGTTGGAATCGTGGCTCAAGGGTTAGCACTGATGCCTCACAGCAAGAAGGTTGCTGATTCGAGTCTTAGCTGGGCCAGTTGACATTTCTGTGTCATGTTGGCTTGGGTTTCCTCCGGTTTCCCCCACAGTCCAAAGACATGCGCTGTAGGTAAATTGGAAAATCTAAATTGGCCGTAGTGTATGAGTGCATGTTTGAATACGAGATTGTAGGGGTGTTTCCCAGTACTGGGTTGCGGCTGAAAAGCCATCCGCTGTGTAAAACATATGCTGGAATAGTTGGCGGTTCATTCCGCTGAGGTGACCCCTGATAAATAAGAGACTAAGCCGAAATAAAATGAATGAATGAATAACGACATACTCGTACATAAATCACACAGATTTTTTTAAGACTCTTGTCTTCTCTTTTTGCAGGTTTCCAGGCTTCTCTAAATCCGGCCCTGAATTGTACCTGCTGTCCAAGCAGCAAACCAAAGGAAACAAGTTGTCTGTTTATGTAAGCGGCTAATTTAATACACAATTTACTGTAAAGGCTGAGATAGAGGGTTAACAATAAATGGTTATTATCTGTAATACAGTATATAAACCTAGCAGAATTATAATTGTGTAGTTCTGGTGTCAGCACTGCACTAAAAACTATTTTAATGCATATATTGGTAGTACACTTAACGGTTAAATACAGTGGTCCTTCGTGCGGTTCACCTTTCGCGGTCTCGAAGTTTCATGGATTTTTTTTTACTTTTTTTTTTTTTTTTGCTGTTTGATAAGCTTTTTTTTCTACAGCATTGTGTGCCCTGATTGGCTGTACATCATTGTTAATTGATCTCCTACATGCCGTACCTCCTGTACAGTACAGAATGAGTTCAGTTTGCCAATTTGACATAAATTTTCCATCGCTAGCAGTGTGAATCTGAAGTGCTGCACTGTATGTTTGCAAGTTTTTTTCCCAACACACACCACAATGTCGATAAAACATTCTCCACCGCCCAAGGTACCTACCCTACCACCCTAAAGGCAGAGGAAGATGCTAACCATCTCACAAAAAGTTGGACTTCTGGACATGCTAAAGGAAGGTAGATATTACGGTGCTGTAGGGCATTATTACAGAATAAATGAATCATCTCAAACAAATGTTTTGGCCTGGAAACATGTTTTGATCTTTGGTTTCATTCAATAATACTGGACATATTTTTCTATGAAACTTTGAACTGAGAGTATTTAAACAAGAGAGAAAAGTGTGAAAATGTTTATAGCTGTCTGAGAAAACTGTATAAAGTGTGTGGTGAGGGGTTTTACAGTTTTAAAACATCTATAATAATTGTAAAAAATAAAGCTGACTACTTCTCTGATTTAATTTATTGTGGATTGTTTTTAGAACGTAACTCCCGCAATTAACGAGGGCTTCACTGTACATTGAAAACTGGAAGTGGCTCATTGTTATTAAATATGAATTTTGAAAAAGTGGTATTTTTGTATTAAATATATTATAATCTTTGTTTTTTTCAAAATTCAAGGATATATATTTTACTAATATTTAAATATTTTTAGAATTAAATTAGATCTGATATAGTTTTAAATTTTACTAATAATTTTACAAGTAACTTTTACTAGTAGTAATTCAAGAGTATCTATTTTTTAATATTGAAATATTTTTACTGCTGTTTTAGATCTAATACAGTGGTCCGGCGTTAATTGCGGGAGTTACGCTATAAAAATAACTCAATTGGTGAAATTTGCGAAGTAGTCTTTTACAGTATTTTTTACATTTATTATAGATGTTTTAAGGCTGTAAAACTCCTCATTACACACTTTATACACTTTTCTTAGGGTGCTTTCACACCTGTAAATCGATGCAGTTGTTCCGAAACAGAGATTACAAATGTTACATTGTTGCTCTTTGCTCTTGGAGTGGTTCGCTTTTACACTGCAAAGTTTCTAATTGGACCAAAAGAGCTAAAACAAGTCACGTGTGAGTAAACTCTCCTCACATTGGTCAGAGTGTCAGGGTTTATTTTGCAGCGTCCCGCTCAGCTGTCAGGAGAGGTGGTGGTTTGGTGGTGATTGACAAAGTGCGCGCGTGCGACATGTCGGAGGAGAGATGTGGTGGGGAGGGTTGAGAAGGGTGCGCGACGATGCCTATTTGAGGACCGGGAGGGAGACACGAGATTACCTGGAGATTACTACTCGTTTGCGGGCATCCGGAGACTCGCGAAACTTCCCGCCCTACTAATTATCTCTTCATATATCCGTATGCCTATTACATATCCATAAAACACTGTGATATAACCGCGATTGGATCGCTTTCTCACTGCAATCGAACCACTCCAGGGTTTGTTTCAATCGAGCCAAGACCACCTCACTCGGAGCGGTCTCGGAGTGATTACTTTGGCACGGAACAGAGCGTGATTGCCCTGTTCACATATGTCAAATGAACTGCGCTAACTGGGCAAACGAGACAGGTTCTGAAACAAAAGTGTAGGTGTGAAAGCACCCTTAGTCAGGCATTAACATTTTCACACTTTCCTCTCTTATTTAAACACTCAAAGTTCAAACTTTTGTTGTAAAATATGTCCAGTATTAAAGAATGAAATCAAAGATCAAAACCTGCTGTCAGACGCAAACATTCATCACTGTAAGCAAAAGATTCTTAAAGCTTTATAGCTTACATGCGAATAATGTCCAGCGTAATGTTCTTAATCCTGCAGTCACTGATCCACAAAACTAAAGTGACCATCCTTGAGGAGGTCACACACAGGATGTGCACATACGCATGTTATTTAAAATGAAATATTAATTCAGATGGTGCTCTGTAGGCAGCAGAAATATAAACCGTGTCCTGAGTTGTAGCCGGGCACAGCTTGATATAAACCTATGTTTACAATTCTAAAATGCATGGCGCTGTGTGGTGTGGCGCACCTGGTGTGTGACCCCAATTACGATGGTCTTGCTGCGGACAGTTACAATCCTTTTTGCATCCTTGTTGGAACTGCTAGCGATCGAAGATTTGTTAATTTGGCAAGCTGAATGCGTTCTGTACTGTATAGGAGACACGGAGGAGATGGATTGACTATGATTTACAGTCAGTCAGGATGCAGAACACAATGCGCTGATGTCAAATTTCACTAAAAAAATCTGTGAAACTGCGAGGTCCAAAAGGTAATATATATATATATATATTCTAAAATATATATATATATATATATATATATATATATATATATATATATATATATATATATATATATATATATATATATATATAGCGTTATAGCGAGGAACCACTGTATTTAACTAATACTTTTCAATTAACCTTTACTAATACAATTCAAAAATACATATTTTACTAATATTTAAATATTCTTACAAATATTTTAGATATAATATAATATTCAGGTTATCCCAGAATGTATCTTAATGTTTTAGCTCAAAACATCAATGTATTATATCATATTAGTGCATATATACGTTTCTTTTTTTTCTAAACTTATAAATCTTATCATTAGGTGCTAAAGTGGCTTCATGAAGTATTATCAGTAATGAAATGTAAGCACTGTGTACTTTTAGATATGATTGGAATTTTTGTATTTTAGAGCGGGGAAGTCGGTCCAGTTTGGGCGTATCCAGACTACCAACTAGACTGTGTTGTCGCTGATCCTAAAAAGGGCTCCAAAATGTATGGCCTCAAGAGTTACATTGAATACCAAGTCATCCCCACCGTAAGTACACAAACAGTCCTGTTTGACTGAACATCTGCATGTTAATCATTCCAGCTCATTCTTTTTTTTTAATGACAATGTTTTTGCAGACCACAAACAAGCCCGTCAATCACAGATACAAGCACTTCGATTGGTTATATGAAAGGCTTTTGGATAAATTTGGGTCAGCGATTCCAATTCCCTGCCTGCCTGATAAACAGGTGACAGGTAAGCACTGTACAATGTTCAATTATGCAATCATTACAATCACATCAAGATGGTCATTGGTTTGCACTGTGTGGAGTTTGCATTTTCTCCCCATGTTGGCATGGGTTTCCTCAAGGTGCTCCAGTTTCCCCCACAGTACAAAGACTTGGTACAGTATAAGGGAACTGGATGAACTAAATTGGCCGTAGTGTATGAGTCTGTGTGTGAATGTAAGTGTAGGGGTGTTGCCCAGTACTGGGTTGCAGCTGGGTGGACATCCTCTACGTAAAACATATGCTGGAATAGTTGCCAGTTCATATCACTGTGGCGAGTCGCGACCCTTGATAAATAAGAGATTAAGACGAAGGAGAATGAATGAATGAAGGAATATTATAAGAAAACTAATTTTATTTTTAAAAATTCATCTGGAAATTTCAAAACATATTTTTAATCTAAAATAAAAGTAGATATGATGAAGTGCTATTTACCGGATGTCCCATACAAGAATATGCTGCTTTTAATGTATGTAGAAAAAAAACTTTAATCAAATAATGTCATTTTAACAAGAAGTATTTAGAAGATTTTCAAATCTTATACCTTAAAAAATGCCAGAAAATATTCTAACTTTTGGCAAATACTTAATTCAAATGCTTTTGGGAAGTAGCAGAAAAGCCATACCTTAAATAAGGTTAAAGGTTGATCCTTTAGCAATGGCTCAATGGATAGTAGTTGTAAAGGGAATACACTGTATGGAAAGATGGACTTAAGACTTGATTCAAAAAAGTGCAACAGGTATTGGCAAATTGGTATGACATTGTAAACAATGTGATGATGTGGTTCAAATGTATTGTGACACCCCCCCACCCCCCCTTTATTATTTTGTTAGTAATTTTTTTCCGTAAATAAAATTAAAAAGTAAAAAAATATATATTTTTAATCAAGGACTTTAATTGTCACATCATTAGCAGCACGTGTGCCAAGATGAGTGAAAAGCTTAGGTGCTGTCCCTAGACCAAAATACAGACAGATGATTAATAGTTATTACTGACAAAGTAATATGCATAGTTTAATAAAACAAATATACTGTTATAGTCAGAATTATTAGCCCCCCTGTTTATTTTTCCCCCCAATTTCTGTTTAACGGAGAAAAGATTTTTTTTCAGCACATTTCTAAACATAATAGTTTTAATAACTCATTTACAAATAACTGATTTATTTTATCTTTGCCATGATGACAGTAAATAATTTTGGATTAGATATTTTTCAATACACTTATACAGCTTAAAGTGACATTTAAAGGCTTAACTAGGTTGATTAGGTTAACTAAGCAGGTTTGGGTAATTGGACAAATTATTGTGTAATCGAAAACTAATATAGCTTAAAGAAGCTAATAATTTTAGCCTTAAAATGTTTTAAGAAAAATTGAAAACTGCTTTTATTATAAGCAAATTAAACAAATAAGCCTTTCTCCAGAAGAAAATATATTATCAGACATACTGTGAAAATTTCGACTTTATATATGTGTAAATATATTCCAGCCAAACTAAAAGAAATAAGATTTTTCCAGATGAAACACATAATAGGAAATACTTCACAAATATCCTTTCTCTTTTAAACTTAACTTTAAGAAATAAAAAATTCGATGAAAAAATTTGTACTAAACAGTCTGTTATTAATACTTTTTAGGTCGATTTGAGGAAGAGTTTATAAAAATGCGAATGGAGAGGCTTCAGGGTTGGATGTCTCGAATGTGCCGGCATCCGGTGGTCTCCAGCAGTGAAGTCTTCCAGCTTTTTCTGTCCTACAAAGATGAAAAGGTAGAGTATTCCAGTACTACATATAAACTAGGGCTGCACTAAATCAGAAAAAATCTTGATATTTTGGTATTCAGCGACATATATTGCGATAAGAATACAATGGATGACTTGAATATCTCTGTTTGGATATATTTATCATTTTATATTGCATAAATGATAACAAATGATCTACAAGCACAGATAAATACAATGAAGAAAAAAATACAAATGATACAATGTTTTATTGTTTTCCGAGGAGTTTACATTATTTATTATTAACATTTTTCAGGTAAATAGTAATTGATTGTTCAAATGCAATATATTACTGTGTAGTCTTCGTTATAAATAATTCAATAAAATGAATCCTTATGAAAATTACAAACGGTACAGTTTCAACATTGCATATGCTGCGATGTGACTCTTGTGAATGATTAAATTGCAATATCGATGCTGAAACTATATATTGTGCAGCTCTAATATAAATCGATTGGCTCTTTTTTTTGTTTAAATAGGCTACTTATAGTGAGTGCCAGTTCAATATGACCACTACCGTCAAGTGTGACACTGCAACAGACAAAGGGTTTACGAAAATGTATTTAATTTTAACAGTAGCTTGTGACTATGCTGCAAGGGTGCACAAAGGGACAGGATGTGAACGGAAAGAAATGTACAGTAGCTGTAAATACCCTGCTACTGGTAAATGAGAAAGATAAACTTTAAATAAATAAACTTTAAATAAATAAACTTTTAAATAAAATTAAACTTTATTTAACTTGTAAATGAAGTTAAATAACGAAACAGCATTATAATTCCTTCATAAATCATTTTAAAAACTTGTTAACAAGCTTTATTATCATTGCAAACTTGTTAAATACAGTGAGGATTCTTTTGGAAATCTAATCTAATTAAACTAGAATTTAAAGAAAACTAAAATAAAAGTACAAACATAAATAAATAAACAAAGTTGTGTTTTAGCCTAAATATAGAGAGATGTACAGTGTTTATTTTAAAGTGATTAGACTAATGCATATCGCGGTTTTTGTGTGTAAATAGATGTGTGAACATTTTGAGTCTACTCGCTTTATTCACGCGTCAAACTCATTTTACAAAACACGCAAAATCGCGTCATGGGCAGGCCTTCTGTCTGCCCGGTGTCTCTAGTTTCGTTGCTAAATGGCTAACATGGGTTTTATTGAGAGAGTAGCTATACTTTGTGCTTTAGGAAGGCTGATAAACAGCGTAGATTTATTTGAAGTTGTGTCTGATCCACTAGATTCTTTCAGGGGTGCACCCAGTTCATAAACTCTTCTAGAAACTATACCTGGATGATGGAGGCTTTCAGCGGTGCTTCTGACTGAGATGAGCCCAGTTTGATGAGCTGGTGTCGGCAGGAGGATTTCCCCTCAGGACACCAACAACAGGCACTTTGTCATAATCACGCCCCTAAAAAAGCAAGTTACTGATTGGTTAACGTGGTGCGAATGTCTGATAAGGTTTACATTATCCAACTCCATCGATTTGAACGTTAAGTGTGTCAAACAAGTAAAACACTCGACTCGCGCTACCTCATTCGCACAAATCATGCCACAGAATGTCTATTTACATCTTTGCATTGACTTAACATGTAAATCACTCATGCTCGACGCTTCATCTGCGTCTGGTGTGAACGCACTATAATAAGCTTTTTAATTTACATTTTCTTTGTTGATTTATGTTTTACTTTTTTATTCTATGTCTTAATTAGGTTACATAAATAATGAATGAATAATTAAATAGGGATAAATAATTTATTTATTTAAAGGCTATAACAGCGAAACACAGAGAAACGTTCCCATGGTAAAGGGCTACTTCGTCAAAAGCATAAAAATAAAGTGGCTTACCTCAAGCACATCCAAAAATTACAAAAGCAGCACCCAGCGATCAAAAACTGCAGGTGAATTTTGACGATTAAGCACGGCGGTGTGTGTAGCAGCAGTAGAAACACATTGAACTGTGACCATCTGTAGTTTATTTTAAGATATATTTTTGTATACTCAATACAGGACTGGAAAACTGGTAAGAGAAAAGCAGAAAAAGACGAGACCGTCGGAGTCATGATTTTCTCAACAATAGAGCCTGAAGGACTGCCAGACATGGACCTGATTGAAGTGTAAGTCCTTCACGACCACTGCCTTTAATATGTCTAGGTTATTAGCTAGAACTAATGCAGCTCATGCTGGTACAGTCAAGCAGATGCTGATTTATTGCTGGTTCAGGATGCTCTGCCAGCTAATAATGAGCCACCTCTTCATCTTCTGTGCTGTCTTGTTGCTTTCAGAGAGCAGAAATGTGAGCAGTTCAGCCGCTTTACCAAGGCAATGGACGACGGTGTGAAAGACTTGCTGACTGTAGGAAATGAACATTGGAAGCGCTGCACAGGCCGTGAGTATTATTTGAGGCACTGAAGGTTATGGCGGTTATGGTTTAGGTGCACTAAAGTTTAACCTTACATAGCATTGTTTTTGATATAATGACAGTGCATAATATTGTACTAGTTATTATGTAGGATATTAGTATTAAGCTTAAAGTGCAATTTAGACCTAACTCGGTTAATTAGGTTAGTTTAGGGGGGGGGAATGGAAAGTTATTGGACAACAGTGGTTTGTTCTGGGCTAGTAATAATGACCTTAAAAATTACTCTTAAAAAATAAAAACAGCTTTTATTCCAAACCAAAAAAAAAACTAAAAAATGTCTTTGGTTTGTTAAACATCTCTTCAAACATTGTCTTCAATTGTACAGTATATGCACTCACCGGCCACTTTATTAGGTACATCTTTCCAACTGCTCATTAATGCAAATTTCTAATCAACCAATCACATGGCAGCAACTCAATACATTTAGCATTTAGACATGGTCAAGACGATCTGCTGAAGTTCAAACCGAGCATCAGAATGGGTAAAAAGGTGATTTAAGTGACTTTGAACGTGGCATGGTTGTTAGTACTAGATGGGCTTTTCTGAGGTTTTCAGAAACTGCTGATCTACTGGTATTTTTACACACAACCATCTCTAGGGTTTACAGAGAATAGTACGAAAAAGGGAAAATATCCAGTGAGCGGCAGTTCTGTGGGCGCAAAGGTCTTTTGATGCCAGAGGTCTGAGAAGAATGGCCAGACTGGTTCAAGCTAAAAGAAAGGCAACAGTAACTCAAATAATCTCCAGAAGAGTTTGTTACAACCAGAAGAACATCTTTGAACACGCCGAACCTTGAGGCAGAATTTGGCATCAACAACATGAAAGCATGGATCCATTCTGCCTTGCATCAAAAGTTCAGACTTGTGGTGTTGGTGGTGGTGTAATGTTGTGGGGGAAATTTTCTTGGCACTTTCAGCCCATTAGTAGCAATTGAGCATTGAGTATTGTTGCTGACCATGTCCATTTTTTTATGGACAGTGTACCCATCTTCTGATGGCTATATCCAGCAGGATAGCGCACCATGTCATAAAGTTAGAATCCTCTCAGACTGGATTTTTGAACATGACAATGAGTTCACTGTACTCAAATGGCCTCCACATTCACCCGATCTCAATTTAATAGAGTACCTTTGGGATGTGGTGGAATTAGAGATTCGCATTATGGATGTGCATTATAGTAATAATAAAATAATGTAAAAAAACAAGGTGCAGAGGCAAAATATTCAAATTATAAAATATTTACAAAGTCCTTATAAAGTTTCAGTTAACTATTGCAAATAACTCTCTCAATCTTTCACCATCAACACTTGTAATTACACATTATATGTGTATTATTTGCCCTGCCCTAGACTACATAGGGGTTGTAACAATAATAATAATAAAAAAAAGACTGTCAAAGCTGATACTGATTAAAAAATATTTGAAAATGGACAAAAGGTTGTTGTTTTTTAAAGTGTTTTATTCATCAAAGAATCCTGATAAAATATATCACAGTTGAAGTAATGATATATTGTATCTCAAGTTTGAAGGGTCTCAGGCTAATTAGTCTAATTTTCTGTTATCTTTGTTTTTTCAGCACTTCCCAAAGAATATCAACGAATTGGCAAAGCTTTCCAGAACCTTTCCTCAGTGTTCACCACAAGTGGATATGAAGGTATCAGAAACTGTTTGGTTCCTCTACATCAATGAGCTAAAAAGGTTTTGTTCCCTTTTCACCATCTGGTTGAGTACTCAGAAACTTTATTGAAAAGCTCCTTGTTTCTTGTTAATGCCATTTTGCATATTTGTTTTCTGTACAAGCCAGATGTTGTCTATTAAATTAGACAAGGGCTCTAGACTGCTGTATAAGACTGAAGGGCTTTATTCTGTGAAAACATCTGACCTGGATGTATTTTATCCTGCTTATTACATGGCTACTTGCCACAAAACATAAAAATTGGAAACAAAACATTGTTCTGAGCCATGATAGTTTATTAATTTTTTCATTAAATCAAAGTTGACTGAAATGAAACCAGCTGAGTAGAGCTGATGGAGCATACAATAACCTGTGTGCTATTCGGTCACATAAGGGCACCAAACAGACAAAAACGCAAAGCTGACAGAAACTAAACCATTTGAATGAAGCATACATTAACCAAACAGTCAAAAACCTTAGCAGATACATATTAATGTGGATATAAGTATATAATTGTAAATATATTTACTGAACGTCAAGATGATTCAAAGTTGTGAGCCTGTGTTATATAGCGGTTGCTATCTTGGAATAACATACTTTGGAAGGTTGTGACTGGACAATCAGAATTCCAGACAGCCATGTAATAAATAATGATATAGCAGGACTGTACAGTGGTCAAGAGAGTTTTTGTCTTTACTTTAACACCCTGATTACATGATTTCTATGTATTTTGCAGATTATTATCCTAAATAAACTGACGATTAATTGTAAAGCTAAAATTTATTTTATTTTTATTAGAATATGCAAAAATGTACATAAATTGGGATCATACAAATACAAAGAAACATAAAAACAAAACAAAACAAAAACAACAACAATATAGTCAGGTACTGGTAGGTGTGTGCGTGCATGCATGCGTGCATGTAAAGGTAACTTGGTGGACAGGTCAGAGTACATAAGGAACAATAACAATCAATAAATGAAGCAAGTATAGCAGATACTGTTTAAGTAAAACAGATAGAAAGAAACCAGTCAGTGGCAAGGAGTAACAACAATGCTTAGTAATAGCTCACCATAGCGCCACTTACCAGTAAGCTTCATCTAATATAGAAGTAATCATTTAAAAATGTAAATATTTGCAGAGATATATAAAAATAAAGTGTTGCACATTGATACATTAAATACAGGGTATTTCCTACCCTGTTAAATCATTGTTGATAACTTTTGCGAGAATCATTAACATGATCAGTGTCTTCACATGGATGAATATCATTAATTATTACCAAAAATATAAAGTATAATTAAAAGTAAATTGAGCAAATTTGTTATTTGAGAGGTGTTTATCAAACTGGTAGCCCTCCACATAATCGGTACACAAGAAGTAGCTCTCAGTTTCATAAAGGTTGGTGACCCCTGTAATATATGATAGTAATAATGACAGTAAAAAAGAAAGAAAGGACAACAGTAATAATAACTGACAATGATAATAAATCACAAGTACTACACTAACTACTACTACAGAAAGTTACTTATATTACAACTACTACTGCTTCTACTACAACCACGACTACTACTACTACTACAATGTCTACTTATACTGATGCTACTACTACTGATACTACTACAGCATCTGCTACAACTAATACAACAACGTCTACTACTACTAATACCGCATTTACTGCTACCACTGAAGCTGAAATTAACGTAATATCCTCAACTAAATATAATTTAAAGGTTAATAAAAATAAATGAATTGTTAAAATGGGATCAAAATAAGTTGCCCTTTTTATAGGCTAATGATGGAAACATTTACTTATACATACAAACAAGTTGACAGAAGTTAGCACGTTGTGTTTGTATTGTTTGGTTTTTTCAGATCAAACTGTGCATTTTGCACTGATTGAGGAATTGCATTGCATTGTCTATTTGTGTTTGTGTTGTGAGAATTCGCTATTATGCTGCTGTCAAACCAATGAAGATATTTTTTAACTAAAAGAATTCCTCAGTTTTCTTTATTTGCTTGTGGTTTTTTTGCATCAGGGCTGCATAGTATATAGTTTCAGCATCGATGTCACAATGGTGGCATCTGCAATAGTCATATCTCAAGATATGCAATGTTGAGTCTGAATTATCTTTGACCAGGAGCCACAGAATTGTATTTAATTACTTTATTTCAAGAGCTCCCACTTACTTATTGCTTGATGCTATTAGCATGTTTGGCATGCTGTCCCAGGAGAGAACCCATTGCTTGGAGATAATTGAGCCCAGGGCTCCCACTTGGTCAATTAGGATGTATGGGGGTCTGAGATCAGGTTGGTCTCTAGAGCTCCGCCGGGTAAAGGAGAAAAATAAGGAGATATGGTGGAAGGGGGGATTCTTCCAAAACAAAGATAAGGCATTAGGGTGAAATCGGTCTATTTATTGTAGGCCTATGTTAGATTTTGCTGTATTTGGCTTAACCATTGTTGGGTGGCTCGCCAATGTATCAGATGACTCTAATACATAAAATAAGTAAGCTGACCAAAGTTCTTACGGAGAGAAGACTTTTTTGAAGACAATCAATAGTGCAGTTCCTCAGCAGTGATGTTAACCCGTCGGTCTTCAAGTAACTTAACTCAAAGTACTGTCTGTGAGACAGTACTTTATATTAGCATCAAACAAACCATTCTGTTTACAAGGCTCAGCAGGACCCTCTTCAGATGTTTCAGCTGTTGTTTTGCTAATACCCATTGAGATTGTTAAAGGCTCATTTAGTTCACACCTATCAGTTTGTGGGGGTTGAGGCACAGGTCAACCCATCATATCACATCAGAGTTTAATCAATGTAAATGCAACTGAACTAAAATGCACATAATCTTTCAATCCCTCCTCTGATCATATTTGATCATAAAACAAGTTAATCATGTATACAGAAATCTGCAATACAGGCTATATAACTTAAAGTGACAGAAAAAGAAGTCATGGTGAAGCTTGCATTTCCTCAAATGCCAGAGTCCATTTCTATTTGAAGTTGTGATGTTGTAGAAGTAGCGGATGTGGTTGTGTTCTGTGAATGTTCAGGTGTGTTCATCTAGGTGTCTGGTGTTGTGTGTCTCTGGTCATCCTCTGGAACACCTGCAATCACACAAAAGAGAAAAGGGAAACGTATCTTGCCCAGAAAAATATTTCAGAGAAATTGTCAAACTGCCTATAGAAACTATAGAAACTGTCCCTATTTAATATTGACAGGACACTACAGTGTTTATCAGTGGTGGTTTATGTCTTCATCCTCAGGCGACAAGCTTGTGCCTAAAAACTCTAGTCCCGCCATATCTGGACTCTGAAAAACACTACTGTCATCTATCCCTCGTCTCTAGGCAAACTCACGTTGATCCATTCATCAAGTCCCTGAACTTTATTTATTAAATCAGATACTAAAACCTTCTCATGTGAGCTCTCACACCTAGATTTTAATGGTAATATCTGAGGTTGTAGCATCTTTACCCATTTTCTGGGCTCTAAACTATGGCCCCTCTTCAGAGGTGACAAAACTTGATTATTGTCCTCATGTACTGCCAGGCTGAGTCTTGCTTTGTATTGGACAAGGCTGTCAGATGTCAGATTTTCGGTGGACATGGGCTGGCTTAGGGCATGTTCAAAAGGGCATAGTCTATTTCCATCTGTACTGCATTGGTTGCCATCATGCAGTTCTATTGCACCCTCCATCAGCATTTCTTTTGTTGAGTTTTCATTTGCAGTCTGCTTTCTGTCTAAGACTGATCGGTGGTCTTGCTGAAGCTGTCTTAATGCCGCTGTATGTTCACCTCTCTCCTTTACGGCTTGTTTGGCAACACCATCTACTAGGACATCAAACTTGTCTTCATCTGTTGAGACTTCTGTGTCAGCTTTTATCTTACTGTTTGCATACACATTCAGTTCATCAGCTTCTGGAAAAGACGTCACTAGCTGGTGCTGCAGAGAGAGGTTCTTCAGTTTCCCTGCGGCTGTACAGCATTTAGCAGAGTCTGTTTTTGTTGTATTGTTAGCTGCTGAAACTGCTTGAACAGGTGGTCATCATCCTTGCTTTGATGTTTTAAACTGAGCTTGCACTCACGGGCCCAGTGTCCTTCTTCATTGCAATTTCTGCATCTTCCTTTAGTTCGTAGTTTTGAGTATCCCATATACTCACGTTCTTTTTGCTCATCCTCAGTTGTTCTGTTCTTGTAAAACAAACTTTTCGATTACAAAGATCTGAGTCTGACATCTTGTGCTCTCTCCAGTTTAGCTGACCATTCAACAATCTGGATGAAAGTTGTTACAGTGCTGTCCCAGTCATCATACCTGATTTTAAGATCTTTAGAAATCTCAGGATTGAGTCCATTGACAAATGCTGTTTTCAGGGGAATTCCAGTGTCTTTGTCAAGATCTTCACTTGTATTCAGACCAGAATGTTCCGTCCATATTTGTCTGAAGCGTTCTTCAAACTCTGCAACACTTTCTCCAGTTTTCTGCATGCATGAGGTAATTCTTGCCCAATTGACCTCTGCAGGTTTCAGTTCAAACAAGAAGTTTTTTATGGCTTCCCATCCATCCTCTATGTTTTCTTGTGATTCACCAATCCTTCTTTCAACACTTTCTGTGAGTCTCTTTTGGTCACTGTCTCTTAGGGTGACATTAAGAATCATCACGCCGTCTAGTGGATGTAAAATGTAGATTTTCTGCAGTCGTTGGAAAAACTGCCAAACCTTTCGTGGTTGTTTGTATACATCTGGCAGCTCTTTTGACCATTTGTCAACTTGCTCTGGAGTAGCTGGATGGTATGTCCTGTATGGAACATACTTCTTTACCACTTTTGTCACAGTGCGAGTTCGTCTTTCTCCATTGTCTTCATAGCCCTCCTCATTGTCAATTTCAATGTTAGTCCTTCTGTGTTTGACAATCACAGGAGCTAATCTAATCTTTGAGTTCACTTGGTCATGAACACAGGTGTTGATGGAAAGATCAGCCTCACTGTCAACAAAGCTGCTTGAAGATCTTGATTCCAGCTGTTTGGAGATCAAAGTCAATAGCTTGTTGTTTTCATTTTCCAGTCTTTCTTTATCCTTCTTTAAGTTTTGCAATTGTTCAGCCAGTGCTCGAACTTTAGCTTTCTCCGCTTTGTTCTCACGTTCCAATTTGTCAGTCTCACACATATGCTCATGTTGAAGAATTTGCTTAACCAAAATCACAGACAATCCATCCTTCTTTGTGGTTGTGCATAAGCGCTGTGTCTTTCCATAAGCCCTTTTAATGTCCGGCAATGCCCATAATCCACTCTGTGAGTGCTTGATGCTGTACTTCTTGCATACATCATCACGACACTTCCTCAGTCCCAGCCTTTTGTCTAAATATGCATTCAATTTCTCCAACATCTAGTCAATGGTAACACATGGAGGTTCTGTTTCATGTTTTTCTGATGTTGTTCTCAGGGTAGCTCCATTAGCATAGTTTCTTGCAGACTCAGCCATGGGAAGTACAGGACAGTGCTCTCAGAGGTGTGAAACAGAACAAAAGGTGTTAGAGCTAATAAAGTGCTTATTCAAATTTAAATTCACAGCAGTCTGTTAAACCATTTCAAATACATAGACAGATTCAACATTTGTTTCAAAGCTAAAATAGTGGCTACTAAATTAGCACTTTCATTCTTTCAGTCCCAAATCTTATTTGGCTACTAACAATCTTTGAACAGATGTATTAAACTATTACTTTTAAAATCTCTTCAATCCCAACAGAGAATGTATCAAGCTTTGCTTCTGCATTATCTTAGTGATTTGACCAGAATTCTTTTTTCACAGTTTCTACAATCTTCAAAGCAAGAATCAAACCTAAAATTGCCTGAAAGCTTCTGTCTAATAACAATTCTTTCTGAGCATTATCTTAGAAGGCTAAGTAACTTTCTTTAGGATTTGTCCCTAACACAATGTGCTTAAATCTCACTGTATCCTTAAACCTAAGGCAAACAGCTTTCAGTTTTATGCCATTATATTGTAACACAGTTAGAATTTTTAAAATTACAATAATGGCTACTGAATTAGCCCACAGTCAAGAATTCCTCATTCTTGCAGCAATATCAGTCTCAAACTATTTATGTTTGCTTTATATGGCTCTTAACCATCTTTGGTAAAGGAGCTAAACTGTTATTTTTCAATCTCTACAATCACAGCTGAGAATGGACCAAGCTCTGCTTCTGCATAATCTTAGTGATTGGACCAGAATGATTATTTAACAGTTCATGCAAACTCTAGAAAACGAACCAAAAACTAGGATCTTTGAGATGAGATCCAGTTAATTAAAATAAAGTGTGTCCACAGATACAATATATAGACCCAGGACTCGTCCACAAACAAAATCCGTTTATCTTCAGCTTTAACTGTAGATTCTCCAAGATTCTTCAGTTCATTTCTTGTTGCAGTTGATGAGTTTTCCTCTTTTCAGTCTCTCCTGGCTGGCTCGCCAAATTGTTAGATTTTGCTGTATTTGGCTTAACCATTGTTGGGTGGCTCGCCAATGTATCAGATGACTCTAATACATAAAATAAGTAAGCTGACCAAAGTTCTTACGGAGAGAAGACTTTATTGAAGACAATCAATAGTGCAGTTCCTCAGCAGTGATGTTAACCCGTCGGTCTTTAAGTAACTTAACTCAAAGTACTGTCTGTGAGACAGTACTTTATATTAGCATCAAACAAACCATTCTGTTTACAAGGCTCAGCAGGACCCTCTTCAGATGTTTCAGCTGTTGTTTTGCTAATACCCATTGAGATTGTTAAAGCGTCATTTAGTTCACACCTATCAGTTTGTGGGGGTTGAGGCACAGGTCAACCCATCATATCACATCAGAGTTTAATCAATGTAAATGCAACTGAACTAAAATGCACATAATCTTTCACCTAGGATCAACTTGATTGGATTGTCACTGATTAAGGATAAGAGACCAGCGGCAATCGATATCACTTGCTCCTCTCGAAATTATTTTAGAAACTTTTACGGAATTTATATGATTCATGCAACAACAAAAAAATTTCATTTTTGCCTTGTTATTAGTCTAAATATCTACATTTCAAAGCAAAAACAAGAATACTTACGCCACTGGCAGATAATTTTGCTAGTTTTAAGTAAGGGTGGATGGATCACAACCCACAGTTCGGGACGCACGTGACCTGCAGATTAAACTTGTAGGTTAATCCAACATTAATAACAATTGCAAAGAGATCGCCTCCTGTGTCATTCAAGTCACATCTATGAAAGCATTTTGGCTTCCCTGTAATATTATGATGGAAAAAGTTGTGGTGGGACCTAAATGCTTTCTTAGGTTATTAATAAAGGTGTTTTCTGTCACTGTTTGTTTAGCCTGCTTTAATGCATTCAGTGTGAAGCTTAACGATTAAAGATTAAAAGATCGTGATCTCAATTCAAACCCGCGCAACATAAATGATAAATGATAATGATTTGCAAATGTTTATTAATCCTAAGTGCTGCAGTCAAATCTGTGTTTGGTCGAGAGAGATTCAGTTTTTACACTTTTTCAGTTTGTTACAAACACTTAAATACCACAGAAGAACTGTGAGAACAGTTCATAGTTCAGATATAAACATTAGTTTATGGTAAAGATTAAAATCACTTTTTAATGGAACTTGACGCTGATGAATGTTGTAGCAGTAACATTGTGTAACCAATGGGTGGCGACAAGCGACCACCAAAATTGTGTCACTGAGTAGGTTTTCAAAAATGATCCACCTATAATGTAAAAAGTTTTATGTGTGAATTGTTGAATCATTCATCTAAAATAAATAAAATATGTTGTACAAGATATAAATTTTTTATATCTTTCTCAGCAACAGTAGCAAAGATAGTTTTCGTATTGAATATTTTCCTTTTTTTCAGCTGGTTCTTTCTTGATTTTAATTTTTATCAAAAATATAGCTTCTAAGTTCTGTTTGTTAAAACCAATGGTTTTTGCAGTAATATTTTTGTATTAATAGCAAAAAAGGAGACAAAATGTCATTTGCTTTTTTTCTGATCGGAAAAACAGTCCGATCTGTGACTCAAACCGTTGTGTGATCTGAACCGTGAGATTTGTGATCCATTACACCACTTAACGAAAAACTTCTAAGCTTTGCATTATTTCTACTGACTAAAACAAAACAGTGTTTTGATTTGATCTAAGAATTTTTTAAATATTTGGATTAGAAACGAGGTAGAGTAATACTGTTAGACTTCCCATAAAATCATCAATCATATAGTGCTATTCCAACTATATTGTGTGAAACTGTGTTCATATCTCAATATGTCATCACAGACAAATAAAATATCACAATAATATTAGATTTTTCCAATATCATGCTGCCCTATTTGCAGTGTATTGAGCTCTCATGGCCACTGGTGGATTGTGGCCTTGTTTAAGGCTGAACCAAAAGTCTTTGTATTAGATGTTCAACCATGGGTGTGTTTGTATAATTCTGAATATATATGGTTTTATTGATCTACAGGAGAAGGAACACTCACCGATGCAATGACTGCGGCAGGAAAAACCTATGAAGAGATCGCTCAGATGGTTGCAGAGCAGGTACTGAAAACCTTAGATTAAATGCTTGGGTTAAAACTTTTCAGTTCTCTCTTGTTTCAGGAAGTTTCATGAAATGTCAGTGTCCTGCAAAAACATTCATACCCCTTTGTTTGGTTTTCCTCATGCTAGAGCACGATATTGGAACAATTTGACATTGCAATATTTTGTTTTTCTCTATTATAAATTGCAATTATTGATACAATTTCTCCAGATGGCTTGAATAGGAAAGAAATTATTTATTTAGATAAAAGATAAAAGTTTAAGTCAAAATCTCTCTCGAAACAAATCTCAGCAATTCTCTGAAATATAATATTTTGTAACTCTGCAGACCTTAGCAAACAAAACAAAATATTAAGCAAATGAGCATTTTATAACGCATTCATGTTTTTTTTTTTTTTGGAAACTTGATAATTATCAATAATAATCCTTGTTGAGTAAAAATTTATCTCTCAAAAAATATCTCAGCTATTCTGTGTAATTTAATATTTTGTAACACAGTAGACCTCAGAAAGCAATACAAAATATTAAACAAATAAGCTGTTCATAACCTTTCATGGTTGTTGTTTTTTGTGTGGAAACTTGATAACTATCAATAATAATCATTGTTGAGTGTAAATCTCTCTCTCAAAAAAAAAATTCTCAGCATATCTGTGTAATGTAATATTTTGTAACACAGTAGACCTCAGAAAACAATACAAAATATTAAGCAAATAAGCTGTTCATAACCTGTTCATGGATGTTGTGTTTTGTGGAAACGTGATAATTTTCAAAAAAATAATCCTCGAGTCACTATCTCTCTCTCAAAAAAAAAAAATCTCAGCAATTTTTTGAAATGTAATATATTGTAACACAGTAGACCTCAGAAAACAATACAAAATATTAAGCAAACAAGCTGTTCATAACCCATTAACGATTGATTTAATTTTGTGGAAACTTGATAATTATCAATAATAATCCTTGTTGAGTCAAAATTTGTCTCTCTCTCAAAAAAAAAAATAAATAAAAAATCTCAGCATATGTGTGCATTGAGTCAAAAGTCTCAGCAAAACTTAAAAACTTCACATTTTGTAAAACTGCAAATATCTTCAATGTCACTTACCATCATGAAGCATTGATGCTAAAAAAACATTAGTTTCTGTAAAAAAAAAAAAAAATAATAAGGTCATTGTAGATAAATAAACACACAGACAGTGATAAGGACCTTCAGAGTATGTATATGTGATGGAAAAAGCCAGAGCTGTAAGTGGCTGTTGAGTCTCAATCATGTAGCCTTGTGTTATTCTTACTTATCCTTATCAATCAAACTTACATTCAACAAAAAACCTGCTTGATGTTTGGCCTCCAAGCTTTCATGTCTGAAGGCATTGTCTGGTTGCCTTGAATTATTTAGAGCCCTTTTAACCCTTTAAGAGATCATCAGTAAAATGTAATGTATCTTGAGAAGTATTGTGCTTATAATGAGTGTATACACAACCTGCAATTCTATTTATGTCCACCACTGGCTCAATGTGACCACAAATATCAAAATGTTTTACATCATCTGACTGCTTAGAACTAGATTAACATTTATATGGGATCAAATTGTGACTAAAACTAGGTTTAAGGTGCTTTGAAATGTGCATTTTTGTTCAGTGTGTGTCGAAATTTACACTGAAACATGAAGACAGTGTGTGGTGATTAGAGTTGCCCCTCCCCCTTTTTTAAAAGCAGCCAATAGCGTTTAGCTTTTAAAACAGCTTTGCCAGCTCAAGCGCATAGCAGTAGTGTTTTGAAGGGGGTGGAAATGTGCGATAGTAGAGTGCATATGATTGGTCAGACGATTTGATGAGAAACTGAAGTATGAGGTGGCATCAAAAAATCGTTAATACTTTTAGGTGAAGGTTTGGAGCACACTACATAGATATCCTTAAAACTAACATGCAGATATTAAGATGTAACAGGGACTATAACACAAATAATTCTAAGATGGATCATTCCATGGGCAATTTTTTAAAAACTTCAGTGGATTAAAGAGTTTTTTTTTTGTGCTGTTTTTTAAAAAGCCAAAATATCAAGTGTCATTATATTTAATGTGCAATCCACTGTTTTGCAGAGGAGGGTCAGATTTGGAGGCAAATTATAGGAGGGGGAAAAACGACTTCAGAGAGATGGCAGCATAATTATGTTATTTTTGCAGGTCTATTAGTAAAATCTGTTGACTTTAGAAGACCTTTTTGCATTGTATGGCAATGGTGATGATTCAGAAATGGAGGAAAAACACTTTTTTACATTACACTCAAGAATATTAAGTATGTCTTCTTCTTATTATTATTATGTGATATTCTTTTCAACTTTTTGAAATCCAGCCAGTTGTAGGAAAAAAAAAAACTACTGAAACTACTGTAACTGTTTATTTTTTAACCTAAGACATAATGAGATTGCTTACACAAAATTCCATATCAGACACACGAGACTCACTCATGAACATTTACTCAAAGGAGAAAATCTGTTAAACATACTTGTGGAATGCCACATTTTTTATGTTATATATTATTTATTGCAGTTGATTTAGTTTTTTATTGTTATATATTTTTTATTTATTATAGAAAAGTTTTCTTTTTATATAATGTTGTAAATTTAATCTTGTTTTGTCATGAAATAGAAGCTTTTATATATATATATATATGTGAAGAGTTTGGTTGCAAAATGCCATTTTTTGACATTTGGATTTTATTATCTTATTAAGATGTACCTTAATCTATGTGTGAATTGCTGCCATTAATAACATTAAGGAATGTACATTTTAGGCCTAGTACAAAATGTGTTTTATCCACAACGCAATATCCGCCAGACCATGCGATATTGCGGTTATAGAACGTTCAGGAGCTCAGCATCCCCTGGGAAGAGAGTCGCTGCCGGTGAAGTGCTCTGAGTTTGCTCAGTAATGAGAGTAATGTTCGTCTGTGTCATGCCGATAAACTATTAGATTAGGATGTAGTCTACTGTAGTCAACTTCACAAAAATGTATAAAAACGCTACTAAAGTGGACCAAGATAAAAAAAAATCGTCTGTCAGTCTCAGCTGATGTCAAGAAGAAGGCCATGAGTTACAGTGAATCTTGTGTTGCGTACTCTGTGCAACAGAGGCAAGAGCTGTGAAACTGTTGCTCCGCTTGCTCTGATCATACAGGTTTGATTTTCAGCAGCGGTGTGGAAGGAGCTGCCCTCCACTCTTTCTGTAGCAAGCTACAAGTCATTCATCTAATTAACTTAATCTTACTTATCAAACAAAACATATATTAGCTAGCCTTCTTAATGGGATTACAGTAGTAGAATATAGCCTAAGGGGGATATATAGCGTTTTGCAAAAAAGAAAAAAATGTTGTGTTGTATTGTGCACGTTCTGGCCAAAACTAATTCAGAATCTTGTTGTTATTAGTCAGTCTTTGTATATACTATTCCATATACTTATGATGTATTGTTTTTATTAACCAATTTAAGATGTTTGACAATGTTAAGATAAATATGTTGCATTTTGGCATGGTTTTTGACTTATTTATGAACTATTTATGGACATAAAATTAAAAAAAACTTTTATGGACATAAAATTAAATATATATATATATATATATATATATATATATATATATATATATATATATATATAGGATTTCATCTTTTAACAAAACTTCCCTACAAAAATTATTTTTTTGACACTAATTTAGCTTCACTGATAATTTTAGAAAATTATCAGGGTCCCCAGATATTATTTTTCCACTAACTCACTCCCATTTTGAACTGTCCCCATTAGCATTCAACACAAAAAGTCAGCTTATTTTACTAATAGATCCACCAATTTCTGTGAAAAAATAACATAATGATGCCGCCGCCTTCTGAAGTCATTTGTTCCTTCTTGCAATTTATCTCCAAATTTCAGAGAAAAGCAAATTGTGATCCTACTCTACAAAACGGTACATTATTCTTCATTTTCTTTACATTTCTTTCAGAAAAAAGTGAAGATGGAATATTCTAATCAAAAACCCTGTTGCTACCAATTAGAGTCCTAGTTGTGTAATGATTAAGCTGAATCTAAAGAATGAATCGTTTAAGTTCCTCCACTGTTCAGGGCTATTTTTATCTGTGATTTAAGAGTGTATTAATACATGTGTTTTTTTATGTGAGTTACGTAAACGTGTCGAGAGTGCCTGAATGAAGTGACCCTGGGTGGGTGTGTTTGTGCGAGTCTGCTTCAATCACTCAGTTTTGTGTGTCTTTTTTTCTCTCTAGCCAAAGAAAGACCTTCATTTCCTGATGGAAACTAACAATGAGTACAAAGGACTGCTGGGATGCTTTCCTGACACTATTGGAGTTCACAAGGTAAAATCATTGCTCGCAGTCACCTTTCACTTGAGCTGTTATTCTCCATTGTATTGATCATGCAAGGGCAGACGTGGGCCTTTTTTCATTTGAATGTGTGAGTCTTCTGTTGTCATTCACTTCCTGTTAATTCAGCTCTGTAAAAACAGTCAGTTCTGCTGCAGTACTGGCATTTGTTTTGTTTTGTTTTCTTTTCTTTTGAAGCTCACAATGCAAATCTGTGGTTTCCATCCAAACATGAAGAAAATCTTTTTTTAAAGTTTGAGAAAAATAAAAGACAGAAAAAGCCCCACATGTAGATTCGGTGGTTTTTCGATCAGATTGTTTGAGCGGCTGATGGTTGTATTGGTAATATATTATATCAAAATGTATTCTGAAAAGGTTTTTCCATCTACCCTTAATCAGTTTAACAATCAAACATAAGAACTTTTTGGAAATATAAATGATTGTTTTTTCTTTTACAAAATTAAGCATTTTCATCAATAGTTTACTTCAAAATGTGCATTAAAGGTGCAGTAGGCGATTGTCTGGTTAAAAGTCTTTTCACATTCCAATAGTAATGATTAAAACAAATTATCTTAATGTATATATATGTGTTTTTATATTCTTGGTAAGGCATAAGACTAAAAAATGTCCATCCAGTTAAAATACAATGATTCCCATAATTCTGATAAATAGCCAAAACTCTGTCAACAAATGTATTTTGTACATCTGCAGCCATTCATGTAGATCGGCCGATGCAAGCAAATAAAAACAAATGCTGAATCAAAACTTTTTAAATCCTGAATCAATATTGGAGTTACTTTTGCACACTGGAAAAAGGACGCCCCAAGTCTAGGGGAAAACAACATGGGCATATTAAACGAAGAAAACAAATGTGTTGGGGTGGTGGATTTCCCAAACAAAACAAAAACGATGCAAAAGATTCCCTTCGGTCGACAACCAAACTCAGACACTCAGTTGAGAGTATATGAATAGATTTATTATAGAAAAATGTAATAAATATAAATGAGCATCTCTTCAGGGTGGCCACAGGCCAAAATAACAAACAAAAGAATTTATGAAGTAAATGCACTAAATTCCCTATTAGTTTTTAAAGAAAAATACAGGAAGCTTACCTTTCTCCCTAAACATAAACATAGTCAAAAATAATCAAATAAATAGGCAGGCCACCCCTACACGCTCAAACTCTCAAAATAGGTTAACATGAACAATGGTACAAAATTGATTGTTGTTCGTCGGCCGAAGGGGTAAGGGAAATCCAGGAGCTCCACTCCAAGCACCGAACGCAGCACAAGTGAGCTCCCCGAACCCTGCCGGAAGCTCCTTTTTATACAGGCCTCCGAGACCAGCAGCCAATCAGAACACAAGATCACGCCAGAATGGGAGTCTATTGGATAGCAGAAAGCAACAACAAGAAAGCGACAAAGAAAAAGACATGCAATTCGCAATAATAAATAAATAAACTTCAGTCATAACACCATGGCTGAATCATTTCTGTTAGACAGGTAATGTTTTGTTTTAAAACTCTTTTAGTCACGCGGAGCGGATATAGAGTGTGTTGTTATGAATGGGTTATATGCACAAAAGTGGTGTTTAGTCACATCAATCTTTCGCCAGAAGATTTCAGTGGCTGTTTAAGTTTCAGAAGGGCCTTTTACAGCATCGATAATGTAGATTTTTATTTACATAACATCAGTAAATAGTGCTATTTTTACTTTACTGAGGTGAAATTGCTTTTAAATTCTTAAATATTTTTAAGAAATGTTTAAATATTGGTTCATTTTTTTTAAACAATAAAAACCTGTGACGTGGAAACACACTATCTATGATTATTTATTGAACATCAATGTTAACAACTTTAATTAAAACACATACCTTAAACCAACTGTTTTTTTATTACAAAAAAGGTATGAAAATAAATAACTTGCACTTTTGGAAACAAAATAAATAGTTTTCAAAGTTTTTCATATTAAAAGTTTTTCTCTCAATAAAATTTTTCTCTATATAAAAAAAAAACTTGTATATTCTGTAAATAATATTTAAAATGTATATTTTATTTTCTTGAAAACAAATTTTATTTTCTTAAAACAAATTTTTTAATGTAAACAATAATTGTATTGTAAATAATAGAAAATATGCCATCTGAAGGCATCTCTGGCTCAGCTTCCAATCATCATCGATGTAGTGCAAAAGCATACATTTTGTTTGAGAAGTGTGCAGGTATGCGAGCTCGCGAAGGCTGTGACAGACCATACCTGTGCGTTCGACACAAAAAGTATAAATTAGCCTTAACATAGCTTCACACGTGGTAGGGAAAGAAACTGAAAAAATTGACCTGGAATATTTTGATCGATTGTACGTTCTGAATGTTGATTTCGATTACTGTTCGATTAATCGCCAAACTCTAAATGATATTTAAAATTACACTTAGACCACATCAAATAAAACTATGATAGAACATACAGCAGGGCTATTCCTTCGGCGGCCCCCGAGGCAATTTGTTCCGGCCCTCCAAACAGTGACCAAGACATCAAAAATAAATTTAGTTCAGTGAAAAAAACGGCCGCTATAGTTCTGAAGTGACCTGCGTCTGTTGAAAACAGCAAAAGCTGCAATTTAAGGCTGCACAGAGAGCGAGTCATCTGACGTTAAGCGAGTGGCGTGAGCAGCCGAAAACATTTGGATATCTTTGTAGAAGAAGCCTTTTGTACAATGCACTGATATTGTTTATAAGGATGCAATGATTAACAGTGTAGAAATTTGTTGAAGAAATCTTTTCTCTGTTAAGCAGTAATGGACAAAAAAAATAAACGGCTAATAATTTAGGGGGGCTAATAATCTAAATTCAACTGTATAAACACGGTTGAGGTCAGAGCAATTAGCTCCCCGTTTATTTTCCCCCCCAATTTTTGTTTAACGGAAAGAAGATCACATTTATAAACATAATAGTTTTAATAACTCATCTCTGAGAACTGATTTATTTGATCTTTGTCATGATGACAGTAAATAATATCTGACTAGATATTTCAAGATACATGTGACAAGTGACATTTAAATGCTTAATTAGGTTAACTAGGCAGGTTAGGGTAATTGGGCAAGTTATTGTATAACAATGGTTTGTTCTGTAGACTGTTGAAAAAAATAGCTTAAAGGGGCTAATAATTTTGACCTTAAAATGGCTTTTAAAAAAACGTTATAACTGCTTTTATTCTAGCCGAAATAAGACAAATAAGACTTTCTCCAGAAGAAAAAATATTATCAGACATAGTGAAAATTTCCCTGCTCTGTTTACAATCATTTGGGAAATATTTGAAAAAGAAAACAAATAGATGAGCTAATAATTCTAAATTTAACTATATATGTTTTTTATTTTATTTTACAAAAAAATATTTTGTGTAAATTATTATTGTTGTTGTTTTTTTTTTTTTTTTTTTTTGAGAATATTTGCGAAGGTTTATTTGCTCATCTTTGTTTTATGTCAATTCCTGAAAGCAGTATAATTTATTTTTTATAATTAAGCACAAGTATTTTCAATTTTATAATTACTTTGTGGGCCAGATAATGTGACTATAATTTTATATATAGTTCCTCTTTGCTGTTCTTCTTCTTATTTTACATTTCGTCCTATAATGATCTGTGAATGTCACATTTACAGAAAATCAGTTTTACATGCAAACTCTGTTTTTAAAACCTGAGTGTTTCATTATTTTATCTTCATTTAAAGTAACAGGTTATTTACAGTTACTGTATATTTCTGTCCTTTCGCATCCCATATCTTTGTGTCCCCTGGCTGCATTGTCGCAAACTGCTTCTAAACCTAAACACATTTTTGTAATCCCTTTTGTAAACGGCGTCACACATGGCGGTAGTGGTCAGTTTGAACTGTCACTCACTGTATAAAAGCAGCATTCTAACTCATATGATGTAGAACTGAAAGCTGTCAATTCCCTCATGTTCTCTTTCTCTTGCACAGGCTGCTATAGAAAAGGTAAAGGAAGCAGATAAACTTGTGACCGCTGGTAAAATCACCGCCTCAGACAAGACCACCATGGGCAAACGTGCCAGCACCATGTCATACGCTCTACAAGGTATCGTAAAAAGTGCTTACTCTCTCTCTCCCTAAATAGCATTTAGGATAGCTACTGTAATTTGTAGGGAATAATATGGAGTGTACAATAAACTAATGCCAGATTTTATGAGAATGATTCACTGCTGTTTTGTCCTGATTTCAGTCAATTAAAACTAATACATATAATAGAGAGGATAAAATAATCTTGGGCACAGTAGTGCTGTCGCCTCACAGCAAGTAGGTCGCAGGTTCAAGCCTCGGTTGGGTCAGTTGGCGTTCCTGTGTGGAGTTTGCATGTTCTCCCCGCGTTCATGGGGGTTTCCGGGTGCTCCGGTTCATACATGTGGTATAAGTGAATTGGGTAAGCTAAATTGTCCGTAGTGTATGAATGTGAATGAGTGTGTGTGGATGTTTCCCAGATTTGGGTTGCAGGGACTAAGCTGAAAAGAAAATGAATACATGAATGACAATAATCTTGGAATCTCAAAAATGTTTCAAAATTCAATGATTTATATTTGTCTTATATTTATATGGGGTAAAGACACAATTAAAAAAAAATTGAAACAAACTTTTTGTTCAAAGAAATCTTAAATAAATAAGTCGTTTTGTTTCTCAATTAAATCTTAACTTCATCAACTTCAAGTAACATCAAATCAGAATTGGTAAGAAAATCTTTTTGTATGTGTGTGTGTGTGTGTGTGTTTACACAATTTTGAGAATAATAATGACACTAATTCTGAGCTGTTACCACAACAGTAGAATGCAGGAACCATAACTGTAATTATCTACAGGCCTAATAGACACAAACAGAGTTTAATACAGTCTTCCCACGACCTGGAAAACACAGAAATATCAGGAAGTTTCTCGAGTGGGATTTCCAGACTAGGAAAAGTCTTAAAATTGAATGAGTCGACATTTTTCTGTTTAAGTATAATTTCTTATACGTATTATACTCACAAAAACACGCACAGTATAAAGATGTTAATTTAACGTTACTATTGAAGGGGCTGATCACACTGAACGCTCTTTCAGTTCTGGCAGTAATGCATGACAAGAAAAAAATAAGGTTGGCAACAACTGAATCAGCTGCGTATTGTGCACGAATGTTGCTGTATTGGTGTAATTTTAATATTTAAGAATAATGTAATATTCAAGATTTGTGAAGTCATGCAGCACCGGATAACTCAAAACAGCAACCATATGACTCTCCTCCAACTTTAAAAGACTCCGTAGTCATCTTGACAGCACAAGCACTGCAGGCACCTCAACGGAAACCCTGCTTCTGCTTCAGTTGATTGGACAATGAAAAAGAAGTGAGTGACGCAGCAACCTTTTTTTCCACTCAGAGTTGAGTTTTCTCAACTGTGAGCGCACAGCGTGCAACGGCAAAAACAAAGCGGTTAAAAAACTACTTGTAAACCATTAGTACACCATGCGCCAATGATTGAGTATCATGGGTAAAGTTCTTACTGTAGTATTTCTCACAAACGCTACGTGAAATCTGCTTCCTTTATGTCTGTTTGTTGTCTGACGCAGCCGAGGGAGGAGATTAGGGCGGGGGGTAGGGATGACTAGCCTTAAAGGCGCAGAACAGCAAAACCGCCACCCAGTGCAAAAATGAATAAAACAGAATCTTATAAAAGGTATAATAAAAAAAATGTGATGGATGTTTTGAGCTGAAACTTTACAGACACATTCTGTAGACACTAATGATTCATAATAAATCTGAAAAAAGGGATAACCTAGGTGACCTTTAACATGTAAATCACTCACATTTGACCCTTCATCCAAGTCTTCTGTAGACGCAGCATTAGTGGAGAATGCAACAACAACCATACATGTTTTGCACATTTGTAGTGATGCTTAAAGTGAGTTCGCCTTTAAACACAGAGCTGTAAACTGTATAATGAATCTGATCAATCTGTCATCTCTGCAGCCGAAATGAACCACTTCCACAACAATCGCATCTATGACTACAACAGAGTGATGCAGCAGTATCTGGAGCAGCAAGTCAAATTCTACGAGATGGTAATGTTTCTCAAATACTTATTTTATTAAGTGAGGATGCATCATATTATAGGAAGGTTCAACAAAACCGTTGGTTCCTGATTGAAAGCCGTATTCACAAATGTGCAATCACTTATTTGTTTTGGCAGATTGCAGAGAAGCTGCGGCAAGCTCACAGTCAGTTCACTACTATGTAATGCTGAATCGTCTGCCCAGAAGCTGCCTCATTTCTCTCTTCCTCTTACATGATTATTCACTCTTTCTATTCCTGTTATCTGTGTCATGATGTCAGTGCCATACAAATGCCAGGCCAAAGATAATCCAGCGCCCTGTGTGCAGACTGGCCCACCTCCGGTGTTTTAAAAACAAAAAGCAGCTACAGATTGTCTAAAAACAAGAAATGAATCTGATTATAAGAGGGCTATAATTATTCTAATCCTCAAGGTGTTGATTTTGATGATCCACATCTGTTATTAAGACCCTCACTTATGTAGAACTTTTATATAATGATCTAAACGTATAGCGGATTGTTTGAACTCATTGGCCAACCGAGTTTCATCGTGCCTTCTTTTGTGTAGAGCTGGCAAAACAACAACATGCTTTTTTTTTTATCCTGTGCACTTTACTGTGGCCTTTCAGATGCATCATTCTGTTTGTGTTTGGCAACCGCAATGTCCTTCATCAGAGGATTTTGCGGATGAAACAGGAGGGCTGGTCCTTTTTCCCCCAGAAGAGACATTCAGATGTTATTTTTCTCGCTCCCCAAAGCCAGATTACAGACATGCTTCCACCTCAGTGCAATTATCAGCAATTTCCTATCCTGTAAAAGTGAATTATACGTATAGATGCATGTTTTCCAGTTGTTCGTATATATATTTTTTATGTAAAGCAGTGTTTGCAAGTCTTTTGCACACAGAATGACAATTAAGATTGAGATTATGATTTAATAAATACTGATTTGTATACCATGCAATGCTTTTGTGTTCAATGAATGAGTGAATGTTTGTTTGCGTGCTTTTTATGGTTTAAATGGAAAGTTTGTGGATGGCATTTTAGGAAATGAGCAAACAATAATAGAAGGTTTTTTTTTCTAGAAACTGGATTTATATTTGGAGAATTAGTTTGTGTGAAGATTAGAATCCACAGATTTTTAGCCTATCAATGAGTCTTTATTTACTGGTGTAAATGTTTATTTGCTCAGTTTTGAAATTAATTTCAGTCATATTTTCTGAAAATGTTTGGTAACATTTTAGTCGCAACTCATACTATTAACTACTGGCTTATCACCTGCCTGTTATTAAGATATTAATTGTTCAATAGCAGTTATAAAGTATCATTTAATTCTACATCCCTAATCCTACCCAAAATCTAAACCCAACTTCTACCTTACTTCACTCTGTCCGAATGAACATGTTTGTAGCTTTGTATCACATTGGATAACAACTCACACTATAAAATAAATCAGATTTTCAGATTTGTTGACATGCAGAAAATTACATTTTCAAAAAACAAACAGAAACTGCAAATCAGGAGGAGATAAGAGGCTCAAGTGGTATGTTTTATACTGCGGTTTATATGGTGGTTTAAAACCTTGAGTTTTCCAAACCGCTGTATGCCTTGAAAACGGTTATCATCACATGCCTAATACTTGTTAATTACATTTAATTCAAGTTCAAAATCAGAATTCAGTGTTAAATGAACTCAATTTACCCCAGGACTGTAAGGACAGCTGTATTATGTAGACACTGTAATGCTGTAGGCATCAGATTATTCAAACGAATGCATTTTTGGTGGTCATCATCAGGACTACTGCTGGTGACGAAATCAGCCAGTGTGAGTGTAAGAAAACTAAGAAACTTTCCTCTTGACATGGACATTTTTTTACTCAATGGACATACACAGCTTTTTTAAATTGATGCTTACTTCAGATGGAATTTTACCCTCATGCATCAGTGTTGTGACGTGAATTTAAGACTCCCTACTGTGATTTAAAAAATAACATTTACTCACTCCAGTCCAAAACTCTCATGTTTCTTCTGTTGAACATTAAAGATGATATTTTAAAGAATGCTACAAAAAAATAATAAAATAAACTAAAAATAACCATTGACTTTTCAAACAAATAATATGGAAGTCAATGGTTACAGGTTTCTGACATGTTTCTAAATATCTTCTTTTGCGTTTCAACTCAAACAGGTTTGGAACTGAAAAAAAGTGTGTAAATGATGCAAAAAATGCACTATTCCTTAAAGACCTTCCTAAATCATAGAAGGCTGAACAAAGACTCACAAAAACAGTCTCCAAACTGAGAATTCTCAAAAGAGCTCAGATCAGTATCTTTTGTGTTGGACACAAGTGATTTGTTAGTCTCACAGTAGCAGTACTGTCTGCATTGTAGAAAAATTAGATACTTACAGTTAAAAAATTAATTAGCCCCCCTTTGATTTATTTTCTTATTTTTTTTTAAATATTTCCCAAATGTTGTTTAACAGCGCAAGGAAATGTTCACAGTATGTCTGATAATATTTTTTCTTCTAGAGAAAGTCTTATTTGTTTTATTTCAGCTAGAATAAAAGCAGTTTTTATTTTTTTAACACCATTTTAAAATAAAAATTATTAGCCCCTTTAAGCTGATTTTTTCCCCCGATAGTCTACAGAACAAACCATCACTATAACTTGCCTAATTACCCTAACCTGCCTAATTAACTGAGTTAAGCCTTTAAATGTCACTTTAAGCTGTATAGTCTTGTAAAATATGTAGCCAAAAATTATTTACTGTCATCATGGCAAAGATAAAATAAATCAGTTATTAAACTATTGTGTTTAGAAATGTTGAAAAAAATCTTTTTGTTAATAAGAAATTGGGGGAAAAATAAACAAGGGGCTAATAATTCTGACTTCAACTGTATATATAAAAAAATCCACTTCAACAAAGGTAGTTTCCTGTTTATTTCAGTCAATTTTGGCATTTTATAAACAAGTATTTTTCCAACAACTATTATTTTTCCTTTAGTGTACATCATGAACGTACAGGCATGTTTAACATGAGAAACGGTGTGTTGCGCTACAGTGTTTTGGCTTTGGTCTTTGGCTTTTTGTGGTCCTTTTTATCCCCAAATACTATGTCTCTTTTTATTTACCCCAAATGCTATGCTTTTTTTAAACCTAATTAAAGTAAAGATCAGTGGTCACCAAACTTGTTCCTGGAGGTCCGGTGTCCTGCAGATTTTAGCTCCAACCCTAATCAAACACACCTGAACAAGCTAATCAAGGTCTTAAGCTGCGGTCACACTAGAGTTTGTGTGTGCGAAATTCTGTCGTACGGCACTGCGAAAAGGGGCGGAATTAAACAAGATTACTAGACATGTAAAACATGGATCAATCGCTCGCTTTTTTAATTTTCTGTCCTGAGAAGTCGTGTTTTGATCCTCAATTGGTCTCACACAGTCAATTGATGTGATTTTGCAGGTCAGATTTCACCAAGCTTGAACTTTGCATTGCAGTGACCTGCGAAACTTAACGAATGACCCTGCGTTTCCGGTCTGACGCATTCGCGTGCTTTTGAATGGAAGTCTATGAGGTGAAAAGTCAAGTGTGACTGCAGCTTTACTAGATATTCTTGAAACACCCAGGCAGGTGTGTTGAGGCAAGTTGGAGCTTAACCGTGCAGGGCACCAGACCTCCAGGAATGAGATTGGTGACCCCTGGTGTAGATGATAGATTTGAGGACTCTACACAATCATGTAATAGTTTAAAAATAAATGTTTATATTCAGTCATTAAGTTTAATTATATTTTTAGTATTTATTTAGCAAGAGTGCTAAATAAAATCAAAATGACCCCTAGAAACTTGTACCAAAATATTTTGCTTTCAAAAAAACTCTGTTATTATGAATGTTCTATTCAATATAATCCTGAAAAAAAAATTATATATATATATTACGCATCACAATGTTCAATTTCAACATTGATAACAAGCACCAAATATATTACACGGTAATATTTCACATTCACAGTATTACATCATTTACTATTGACTTCATGCAGCCATGGTTAGCATTTATTTATTCATTTTCCTTCGGCTTGGTCTCTGATTTATCAGGGGTCACCACAACGGAATGAACCACCAACTATTCTAGCATATATTTTACACTGGAATAGTTAATCAGCAGATGCCCTTCCAGCTGCAACCCAGTACTGGGAAGCACCTATAAACTCTTGCATTCACACACATAACCTACAGCCAATTTAGCTTATCCAATTCACCTATAGCGCATGACTTTGAACTGTGGGATTAACCGGAGTACCAGGAGGAAACCCATGCAAACACGAGGAGAACATGCAAACATGCAGCTAGGGCTCTATCCAACGACCTTCTTGCCGTGAGGTAACAGTGCTAAACACTGAGCCACCGTGCCCCTGGTAAGCATATGAGACCTATACTTAAAAATATATAGAGTATATAGTTCCACATTTTTGAACTCTAGTATATACTTGATTAAATGCACACATGTGTTTAATATATTAATAATGCAATCAGTGAAATAACCCCATCTTAAGAAACATGTGCTGTTGCTAGAGCTTTTTTTTTTTTTTTTAATCCTTGTACCCTACAGAAACTAAACCTACTTTAAACATACTTTTATAAAACCAAAGCCATGGGTATAGAAAATATAGGCATGTAATGAATGGCAAAGATCAGTTTTTAACCATCTCAGCAGCATATTTAGTCAAAAACCTTCCAAAACGCCTGCTTGAACTCATTCAAACCTCACAACCAAAACTTCCTTCTGAAGAATAGTCAATCCAGAACAATCTCTGCCCTCCTCCTGGAAGTGAACTGCGATTGGCCGGCTTGCTGGTGCTTCTCATAGGCTGATTCAGGGTGACAGATGCTGACGGAAGCTTTTGGGTCGGATCATCATGCTGACTCTCCTCAGAGAGTAATAATCCGAGTCCTTCCAGGTGAACCACACGACCCCGTCCGGCCCCAGAGAGTTCTTCCCCTTCAGAGAGTAGCGGCCGCCCTAATCAACAAAACAGAACAGAACATCACTGAAACAGAAACACTTCACTTTTTACATTACACATAGATAATGACTTACATTTAGTCATTTAGCAGATGCTTTTGTCCAAAGTGTCATTTGAGGAGGCATTCAGTGATTTAATAAGAAGGGGGCAAAAGAGGCAATACACACAAGTGTTAATTATACAAAGCAACTGTTTGTGCTCAGAGAAATAAGTGCTAGAGTTAGGAGGGGGAGTGTTCTCATTTTATCTATTTTTTTAAGAAAAGAGTGTTTTTACAGGTGGTTTGTAAAGCCCACTCACCTGTGTGAAGCACATTTCATTGTAAGAGAATGTCAGGTGCAAAACTAGTGCCAGTGCTGGTTAAAGCAGGGCCGGAGTGGGACTCCTTTTTGGCCCTAGAGTTTCAAGCCTCAGACTGGCCCACCTTAGTTCATGACTGACTATATTAAAAAATCAGTTTCAAATCTGTTTCTAATGGCACTATCATGTCTTTTTCAAGAAAACAGCTGCTTTAGAACTTAAAATGTTCAACAACCCTAACAGTATCATATGTCTTAACAATAAAAATGACAAAAAATAAATACTCTAGGTTCAAACCCAGGTCCGTGGAGTTGGAATGCAACGTGCTGACCACTGGACCACAACGACTTTTCTTATTATAGTGAATTATTGGAGTTGCATCATCATAAATGATGCACCTGCAGGCTGCATTTTGCTCACGGGGCTGTGAGAAAATAAATAAAAAGAGCGAAACTGTGGCAAAATAATGAATAAAAAAAGTGAGGCTGTGGTCAAATAAATAAAATAAATGTAAAAGTGCGACTGTTGAGATCAACAGAGCCTGAAGCTAGAGACACCGGCCCTCGCGAGCAAAAAAACGGACCGGCACACCGGGAATTCTCCTGGTCCTCCCGATTAGTCAGTCCAGGCCTTGGTTAAAGTGTGAGAGAGATGAAAGAATGTGTTTTCTACAGGTGGTTTGTCAAGCCAACTCACCTGTGTGAAGCACACTTAATCAATGTACGGTGTTTTTTTTAACAGATATGCAGTGATTGTAAGAACATGTCTGATGCAGAACTAGTGAAAGTATTGGTTAAAATGTCAGAGAGATGAAAGAGTGTGTTTCCTACATGTGGTTTGTCAAGCCCACTCACCTGTGTGAGGCAGACTCAAAACTGATAATGTTTTGATAATGACACGAGTGCACATTTTATTGTGAAATGAAAAAGCGCCAGCTGATGTCCTGAGATTGTTTCAAAGAACAACATTTTTTTTTTTCATGTAACAATCCATTTCTAAGTAGGAACCAATCCTTATTTTTTATACAAACACAAAAACTTTTTTCCGCAACTAACATATAAGAAATATTGCTTTTGTATTTTTTCCCAAGACACTTTAAAACAATTTGTGGGGAAAAATACAAAAGTTGTACCAATTTACTTACTTAAATATGTCTTAGGAACCTTTTCAAGGTTAAAAATTTTTTTAATCAATTAAATTTTCCCAAAATACGTGTCAAAATAAGATGTCACAAAAAATCATTCCATTTGCTGAAACACTGAGAAATTTGTGGCCAAGTTAACCCTTGCACAGTTTAAATTGACTATCCTTTGTTATATTCGGGATGAAAACATCCACTGAGTTAAACTGCTATAAAAATGCATCAGATTAATATTTCTTTCAAATTTTTTTGCACAAATCTGTTAATCAACCTCAGTCCTGATCAAAACTACTAAACTATTTAGAAAATTACAGAATTTTAACTCTTAAATTGCCAAGTTTACAAATGATGTAGCTGATTTGGTGGGAAAAAAAACGCAAAAAAAATGTATTTTCAATGAAAAAAGTTTTTAAGGACTGGATTGTTTTCCCTTTTATCAGTCTTGGACATGTGAACGATTAGTAACAATACTGGCTTTGATGCATTGTTAGATTTTCATATTTCTCCCTAATTTAATGTTGGTGGCAGGTTTTGCCCCATTGACTTCCATTATAAGCACATTTGATGGTGCATAATTACACAGTCTTTGTTTTTGTTTACTCCATGTAGTTCTGATTGCTGAGATGCATATTTTTATTTTCTCTGACACATCAAGGTAAGTGCGTAAAGGTCACTCTCACACTCTCAGACAAACATACACACTTTAATTAGCTGTTATACTCTATATAAAATCCAGAAATTTTTGCACAGGCCTATCTAAAGGGTTAATGGTGCCAACCGATGATCAACAGTAAAGATTTGACCTCTTCACCAACAATCAAAAATGCATGATTATATGGTGTCATAGTTTTGCAATCAAGTCAAGGGGGCAAAATAGCCACCAACAGTAAACTAGAAAGAAAAAAATGCAAAACATTAATCAAAAACAATGCATCAAAGGGAATTTGAACAGAGTGTATTGCTGATTTTTTATTTATTTTTTTATTCAAAGCATTTTCTCAAAATATGTATTAAAATAAGATTTGTCACCAAAAGTTATTCTGCTGGCTGAAACGCAAAAAAAGTTATGGCCAAATTAAGACTCATTTAAGATGGAAATAACAGCACACAAGGGTTAAAGAGAAACTTGTGGTTAAAAGCCTTGATTAAGTTCATCACAGTAGGGTGCAGTGCTATTGTGCGTGTACAGTAAGAGCCAGCAGGTCTGATCCCACCTTGTAGTAGATGCCGTTGAGGTTGGTGTAGAAGCACTGGTTGTACCACCAGCCGGCGTGGGAGATCTCGGCACAGATGTTGCCTGTGTCGGGTGTGCTGAAGCCCTGCTTGTCATGATACCAGCTGAAAGAGTCCTCCACCGTCCCGCTGAAGCCCGACACATGCAGACGGTACTGAGTGTTCTCATCCTCCACACTGAAACACACACCATTCATTACCACCAATCTCATAACCAAGACACCCTAAAAATACTCATACATTTTTCCAATATCGTGCAGCCCTGATTATATTGTGAAATTTTATTTGCCTGTGATTAAATATTGCGATATGAACACAGTTTCAATAGTCTGAATAGCTCTATTTGACAGTTTTCTGTAGATTCTAACAGTCTTTAGGTACAGAAATGAAATAATCTCAATGTGAAATAATGCTCGTCTTACTTTGCCTTGTTTCTAAACAAAATATCTAAAAATTCTTAGATCTTAGCAGCTGTTTCAAATGGTTTCACTCAACTGAATGGCCTTATGCATATACTGGTAGGCTCAGAAGGCTGTTATTATCCATCCACATGGTTAATCAACTATAGAATACATTCTTCTTAACAAGAATTATTTGTATTTTTTTAATAAATTTCCCATTGATTGTATTTTAATTGTATTTTCCCATAAATTGTATTTTATACAAATTATCCACCCCTACCCCAACCCTAAACCCAACTGTCACAGTAATGTTAAAACAGATCTGGTCTGGAGGTTTCTCTATTAGTATAGCTGATCAACCATGTGGACGGAAAATACAGCCTACTGCACCAACCCCCATTCAATCGAGTGATAATATTTGAAGCGGGTGATCTTAGAGTAAAAATATTGCTTTGTTTTTCCTTAAAACAAGCTAAATTATACTGTGAAACATTCCTAGCATGTTTAAAATCCTATTTACATTCATGATGTGTGCAGGGCCATGGGGCTCTGGGTCTATAGCAAACCCAAGGGGCCATTTATTTTATCCACTCACAAAAGTAGCTTTTTTCTATTATTATTATTATAATTATGAATTTCCTAATTAATATTATTATCTATGTTTCCACCATTTGATTTATACTGCATTGATTATTATGAATGTTTTCTACTTTTTTTAAACTAGGCATCAGGCATACAAAATAATTACATAACATGAACTTAACTTAAATGAGTGCTTTACAAGAAATACTTTCAATAGGATGTAACATGTTTACTGTTTATTTTAGCTGAGCAGAAATACCTAAAATCATTAAAATACATGATTCTGATTTCCCAAAATTTTGGTTTTGTAAGTCATTCAATTACAGAAGGTTAGCATCTTTTTTTTAGCCTCATAAAATATCTGATAAACGCCGGCACCAATTTTTTACTGTTCTAGATAATTACTGTCATTTTTATAAAAGGGGCTAAGTAAACATTCATTATAATTATAATGTTTGCTTTCTAACTGGTTCATTTAGATCAAGGGTGCCCAAACCTTTTCTTACGAAAGGCCAAAAATCAAACTTGATTGAGGCTAGTGGGCCAATCGTAAATATTTCATGAGTAATTTCCTAATTTATTTAGTAACATTTAAAAATGGCTAGAAAACAGTGCTTTATATGAACTATTACAGCATACATTACATTTTATTATGAACTTATTACAGTAAAATCAAAACAATCTTATTTCTAACAGAAATATACCAGTTTTTGCCTTGATTTGCTCCCCGATGTCTTCTGCATAGTTCTCTATCCGTCGAGTGACATTTTTACTGTACGTTTTTAAAAATCGGATTCATTTACAACATTTAATTTCAGTTTGCTTTTTTGTAGCTCAGGAAATAAAACAAACAAAAAACACGAAGTCAAATTACAAATGATGATCTCTTTTAAAAGGCATTCGCCCCAACTCCTTCTCACTCTCTTCTCAGATGTTATAGTGGGCCAAATAAAAGATTATAATTGGCCAACTTTGGCCCGCAGGCCCTACTTTGGGAATCTCCGATTTAGACTTAAACCCTGTATTTTCTTGAGATAGATACTTTGCACCGATTTTTGATAACCGTCTATGCAGGCTATTTGATTTGGTCGCACATTGTCTTAGTAATATTATTTAAGGAAAGGATTACACGTGGCTAAAACAGCACTTCAGTTATGAGTTCATACAGCATGATCCCACCTATCCCGGCTTCTCTTACTGCAAGGTAATAACGGACACTGTTTATTTTTTACTTTACGATGCACTTGGTTATCCTAACTTTAACTGGACAGTTCTCATGGTAGAGGTGAAATAAGGAACTTTCCTGGAAAAAAGGGACATCTAATCACCTTTAAGGGCACTAAAACAGTGCTAATTGAAATACAGATTGGGCTACAGCCACTCCAAGTTCAGCGGTGTCATTGTTTTCGAACAGCAGCGAGCCGAAAGGAATACCTTACTTTATCGGCATCCGATAGCATAAAACAAAGAGATGCTAGGCCCTGCCTAGCCCTTATGTTAATTATGCCCTGAACATGTGTCTTGTCATGATTAAAAATGTCTAATGAACACCCCTTCAAGTAAAGTGTTACCAATTTGTATCGTCTTTTAATGAACTTTTAAAATTTTGTGATGAACTCACTCTCAATGGAGGGACAGAAATCAGATGAACCCATGTCTTATTGACTTGGAAAGACATTAGTTTGAGTAAATGATGACAGAATTCTCACAAATCCTGCAAGATCACACTGTGAACAGCAGTGTGTGTGTGCTAAACCTCACCTGAAACTCTGATAGAGAGCGTGTTTGTGTTTGTTGCTCCAGTCCTCCAGGTCGATGCGCAGCATGTAATCTCCCTGACTGGTCAGATCGTGGATGTGCTCATTTCCCAGCCAGTATTCGGTGTGCAGGTCTCCAAATCCCTCTTTATACTCCTTCCAGCTGCGGTCAAAGTTCACAGAGCCGTCTTGCCTTCGCTGGATCACTGTCCAGCCTCCACCTGAGACATACATGAAGCAAATAATCAGCCATTTTTTTAAATAATGCAGGAAATGTAAAACAATTAAATCTCTTTAATATGAGTTTAATAGACACTGCAAGTCATTTGGTTTTCATCTTATGACCATTGCAATTATACCATAATGTTTAGCGGGTCATCAAAAAGATATCAGCACAAGCTATTTTAAGCTGCTCATGTTCCCCATTGGTGCCGTTTCAGCACAAAACTGACGACTCGTTGCACATAAAAAGAGAAGAAACTCAGATTTTCATTACTGGAGATTCTTTTGCAATGCTTTTGAAAGTCTCCAAATGTCCCCATAAACAGTTTAAAAATAAAACAATGATGCATCCCAATGAGACATTTCAATATAGAAAACTCCTTGTTGAGCCTTGTTGTCTTCTAAGATATTTAGCATCTCTGCAAATAAAATTAAAACTATAAAACTCTATAAAAACTATATTTCAATTAGTGCTGGGCAAAGATTAAATATAATTTATCGCAATAGAAATAAAAGTTTGTTTTGACAAGTATAGAAGTGTGTTTTATATACAGTTGAAGTCAGAATTATTAGCCCCTCTTTGATTTTTTTTCTTTTTTAAATATTTCATTAATATTTCACAAATGATGTTTAACAGAGCGAGGAAATTTTCACAGTATGTCTGATAATATTTTTCCTTCAGGAGAAAGTCTTATTTGTTTTATTTTGGCTAGAATAAAAGCAGTTTTTAACTTTTCTAAAAACATTTTAAGGTCAAAATTATTAACCCCTTTAAGCTATATATATATATATCTTCAATTGTCTACAGAACAAACCATCATTATACAATGACTTCACTAATTACACTAACCTGCCTAGTTAACCTAATTAACCTGGTTAAGCCTTTAAATGTCACTTTAAGCTGTATAGAAGTGTCTTGAATAATATCTAGTCAAATATTATTTACTGTCATCGTGACAAAGATAAAATAAATCAGTTATTAGAAATGAGTTATTAAAACTATTATGTTTAAAAATGTGTTGAAAAAATCCTCTCATGTTTAACAGAAATTTGGGAAAAAAGTAAACGGGGGTTAATAATTCAGGGGGGCTAATAAGTTTGACTTCAACTGTATTTATTATGTATAATAAATGAAACACATAGTATAAATATATGTATAATACAATATATTATTATGTATAAATATAAATATATATAGCCCCAGCTGGGCCAGTTGGCATTTCTGTGTGGAGTTCTGGTTTGGGTTTCTTCCAGGTGTTTCGATTTCCCCCACAGTCCAAAGACATGCGCTATAGGTGAATTGGGTAAACTAAATTGGCCATAGTGCATGAGTGCGTATGAACGTGAGCGTTTGTGGGTGTTTTCCAGTACTGGCTTGCAACTGAAAGGACATCCGCTGCATAAAACATTTGCTGAATAGTTGGCGGTTCATTCTGCTGTGGCGACCCCTGATAAATAAGTGACTAAGCCGGAGGAAAACGAATGAATGTAATTAGATATAGAGGCTAATAAATAAATTGAATTTTTTTTTAATTAAGCGTTTTATCATTTTTTGTGTGTATAAGCAGTATTTTATTTATAATAGTTGTGGAAAATTCTTTCCATCCTAAACAACATACATTTTGATGATCAGCTGAGACTATATCAAGAATACTCTCAATCACCGCAACCAACAAAAACATCAACTGCCTCAAAGCACTATGCTCTTGTTTACTGTCAGCCATTACTGCAGGTGTTGTACAGTACTGTATGTTTCTTACCGTCTGTGTCCATATCACAGTAGACTTCCACAGGCATAGCCCCTAGTGAGGGCACCACGGTGTAGATGCCAGAGCGACGAACGCCATTATAGTAGATGGAGGCACAGTCGATAGGACAGTTCCTAACATTCTGCACCTCTGAGGTCAAAAGCACATACAGATATATTAACATAAAGAAAACCAAAAATCAGTAAATAATCATTCTAATATTGTTGGCATTAACCAGGCTATGGGTTGTCACCCTCTGTTGGTGAATGCTAGTAATTAACAATTAACCCTTTAAAGGGAAAAAGCCCTGTACTGTTACTACAAGTACTACTAGACTTTTATGTATACACTGTTTTCAATTATTTTAGAAGTGATCATATGTAGTTCTTCAGCCAATAAAGCTGTCTTTCTGAGATCCACAAAAAAAACTAAGATTTTTGTAACTAAAATGACTGATTTTGTGGCAGTTTTTGCAATTATTGTGGCAAGTTTTAAGACATTTACTTTATTATTTTGCTGTGAAAAGTTACACAAATTTACAGTTCTTAATTTATTATTAATTTTCTGACCTTGAGAACCATTGAACTCTGTACCCGTAAAGCCTGTTGTATCATATTTGAAAATGAAGCCAGTTGTTTAATTTCAATTAAAATCAATTGTTTCATCAATTGTTTGTGTCTGTGCATGTGTGTGCGTGCGTGCGTGCGTGCATGCGTGCGTGCGTGTGTGTGTGTGGGTGTAAAAAAAGAAAGAGAGATGGCTCCCAGCAGGCACAGGGGGTCAACATGACATCCGATGACTTTGTACCCCAATGTCATGAGGACGTTGAATTTTCTTCAAAAATGAAAATCAGGTTGACATCAGAACCCAACGTCAGGCCAACATCAATGTCCAACGTTCAACCGAAAATCAACTAAATATCAACATCTAATGATGTTACAGCTTGAAGTTGTGTGGACGTTACCCCTATGATTTCTATCAGATGTTGGATTTTGGTTGCCATACCTGATGAATGAATGTCAGTATTTGAAGTTGATTTGAGATGTTGGCACAACGCTGAATTTTGGTCACTTTCCAACACAACATAAAATAAACCAAATATGAACGTAATTTGACATCAAAAAAATAACGTTGTCCTTAGAAACTAATATTAACGTCTTATGACGAATGACGCCAGAAACATATACAGTTAAAGTCAGAATAACTTGCCCCCCTGTAAATTTATTTCCACAATTTCTGTTTAACAGAAAGAAGATTTTTTTTTTTGTTTTTCAACACATTTCAACATAATAGTTTTGATAGCTAAATTCTAACTGATTTCTTTTATCTTTGCCATGATAACAGAAATTAATATTTTACTGGATATTTTTCAAGATGCTAGTATTCCTAAAACGTGAACAAAACATATTTTTGTTTATATTAGGGCTTTTATACATACATTATACATTATAATGTATATAAAATCATGGATGTAATGGATGTAAATCGATATAAAATCATGTAAAAAAATAAAAATAAAAATGTCAAAAACGCAAATAATTTTCCGGCCTCTGAAACTACTCTCTGAAAGTATTGTATGAGGATTTTGTGATGACACTTCATGAGATTTTCAAAACTCTTTTAGCAATGTATACTATTTATACCATAAATCTTAAAAATCTTTATTGAAAAAACAAATTCATGCAGAAGTCTTTTTTAATAGCTAGTATCTGAGGCACAAGCTATAGTATCTGTTTGTTAAGTCTGACATCATGCAAAGCAGCTTCCAGATCCAATCGCTCTATCAAACTGATATGGGGAGGCTTAACAAATGGAAATAATAAACATTTACAAAGTGCTGTAATACTTTCGAAAATCCTGATCGCAACATATATAGTAGAACCGTCAGATGGTAAGAAAGTGATTATTTTTTAAATAAATTGTTAAAATATTGATGTCTGTGATGCAGCAGGTCCAGAGACTGATGTATACACACTGTTTTTATTTTTAAAAATCATTTAAATGTGTGATATGACTAAAACAACCCAGGCTCATTACGGACACATACCCAGGTATACATTTCTTGCGATACCAAAACACAGAGGTACGTCTGCTCGCAATTTTTTTTGTATTTGCAAATTCAGAGACCACCGTGAACACTCTTTGATGATCTCAAATTTCTCTTGTGCATCCCCTTCCCACATAAATCCACCAGAGGGTGCAATATACACTTCAGCCAACCAGGCCAGCTTGCTGTCAACTGACTGACTGACCCACACCTTTCCCTTAACCCAACCGATAGTGTTTTCAAAAGCAATCTAGAAAATGTAAAAGCCGCCACAGCTGTGTGATTTTACCACATTTGCAGTCTGTTGTTTATTGCTTTATCTTTTGCTTTTGTTTTACCTGGTTTCTGAAACCGTTCTTCACCAGATTCGAACCCCGTTGATGCGGTCAACTTAGCTCTATATCCCAAGTCCATCAGCATACGTGGTGAGCCAACTGATAACACCAGAAAGCCTTCCGTACTGAGGTAATCAATCAGCTGGTATAGCTAAAAGAAACAGAAGCCATCGACGGCATCATACCGCCCTGTAGAATTTGTTTTAAAGACAAAGTGCAGCAAGACGTAACTCTGGTTACATAACTCATGCTCTCCAAAAATGTAGACAGGGGTACATATGCACAATGAGCCTGTGTTGGACCAAAAAGGGGTCATAAACAAATATTCTCTTAATACCGGGAGCAGTATTCATCCATAAGTCATGACTTAACAAGCAGATAAATGCTTTTCTTTTGTGTTCGACAGATGAACGTAACTCAAACGGGGTTGTGAAGGGTGAGTAAATGAAGACACAATTTTCAGTTTTGGGTGAACGATCCCTTTAACAAGGTGAATTGACAACATGGAATAATATTATCATGAGGTATTTCAAGCTTGAACAACATTCTGTTGTCTTATAATAGATCTGCTTTTCCAAATCCCCCCAGACGTGGCCTACCGGGATGCAGGGCCTCCTGTGCGTTGACGAGCGGGCTGGTGCGCACGATGTTGATCATACAGCCGGGGTTACGTCTGACTTTTTCCACCAGCATGGATAGGTTATGGATCTGGGCCTGGAGGTCATAGATCAAGGAGCCCTGGATATGCAAGAGGGTCGAAGCCTCAGCGTAATGATTTTCCAGCTCATGCAATCTCTGCTCAATAGATGAACTGTTACGGTTCTTCTCTTCACTCTGTGAAAGAGAAAAGACAAACATCACGACTCCTAATCAAAAAAAGTGACTTGAAGAAGTCAATTACGGTTAGCTCTACAAAACCAGTGCTTCTCAAGTGTATTTTGTGTGTGTGTGTGTGTGTGTGTGTGTGTGTGTGTGTGTGTGTGTGTGTGTGTGTGTGTGTGTGTGTGTGTGTGTGTGTGTGTGCGTAAGAAGCCAGGAGAGAAAAGCAGACAGGATCTGGTCGTGTGGGTGTGAGATGTGAATCATCCCCTCTTTAACAGCATCAAGAGCTTAAGGGTTCATACTAATGAAGGCACGTGTAGAGAGGTAAGGACTCCTCTCTGCTAATCTTGTTAGCCTCCGGGTCAAGGAGACTTTAGGCTGAAAACTGTCAAGCTGAGATGGCCAGAGCAACTTACTGAACCACTCAAAGAGGACACTTACTGGACAGAGAAACAGCAGTAGCTACAGCAGGGAAAATTACTATTGAACGGGTCACCATTTTTCTCAGAAAACACATTTCGAAAGGTGCTGTAGACTTGAAAATTTTCTCAGATGTTGGAAGCAACCAAAGAAATCCATATATGCAAAGAAAACAATTCTAATAAGTTTACAAAATAAGTTATGTGTAATAAAATGAAATGACAAAGGTAAAACGTATCAAACACACGAAGAAAGGGACTAGTAGAAATGCAGTGAAAGCCCAGACAGCAGCTGAAATCTCTCAGTGGTTCTTCAGCAACCCTCTGCCCTTCATCAGTGTGAATGAACATTGGCTGCTTCAGTCCAACATCTACATTCTCAGATAATAAAGATGAGACCAGGGTGGAAATTTTACCAAGACAATGATCTAAAACACAGCCAAGGAAACTGTAGCTGCAGAATGGCCCAGCCAATCACCTGATCTGAATTCAATATAAAATACAAATTAAAGATCAGATTTGATAGACGAGACCCACAGAACCATCAAGATTTTTACACTTCATTCTCCATATGAGTGTGTTTCAGCTGCTATCATCAAAAAAAAACCTTTTATATAAAGTATTAAATACAGTTCAGTAGTTCAGCACTTTCTCCTTGTGTCATTTTATTGTTATTACTCATAACTTATTTTTCAGATTTTGTTTTGTTTTTATGTTTGTATTGTTTGAGTTTTTATCAAAATCTGGTTCATTTCCATGTCAACAGCTCCTAAATATTATTCCCAGGAAAAAACATGACGTATTTAAAGCCCCCCCCCCCCCCACCCCCCCACTGTAAGTCTCCATCCAGAGATGATAATTAAACTGGAATATTGCATAAAATGTTTGCAAATAAAGCACTGTTTCTCTTGAATGAGTCAAAGAGAACAGAATAGTCACTTCCTGATGAACTGGTGACAAATATCAAAAAGAAAGAGAAAAAAAAAAAATCCTACTTGGTTGTGTGCATAAGATTTGTTTATGCACATTTACAAAATGTAACAACCAAAGAAATCTATATATGCAAAGAAAACCAAACTAACTAGTTTACAAATTAAGTTATGCGTAATGAAATGAAATAATTCAGAGAAAAAGCATTGAAAACATGAAGAAAGGGAGGTGTAGAAAGGCAGTGAAAGCCCAGCATCAGCTGAAATCTCTCAGTAGTTATTCAGCCACTGTTGGCAAAACTGTAAATGCACAATTACAAACTGTTTGCACATCCTATTTTTTAAACATATCTGTAGCGCTGTTTATTGTAGATAGTGTCAAAGCCACTATAAATTAAACAGGAAATATTAGTTGTTTAGTTTGACATGTTTTATGTAGAGGCGACGCAGTGGCGCAGTAGGTAGTGCTGTCGCCTCACAACAAGAGGGTCACTGCTTGGAGTCCTGGTTGGGTCAGTTGGCATTTTTGTGTGGAGTTTGCATGTTCTCCCTGTGTTTGCGTTGGTTTCCTCCGGGACCTACCGTTTCCCCTACAGTCTGAAGACATGCAGTACAGGTAAATTGGGTAGGCTAAATTGTCAGTAGTGTATGAGTGTGAATGAGTGTGAATGACTGTGTATGGATGTTTCCCAGAGATGGGTTGTAGCTGGAAGGGCATCCGCTGCATAAAAATGTGCTGGATAAGTTGGCGGTTCATTCTGCTGTGGCGACCCCAGATTAATAAAGGAACTAAGCCAAAAATGAATGAATGATTGAATGGTTTATTTAGGCAACATGGTGGCTCAGTGGTTAGCACTGTTGCCACACAGCAAGAAGGTTGCTAGTTCGAGTCCCAGCTTGGCCAGATGGCATTTCTCTGTGGAGTTTCCATGTTCTCCCCATGTTGGTGTGATGTTACGATGTTGTTAAAGAGTGTGTGTGTGTGTGTGTGTGTGTGTGTGTGTGTGTGTGTGTGTGTGAAGACTGCACTGTCACCTGATGCCCTCACTGACCTATGGGTCAAGCTTTCTGATCCTCAGATTAACTCTGGAACATTTGGATACCAGCCTGAGTGTTTCCCAATTACTCCAGTATGACGAGTTAAACTGTAATAACTATATAAGAATTATGGTGAAACTTTACAATAAGGTTTCATTAGTTAATGCCTTTACTAACATGAACTAAATATGAACCATACTTGTAGTGCATTTTTTAATTATAGTTTAACATTTGCTCTTGTCTTGTTTGCTTATGCCAACTGGCCCAGCCAGGATTCGAACCAGCAATCGATTAACCACTGAGCCACCGTGCCATCCCAATTGCATGTGTATGTTAGTAAATGCATTAACTAACATTATCTAATACAACCTTATACAGACAAAACTTGTGTGGAAGTTTTTTTGTGTGTATGCTCTTATTTATTTAGATTTAAAAGGTCACGATCATTAAAAAGAATGAGTTTGTTTCTGGATTAACTGGATTTACTATTTACCATGGGTTTTTGTAAAATGGTAATATTTTCTTCATTTTATTAAAGGTCTGACATTTTTTACTTTTATTAAAAATCAGGGTTATTCAAATAAATATTGATTTCTTAACCTCTAATGAACCTTAACTCTTATAAATTTAGAATATTATTTTTTTTTCTATTTCGACCAATTGGGATCCTGGAGCACAAAAGCAGTCTGAAGTCTCACGGGTATATTAGTGGGAATAACCAAAAATACATTGTCAAAATGATTGACTTTTCTTTCGTTGCAAAAGTTGCGCAGTGGGTAGTGCTGTTGCCTCACAGCAAGAAGGTCGCAGGTTCGTGCCTCGGCTGGGTCAGTTAGCGTTTCTGTCTGGAGTTTGCATTTTCTCCTTGCGTTTGCGTGGATTTTCTCTGGGTGCTCCAGTTTTCCCCACAGTCCAAAGACATGCGGTACAGGTGAACTGGGTAAGCTAAATTGTCCATAGTGTACGAGTGTAAATGAGTGTGTATGAATGTTTCCCAGAGATGGGTTGCAGCTGGAAGGACATCCACTGTGTAGAACATGTGCTGGATAAGTTGGCGGTTCATTCCGCTGAGGTGACCCCAGATTAATAAAGGAACTATGCTGAAAAGAAAATGAATGAATTAAATGATTTTGGGCATCACAAAGGCGCAGTGGGTAGCGCAATCGCCTCACAGCAAGAAGGTCGCTGGTTCAAGCCCCGGCTGGCTCAGTTGGCATTTCTGTGTGGAGTTTGCATGCTCTCCCCGTGTAGTGTATGAGTGTGTGTAAAAGGGAGTGTATGGGTGTTTCCCAGTGATGGGTTGCTGCTAGAAGGGCATCCGCTGCGTAAAAGATTTGATGAATAAGTTGGCGGTTCATGGCGCTATGGTGACTCCTGATTAATAAAGGGACTGAGCCAAAAAGAAAATGAATGAATGAATGAAATGCAAAACCACTAAGGTAAATATTATTAGCCCTATTCAAAATTATATATATATATTTATATATATATATATATATATATATATATATATATATATATATATATATATATATATATATATATTTTTTTTTTTTTTTTTTTTTTTTTCTCAGTTTCTCTTGACATATAATTAAAATATCAATTATGTTTTTATCCAGTAAACCGTCTGTGGCATTTCTTCCAATTGTGAATGAAAATGTCACTTCGAGCATTTCTGAATAAAATAACAGCTGTTTTATAAAGATCAAGTGTTTTTATTTTACGATTTGAAGATTTGAAGATTAGAAGATTAATTTGATAATTTTAGACATCATGTGAAATTTGAATATTATCTTTAAGTATTTCTCAAGTGCAGTTTAACAGAGAAAAGAATATTACACCACATTTTGAAACACTATATTTTTTCTAATAACTGATTCCTTAGATCTTTGCCATGATAAGAATACATGATATTTGACTAGATATTTTGTAAGATACTAGTATTCAGCTTAAAGTGAAATATAAAGTTAAACTAGGCAAGACATCGGACAGCGGTGGTTTGTTCTGTAGCTTATCAAAACAAATTCTTAAGAAGGCTAATAATATAAAAAAAAAATTCTCTCCAGTAGAATATATTAGACAATACTGTGAAAAATGTTCTTGTTTTATTAAACACTGTCTGGCCTTGACGAGCATTGGTCTCCCTGTCCCTCTCAAGCCTGCTGTATCATATTTAAATATCAAACCATAAATTCATTCAGTTTTCTTCAGCTTAGTCTCTTATTTATCAGGGATTGTCACAGCAGAATGAACCACCAACTATTCCAGCATATACTTTACACAGCAGATGCCCTTGCAGTCACAACACAGTACTGGGAAATACCTATCACATTCACAGACACAGACACAGACAGACACACACACACACACACACACACACACACACACACACACACACACACACACACACACACACACACACACACTGATACACTGCGACCGATTTAGTTTATTCAATTCACCTTGTCCGCATGTCTTTGGACTGTGGGGGATACTGGAGCAAACCCACGCGAACAGGGAGAACATGCAAACTCCACACAGAAATGCCAACTGGCCCAGCAATGACTCAAACCAGTGACCCTCTTATTGTGACAGTGCTAACCACTGAGTCACCATGCTGCCGAAAATGAAAACAGTTTAGTCATTTCTCCTATAGCCAGCTGAATCTGAAGTCATAAAACATTTATATAAAGGGGGCGCTAGTGTGCATGTCTTAGGGATAGATTTATAGATTTAGAGTGTTTATTTAGGGCTCTACTATGTGGCCTCAGTTAAGTTGCTAAATTACCTTGTTTTGTTCGACTTTACCACATTTAATGACCAGCGACCTTCTTGCTGTGAGGCGACAGCAGTACCTACTGCGCCACCGCATGACCTATGTAAGGAGATGTCTGAGTCAATCTTAAGACGTGTGAACAATCGCTTTGATGTTTTTAAACTCAACGTTCAGCAACTTGTGGCTTCAGAGGCTGAACTACAAGTCTGTTTAACACATCAGAAGGAGTGCCAACTAGGCGAGCGACTTTTTAGAGACTAAAATTTCTCAACAATCACTAAAACGAGCGCACTCCTGCACTGCAGAATAAGGTCAATAGTGTATAAAAGTGCTGAGTGCTTCTCACCTGCAGCTCTAAGACTTTGACTCGATGTCGATGGTTGCGCAGCTCCTCCTGCAATTCAGAAACGGTCTCCTTGAGTGCTAGGATCTGCTGTTTGCGCTCTTCGTTCTCATGAAGCCAGTATGACACCTCATCTGTACAGCGAAACATGTCAGGGCAGCGCTGCTCGTCCAGCTGCGGCAGAGTGGCCATCAGCCGGCACATGCCGTCCTCCAGCACCTGATTGCTGTATTCTCCACACTGAGCCGTGCTGACCTGATGCGTGTGCAGAGAGTGCTGGTCATCGCTGGCGTGGGTCAGCAGGAACAGGACAGTCAGCAAGAGTGCAGATTGAGGCCTGTCCTCCATGTGGTCGGCTCGGCTGACTCCTCTTCCCTGGGGGAGAAGGCCAGGGCACCAGCTCTCGGACCTCCAGTCTCAGGCCTGGGGAAGAGCAGGACACGCAGGAATACGGGACAGGTCACCTGGAGGGGAAATACACATCAAATGTAGGCAAAAAATATATTTAAAAAATAAATATATACAGAAGTCAAAATGATTTGCCTTTTTGAGAAGGTTTAGGAATGTGTTGAATTTTTTTTTTCCATTAAACAGAAACTGGGGATGAAAATATACAAGGGGGGCTAATAATTCTGACTTCAAGTGTGAGCACGCACTAGACGTTACACAGACGTCAAATTGACAGTTTCCAACGTCAGACTAACTTTGAATTTTGGTTGTATATGAAAATCGAATTGATGTCAGAACTCGATGTAAGTTTGGGTCAGACTTCATCGTCAAGATTAATTTTATTTAGTTCACGACACAACATAAAATCAACCAAAGATCAACAGCTAATGTTGTTAACTTTTAACATTGTATGGATGTGACATTATGACATTAAAGTGACGTTGAATTTTAATTAGGGAATAACACAACATAAAACCAACCAAACCTAAATGTCTACTGATGTTAGACTTTGATGTGCTATGGATGTCATACTATGACGTTAGAATGATGTTGGATTTAGTTAGTTAATGCTACAGTCTAAAATCAACCAAATATCAACGGCAGATGACGCTAGTATTAGATGTCAGTTGACTTTAGTATTAGACAACAAATTGATGGTAAATTTTGGTCACCTGACATCGCAACCAAAGTAGAACTAAAGATCAACGTTATATGATGTTGTGTGCCTGCTAGAATATATACACAAATTTAAAGTTTTGCTTTATCAGCCAAAATTTTAAAATATAACTGTAATTCAATAAAAGCACAAAAAGTAAGAAAAACACCAACAATGAAAAATGTAAATATCATTCTTAAGAGGGCATAATTTGTTTTAACGGTTTTTATTCTACCCAAAATAAAACAAATCAGACTTTTTCCAGAAGAAAAAATATTATAGGAAATACTGTGAAAAATTCCTTGCTCTGTTAAACATCATTTGGGAAATATTTGAAGAAAAGAGAAAAAACATCACAGTAGGCTGAATAATAAATTAATACATAAATGAGTCTAAATTTCTTTTCCTGAAATATTTTAAAAGCACAAAAAGCCTCTATAGACCATTTTGAGGGAAGTAAACCGTAACAATAGTCACAATAGCATGCTAACATATATCCTGTTTTACTTTTTTAGAATTCAAAAAGGTCCACTTGTTGATAAGTAATGGTGTGATAGTCGTTTTAACGTTAAGTTTTGATTAAATTGCCTCTTGCTAAAGTTATGAAATGGATTGACAACAAGCAGGAAAGTTCATGGGCTAATGACCACCACATTGAAATAGTCTATAGCAATAATTATAGCATAAATATACAAAAAATATACATGTATAAAAACAAAAGGATAGACATTTATTTCATGATTATTTATATATAACATATAACCACAAAAACATTTATTTCTTTATCTAATACTTACCTATATATCTTTATAAACTAACTGGCCACTTTATTTGATACACCTGTTCATCTACTCATTAACGCATATTTATAATCATCCAATCACATGGCAGAAACTCAATGCATTTAGCATGTAGACATGGTCAAGACAATCTGCTGCAGTTCAAACCGAGCATCAGAATGGGGAAGAAAGGTGATTTAAGTGACTGAATGTGGCATTATTGTTGAATCCAGACAGGCTAGTCTGAGCATTTCAGAAACTGCTGATCTACTGGGATTTTCACACTAGAGTTTGCAGAGAATGGTCTGACAAAGAGAAAGTGTCCAGTGAGCGGCAGTTCTGTGGGCGCAAAGGCCTTGTTGATGCCAGAGGTCAGAGGAGAAAGGCCAGACTGGTTCGAGCGGATAGTAAAAGCAACAGTAACTCAAATAACCACTCGTTACAACCGAGGTACGCAGAAGAGCATCTCTAAATGCACAACATTTAAACCTTGAGGCAGATTTTCAACAGCAGCAGAAGACCACACCGGGTGCCACTCCTGTCAGCTAAGAACAGGAAACTGAGGCTACAATTCACACAGGCTCAGCAAAATTGGACAATAGCAGATTGTAGAATCGTTGCCTGATCTGATGAGTCTCAATTTCTGCCGCAACATTCGGATGGTAGGGTCAGAATTTGGCATCAACAACATGAAAGCATGGATCCATCCTGCCTTATATCAACAGTTCAGGCTGGTGGTGGTGGGGGTGTGATGATGTGGGGGATATTACTTGCCACACTTTGAGCCCATTAGTACCAATCGAGCATTGTGTCAACACCACAGCCTACCTGAGTATTGTTTTGACCATGTCCATTTATTTATGACCACAGTGTAACAACTTTCTGATGGCTACTTCCTGCAGGATAACGCGCCATGTCAAAAAGCGCAAATCATCTCAGCCTTTTTTCTTGAAAATGACAATGAACCTCCACAGTCACCAAAACTCAATCCAATAGAGCACCTTTGGTATGTGGTGAAACGGGAGATTCGCATCATGGATGTGCAGCTGACAAATCTGCAGCAACTGTCAATATGGACCAATTCTCTGAGGAATATTTCCAGTCCCTTGTTAAATCTATGCCACGATGAAATAAGTGATGATGATTATTTTTAATATTAGAGTTATAAAGAAGCTCATTTTCATATTCGTACTGAAACTTTCTTATGCAAACTTATGAAAAAGTACAGTGAATCACCACTTCTGGGGCCCAAAGCAATAAAACAAGGGTTATAGGAGCTTTTTAAGCATTATACCCTAATGCTGCAACCCACACGCAGTTCCCACATCACTAGAAAAGGTTGTGAAAAAGTCAGAGGAGGTCTTTTATTTTGTTGTGACATTTTAGTGAACTATAGGTCAGGCTGTCACAAATCACGCTGAAAGAGGACTAAACTACATGATCTGCCATTAAACCTCGGTGTGATATTTGAAGTAAATCCCACTAGGCATGTCCAGTCATGTCTCTGCTCTTACTGGAGGTCACCTGCTTCTGCTGATTAAGGCACAGGTTAAGGTGCTTTCGCAGCTGGGACACTTTTCTGTGTGCTTATGTGGGTTCAAGAACAAGGCAGAAGTGAAAGTATTTAACCTCCAGCTTCTAAAAATAGCTGCAGTAGATTTCTGCTTTCATTATCGACACACGTTTACTTAAAATCCATCAAACACACTGGTTAAAAACACACATTTAAAATGCTGGGTTGTTTTAAAGTGCACATGGAATTAATACTAATCATATTGATTTTGTTAGCTCACATTGCTTATTTTGTGGTGAAAAATTAATCTATGCATGTCATTAAGAACAAAAAAAGTTTGCTCTTGTAATCGAAAATTTAAATCTGAAAATGCACTTCCTGTCTGTTTTCACTTAAATTCACAGATTACGTCTATCTTAGGTATTGGGCGTGGTTAACATACTTAACCACACCCCTTCAACTGCCCGTTAAAATAACTCTCCCCCCAATCTTTCTGAATGAAATGCCTACTTTCCTACATCCAATCATCTTGCAGAAGAAAAAACAAGCCACACCCACTCTTTTTTCATTTAATATTCCGGTTTTCTAGGAACTGCGTCACAATATGAATTTAAAAAAGCGGCCGCAGCTTCCGGTTCATGTGGACTATAACTCAAATCCGCATGAATTCAAAATGTACAATGTTTATTTTGCTAGTGCAATGTTATTCTTTAGATAGAAAAGTATGCTAATCCACGGATTTTTATTATTAATCTTCAATCAAATTATGAACATTTGCTTCAGCAGTGTCAGTTTTATGACTTCAGCCACAATATTCTTAACCACGCCCCTCTACATTTAGTTTGCTATAGGGAAATGATGTGCAAAAAGTAAGCCACACCCCCTAATCAATATTCCATTTATTCAAAGGACTTTATGCAGGTAAACCTCATTCCTCTGACCTCTAAAGGTGCTCTAGCTACAGACGCTAGAGGCCATGGTTTTTAGCCTCCTTATTGGAGCAATCAACTTCCATCCAAAGAAACGCTGGTTCGATCCCAGAATGGCTTGGGTGTGGTCTGGACTGGGGGTTAGACTAGGGGCTCGGGATGGGAGTGAGGTTTAGGGGGTGAATGTAACAGAGGTTTTCAAACATTTGACTAAACATGACAGAAAAAGTGCGCTCTGATTTTTTATTTTAGTTGATTCGTCAGACTTTTTAATGACCTTAAAAAAAAGCAAAGTTTTTATAAGCAAAATATTTTTCTTATGAAGAGCCAAAAAAAAAACTAGATTGAGGACTGTGGGCCGAAGGTAAATATAAACATTGACATGGATCATTTCCTTAATTAATTCAATTCATCTTTATTTCAATAGCACTTTTAGAATGTAGATTGTGTCAAAGTAGTTTACCATAGAAGTTCTAGTAAACTGAAAGTCCAGTTTTCATAGATGACGTTTAGTTTAAGTTCAATAGTGTAGTTTAAATTTCACTGCTGAAAGTTCAAACACTGAAGAGCAAATGCATCAATGCGCAGCTCCACGAGTCTCCAAAAAAAAATAGAAAACATGACTTGAATTATATTACTAATGTATTTAATATTTTTTACATTTTATAATTAACGCATTATAATGAAACATAAGAATTCCATTTATAACACTATAATGAAGTTTAATGCTGAATACACTAGTCAATCCTGCCTTTGCCTTGATTTGCTCGCTGAGGACTTCTGAATTGTGGTTTATCCATTGAGCAACAGTATGTTCATTTAAAAAGAATCAGATTCATTCATTCACAATACTTAATTTAAATGAGCCTTTTTGTAGCTTAACAATAAAACAAACAAACTAAAGTTCACGAAAACATTAGAAATGACGATATGTACAAAAGGCATTACCCCCGACATTACCCCCAGTCCACCCTTACTTCTCAAATGGGATAGTGGGCCAAATCAAAGGTTACCATGGGCCAACTAGTTTGGGGAATGGTAGGTTTAAACATTAAAAAACACAATAGGTTGGACATCAAATAAATGAAAACTCCAGAAGGTGTGTACAGCTCACTTGAAGCTCAACTCCCACCCACTCAGAGTTGACCAGCCCACTTAGAGCTGGCTCCGACCTCCATTTAAATACCCTTCTCCAAAAAGCAGCTCAGATTTACTTAGATAATTGATGAACAAATGGAAATGAATTATATTTACATAGTAGTTTATAAGACGAGCACAGACTACTAGAATGTACAGCGTGGAAAATCAGTATTGAACACATCATGTATTTTCCTGGGAGTGTTTCTGAGAAAAATGGTGACGTTTTCAATTTTGTATTTGTTGTATTTTTCCCGCTGTATCTGCAAACTATATCTTACTTTGCTTTGGAAGGAAAGTTGGATTCTTACTTGTCACAATGTCCGAGAAATGCATAAACAAACGCATGTTTATTTAAAATGAAATGACTACAGCGCTTAGACACAGATTTTCTTTAAAACTGGCAGAAGAACAATGTTTCTCCAATACCTGCTTCAACACTACTCTCCTCACGAGAAGTCCCGTGAAAGTTAAGGATAATAAAGCATCAGAAATATAATCAGAAACATAAATTTGGCAGGAATTATAGTACTTTTAGTTATCACTTGAACAACATTTCAACCATCAAAATAATATAAAAATATTGACATCAACCTGGCTATTACAATCCATATAAATATCATTTATCAAATCTCCCAATAATCTCTGTTTAGACACTAGTAATTACTGGGTTCCACACAAACGATTAGTGTTGGGTCAACATGAAGGAATTAAGTTAAATGATTAGTTTTTGCAAATTAAAGTGGATTGAACGTAAAACAATTAAGTTGTCTCAAAAAACCCTCAAGAACTGTGTTGTTTCAGCTCACGTTAAATAAGTTGTTTGAACAAACAGCAAACATCTTTTTTTAGAGTGTAAATATTGCTGGAAATTGAAAAAAGACAACATAGAATCTGTCATTATATTCAGCAAGAAACACCACCTCCTCAAGTCCCTGCAAAGAATTAAACACAGGCAAAACACAATATACAAGAAGTGCCTTGAATATCTGACCCGACCAATCAATGCCAAACCATCTAAAAGTGCAGCAGATCCACTGAACACACCAAAGCACATTACAGAGCAAAGCCTGAGAGCCACTGAACGCAGAATGAATCACATTGATAAAGCACTCAACGTCCTCGAAGTGACATTTTGATGAGAAGCATGAAATCTGAGCATACATGTGTTTGTTTGTTTGTTTGTTTGGAGGGCATTTGATTTACACGAACCTCATGCATCACAACGTCTCACCTGAGAGGCTCTGCTAACTACATACAAAGCTCTTGACGCACTGATACACTGCATACGCCACTCACTTTCCCTTAAAGATGACACCAGCGGTGATTACGCAGTAAAACTCTACAGGGACATAGTTGATCATTACCTGTTTCAGGCGTCTTGTTTGTCTTCTGGGGAAATGCAGACGTTTGCTGCCATTCTCTCTCACTCTCTCTTTCTTTCTACACCCCGATGTGTTGCAGGATGGGAATCTTGTCCTGGTAATCCTGTGTAATTGGATTTATGATTAGAAAAGAAAGAAAGGAGAGACGATCTACAGCCACTGACTCGACATGCTGAATCACGCCACGTGGACAGACAATTATACAGACTGTAAAAAATGACTATTGCTGCTTCTTCAAACTACTTCATTAAAATGAGCTAAATGTTGTCCTAACTAGAGCTGCACCATATATCGACATCGCAATGTGCACATCCGCAATAGTCACATAACAGGATCTGCAATGTCAGGTCTGGATTACAGTTGAGCAGGACTTAAAATAGGGATGCAACGATTATAAATTTTGGTTGTACGATTATAGTCTAAGAATTCACGGTTTTACAGTTATCTCGATTATTTGCATTAATTGATTTCAAAACCCCACTAGTTTATAACTAGTTTAAAATTGTTTTAAATTTTGTTTTTTGTAGTTCGGGTCCAACTAAATATTTGCTGCTGTTCTAATTGTTTAAATTCATTTAATTGAATATATAAAAATCAGCAAATATTATCGATGCATTCATAGGGTAAAATTGCTCATTTAATGTGTTTTTGGTCATTATCAATGCACATTATCAATGCAAAAATACAACCAGCGGTGAAACTATCACGCCACTGCTGCTTTAACGACACTCACGCTCGTGCTGAAGCACTGCTTCTGCGTGCAGTATGAAAACTCTAATCTGTTAAACTTTCAGCACTCTCTCCGAAAACACTCGGTTAATCTCGGCTGGTATTCGCCACATGATCGCTCTCATCAGCGCCATTATTTGTAACTTTAAGTGGGTTTGCAAATCTGTGTACTTTCCATTGCTTCTTCCTCAAACTTTAGCCGTTTGCAATTCCTGCAGTCACAAAAGCCCCCTGTCATCTCAACTAGGTGCGCCTGAAAATCATGAGCGTGTTGTGTCACCTGTGCGTCCCTCCATTGGAAATAATGAACTTGCACGAGCTTGCCTTGGTTAATAGCCTCAGTTATAGTTAATCTAGTGTGCGTGGTTATTAATCTTGGTGTACAGACTAGCGCACAGTTGGCATCATTTTGTTTAGTTGCTGCAGTTTTATTCCATGCAGAAACGTGGTGTTGAGAAGCCTGTACGATTAATTAACTTTGATGAAATAAATCGCGGTTAAAAGTGAAACCAGTTAATCCTCGCATCCCTAACTTAAAAACACACCTGATTGTGGTGTAATTGCAAAGTTTAACCATCAAGTTACCCAAATATGTATAGTTTGCATGTGTTTTTAGGCCTGTGACTGTGTATACGTCAAGCCAGTTTAAAGTTTAGTCACTTCAAGTCTCACTGGCCTATGAACATTTCCTGCTTGTTGTCAAATCATTTCATTACTGTAACAAGAGGCAACTCAATCATTACTTACTGTTAAAACAGCTACCATAACATTATTTATCAATATGTAGGCCTTTAAGATTCTTGGAAGCTGTGGAAATCAAAAATGTAATACTGGCAATAAATTAAGACCATTGTTATTTTTTACATCCCTTAAAATGGTTTATACAGTCTTATTTATTTTACATTTAATTATTTAAACTGTTAGACTCTCTTAAAAGCCATAAAGCCTTTATTTATTTTTATTAAAGTAATTATTTTATTTTAAGTAACTTTTTATTTACTGTATTAATCATAGCTTGTGATTTGGTTTATTACATTTAGTGCAGATGCACTCCTCTACAAAATCATCCTATTTTCATCCAAATTCATGCTGAAATTATTCATTCATTTCAAATAGATCTATATACAGTTGAAGTCAGAATTATTAGCCTCCTTCCAATTTTTTTCTTCTTTATAAAATTTTTCCAAATTATGTTTAAAAGAGCAAGGAAATTTTCACAGTATGCCTGATAATATTTATTCTTCTAGAGAAAGTCTTTTTTTTATTTCGGCTAGAATAAAAGAAGTTTTAAATTTTTTAAACTTCATTTTAGGGAGAAAATTATTACTCCCTTTAAGCTATATTTTTTGTCAATAAAAAAAACATCATTATACAATAACTTGCCCAATTACCCTAACCTGCCTAGGGTTAACCTAATTACCCTGGTTAAGCCTTTAAATGTCACTGTAAGCTGTATAGAAGTGTTGTGAAAAATATCAAGTAAAATATCATTTGCTGTCATCATGACAAAGATCAAATAAATCAGTTATTAGAAATTAGTTATTAAAACTATTATGTTTAGAAATGGGTTGAAAAAAAATTGTCTTTCTGTTAAACAGAAATTGGGGAAATATAAACAAGTGGTCTAAAGATTCAGGGGGGCAAATAATTCTGACTTCAACTGTATATTATATATAATATATACTTCCTGGATTCAGGTATTGGGTAGGTTTAGGGATATGCAGAACATTAATACAATACTCGGGCTTTTAGTCAGGTATGTGAATTTTTTTTTCTCAAAATATGCACTATTTGCAGATATTTGCTTCATTTTCTATTCAATTATGAGATTTAAATATTGCATTTTAGTGACAATTCAAGCACTGTTTTTAGCTGGATTGGTTTGTTGGGTGGTCATCATAACCACACTTTTAGATGTACTAAAAATATTTCCTAAATATTCAGAATAAAGAAAAATTTTAAATACTTATTTTTTAAATACAAATTCATTACATCATATATTATTAGAAAAAAAAATACTAACCTATTGTCATTTTTAGGCAAATAACAAACTGGCCAGCACATTCAACTTTGCTCAGTCAGAATTTGGCTATTTGAATAATAAAAAAAATAAAGATAATAATAATAAAAGAGGTTCATGATTTGTCTAGCCTCTTTTTGTGTTAAAAAGTACATTTGAAAACTCATAGATATTAACAGACAAAATAGTATTCAAATCAATTAAATATGGGCGGCTTCTAGTAATTTTTAGTTTCAAGATAAAGGCCCAAGATTTAAAATAAAAGTTATTTGTAAAATGTTTTCTCTATTTAAAAACAACATGTATATATAGTATTGTATTTCATTGTATTGTCCTGATTTTCTTAGGTGGTGTCAGACTTTTGAGCATAAGTTGAAAGTGATGTAGTGATGTGTGATGAGGTGTGTTGTGTGTGTACAGCCCTCTAGAGGCTGTTCTTTTACACAGAGACGACACACATCTTCTTAACTTCTTTACTTTAGACAGAAACCCAAATATAATAAATTATATGGCACTTTATAATACAGCTCATTTAAAGCACTTCTCTAATTACAAAGGTCTAAAATATTTAGTTTTTAAAATTATGATTTAATTTATTTTAAATTATTAATGCAAAATATTTGTTTTAATATTTTTTGCATTATCATTTATATTATCTTTTTTAAAATATGCCTATATAGTTTTCATAAATGTATTTTGTGTGTATTATTAATTTTTTTGCTTAAAACAACTTGTTGGTATAAAAAATAATTGCTTCTCTAATTACTAAAGTCTAAAATTATTATTAAAAACATATTATATTTTTTCCATTATTATTGCAACATATTTTTTATTAATATTTGAAATTGTTTTCATTATTGTTTTATTTCATTGTTGTTTTTTGCATTATCATTTGTGTTAATTTCCTTGTAGATATACATATATAGTTTTTACGAATAAATTTGGCATGTATTATTATTTTTATACAGTATTTTATTTTATTTATTTATTGTTACTTTAAAGTAAAAAAAAATATATAAAAACAACTTGTTAATAAAAAAAAATCTAAGCATTATTTCAAATTTCACCAAAGGTCAAATTGCATTATTATTGCATTATATTTTCATTAATATTTTGTATTAATTCCTTTTTAAATAGTGCCCATATATTTTTTATAAACATACATGTATTATTATTATTACTACATGTATTATTATTATTTTTTATTATTTATTTCATAGAATACATTTTTATTGAGTCATTCTTTAGCTTTATATTTTGTCATTTTAGATACACTAAAGAAAAAAAAAAGAAAAAAAACAAGTTTTAAAATTTGTAGTTTTTTAATTATTATACTTTTTAAAACTATTTTTAAATATGTTTGTATTAAAAATGTTCAATTGTTTTTATGTTTAGTTTAGCATTATCATTTGTATTTATTTCTTTGTAAATACGCCTACATAATTTATAGATTTTGAATAAAATATTTTATATTTTGTATTATATGTATTGTTATAACTTATTTTGCATACTATGGATCCTTTTTTTTGCAGTAATTTATTTAAAGTTTTTGCTTTATATATTTTAGATAAAATAAAGAAATAAGAAACGACTAGTTCACTGTAAAAGTTTAGGCAACTCAAACCGTTTGAGGAAACCGATTGCAACAAACCCTTTAAGTTCAAAAATGAATCCCAATGAGTACTGTGAACTTAATCCATTTGAGTAAACAAAGCAATTTGAGCACAGTAAAAGCCAATAAATAAAGAGAACTCAAACTGTACAACTCAATAAGTTAAGGCAACTTAAACCGTTTGAGGATATCGATTGCCGATTCGAGTTAAACTAATCTATATGAGTAATGTGAACTTACACCATTTAAGTTGAAGTAATGAGCTATTTAATTAACTCATTACCTTCAACAGTTCAACATTTTTTTTTTTGAATGAGTAGAATTAACTTTCAGTCAATTTTAAGTTAACTACACTCATTTCATTTGATAAAGTTGACTGCTGGGTTTTACAGGTCTGATAAAAAATACAGTTTTATTTATTTCAGATCAGTTAACCTTTTATTTAATATTTATTCAATATAGGCCATTCATTTATTTTCTTTTACACCCTGCTACAGTGCAAGCAATTATATTATTTACAATGTAAACTGAGCTTACATTTGAATTTTTTTATCCTCTTTTGTTTTCAAACGTGAAGCATCCCAGACCTTGAAAAACTGCATTAATGCCATATCTTTTTTTCCTGAATGAGAGGCGCTGTCGTTTTACTGACGTTTCTTTAAGCACATTATCAGGAGCGTTTGAGAGTGAAAAGAGAATAATTGATTTATGAGGAGTTTCCAAGACAACACAATGTTACCTTTCCTCTTGTGGTAATTACATTTGCTGTTGATGAGCCTGGAGGCAATAACGACCTTCATTAACAAAAGAATCCACGAATAGATGAGAAACAAAGATACAATAATTGTTTGTCTTCAGCTTAAGATATAAACGACTGATGGAGGGAGCGGCATGGTGGCTCTGTGGTTAGCACTGCCACAGCAAAAAGGTCGCTCGTTTAAATCCAGGCTGGGCCAGTTGGCGAAATAAGATACTAAGCTGAAGAAAAACGCATGAATGAAAAAGCGAGGTCTGATGGATCTGCATGTGTTAAACCATATGACAGGAAATCAGTGGCGTGAATTACGCCATTCAGAGACTATGCACAATAAACACTTCTTTAACACACACCTGACAATTTACAGATTTTGGGCTTTTCGTTAAGTGTTTTTTGTCTTAAGATTTCAATGACAATACATATTTTTAAGGAACATTTTCTCAAAATAAGTAGGTGAGAGCGGGGACGACAGTAAAGTGGGAAGGAAGTAACAAATCGATTTTTTCAAAGCTCTGACAACATTTGCTTTCCAGGCTATAACAGCACATTCAGCATGCAACCCTTGATGGAGCTGCCAAATATCAGCTCATTTCAGGAATCTGTCCCGCGATTAGGTCTGAATTTCAGTTTTTACTGTAAGTGCAGAAAGTAAGTTATTTTCTATAATTAAGTCTTCTCTCTTTATGCGTCACAGTAATGATTATTCGACAGGTTATTTAGTGCAGTAACACATCCTTAAGCAATCTCTGAGTTTTTCAGGTTTAAATGGCAAGAGTTCCTGTGCGGACGAACGTAACACTGTTTTTTATGTCCCACTGCTACCTTATTTTTCACTTCCACATTAGAGTTTTCAGTGTTTTGATTAATATGTTTATAAGATTAATGCATATTGCCAATGATAATAAAAAATAGTCAAAATTTGTGACATGTTGCATTGATTGATTGCTTCTGAAACATTTGATGAAAGGGAAATTTAAAATGAAAATGCAGTTTACACTATTATTTTGTAAAAATAAAGGACAAAATATGCTTGCAGTAAACATTAACAAGGTCATAGTCAGATATGTTTAAAATAAACAAGATTAAGCCTGTGAATCTAGCAAATATTGTTGTGTTACTTTTGTCTCTACCGATGGGGTCAGTAACATTGTGCGTAACAATGGAATAATGTGCAATTTATGCTTAGTCAAATTATTTTGAAGTTGATTCATTCGTTTTCCTTCAGCTTTGACTTCATTCCACTGTGGCAACCTCTGAAACAAACCACTAACTATTCTAACATATGTTTTACACAGCGACTGCCCTTCCAGCCACAACCCAGTACTGGGACACACCCATACACTTTCATTCGCGTCAATTTACTTTATCCAATTCACCAATAGCGCATGTCTTTGGACTATGGGGGAAACCCATACCAACATGGGGAGAACATGCAAACTCCATACAGAAAAGGCAACTGGCCCAGCCAGGACTTACAACAGCAACCTTCTTGCTGTGAGGCGAAAGTGCTTACCACTGAGACATCCACCATAAGCCAACTCTTTAAAGTGTTTTCTTTTGTCCTACTCTTTTTAAAGGCTCTTCTCCCATTGAGTCTTACATCTCCACTTCAGCAGGCCTTAAATACACCAAACTGTGAAATTTCATTTATATCTTCAAATTAGTTTTTTCATTAAAAAAAAAATATATATATATATATACAGTATATATGTATATATATATATATATATATATATATATATATATATATATATATATATATATATATATATATATATATATATATATATATATATATATATATATATATGTATATATTTATTTATTTATTTTTATTTTTGTCTTCAGTTCGTCATATTATGCCATATTTTTTTTTATTTGATTTTTATTAATTAATATTTTATTCAACAAACAATCTTGTGAACTGTATTTTCTTCTACGGCTGTTTAATTAAATTTTTTTTAATGGAGTAAATAAAACAATACTCCCAAAACTATACTTCTAATACACTCTCTGTAAAAAACACAAAACTTAAATAAAGATTTTAGTTTTTTTTTTCTTTTGATCCTGACTTCATACACTTTTCAGATTAGTGTGCTAGAAATAAGACCATATTTAATTCATTAATGCATTATTTGCATATTTAGACATGACATTTCAAAAACTTGCAATACAAAAAAGTTTCCACTTCAATATAATCAATCAACTGTGGAAGTATGATGATAAATATTATTATTTCATGTTTTTATTCTATTCATAACTATTATATCAACTTTGTGTAATAATGTACTGAAGTTTTTATTTATTAGTTCTCTCATGTGAGTTGGGTTATATATAAAAAAGTAAGTAAATAAATAAATAAGCTTATGTAGTTCATATTTATACAGTGCATCCGGAAAGTATTCATAGTGCTTTACTTTTTCCATTTGTCTTTATGTTACAGCCTTATTCCAAAATAGATTAAATTAATTTATTTCCTTAAAATTCTACAAACAAAACCCCATAATGACAATGTGAAAAAAGATTTTATGAAATTGTTGCAAATTTATTCAAAATAAAAAAGCTGAAAAATCACATGTACAGAAGCATTAACAGCCTTTGCTTAATACTTTGTTGATGCACCTTTGGCCGCAATTACATCCTCAAGTCTGTTGAATATGATGCCAAAAGCTTGGCACACCTGTCTTAGGGAATTTTTGCCCATTCCTCTTTGCAGTACCTCTCAATCTCTATCAGGTTAGATGGGTAGTGACGGTGTTCAGCCATTTTCAGATCTCTCCAGAGATGTTCAATAGGATTTAGGTCGGGGCTCTGGCTGGGCCATTCAGTGGCATTCAAAGAGTTGTTGTGGAGCCACTACATTGATATTTTGGCAGCGTGCTTTGGGTCATTATCCTGCTGCATTTATCTTTCCCTCTATCCTGACTAGTCTTTTAGTTCCTGCAGTTGAAAAAACATCCCCACAGCATGATGCTGCCATGCTTCACTGTAAGAATGGTATTAGCCTGGGTATGAGCGGTGCCTGGTTTTCTCCAAACATAACGCCATTAGCCATTAGTTAAATTTTATTCTCATCTGACCAAAGAATTTTGTTTCTTATGGTCTGAGAGTCCTTCAGATGCCTTTTGGCAAATTCCAGGCGGGGAGTGGCTTCCGTCTGGCCACTCAACCATACAGGTCTGATTGGTGGATTGCTGCACAGATGGTTGTTCTTCTGTAAGGTTCTCCTCTCTCCACAGAAGAATGCTGGAGCTCAGACAGAGTGAACATCGGTTTATTGATTACCTCCCTGACTAAGGACCTTCTCCCCAGATCACTCAGCTTAGATGGCCAGCCAGCTCTAATAAGAGTTCTGGTGGTTAAACATCTTCCACTTACGGATGATGGAGGCCGCTGTGCTCAGTGGAACTTTTAGAGCAGCAGAAACTTTTCTGTAACCTTCCCCAGCCTTGTGCCTCGAGACAATCCTGTCTCTAAGATCTACAGACAATTCCTTTGTCTTCATGCTTGGTTTGTGCTTTGACATGCACTGTCAACCCTGGGACCTTAGACAGGTGTATGACTTTTTAAATAATGTCCAATCAACTGAATTGACCACAGGTGAACTCCAATTAAGCTGCTGAAACATCTCAAGAATGATCAGTGGACACAGAATGTACCTGAGCTCAATTTAGAGCTTCACGCCAAAGGCTGTGAATACTGATGTACATGTGATTTTTCAGGTTTTTTATTTTTAATAAATTTGCAACCATTTCAAAAACTCTTTTTTCACATTGTCATTATGGGGTATTGTGTGTAGAATTTTGAGGAAATAAATGAATAAATATATGATATAACAAAAGCTTATTGATTTATTTGACTCTTTATTTGGGTTTTTTCTGCTGCTAGAAGATCATAATTTCTATAGATATTTATTATTATTTTTTTATGTATATCTGCATTACATCTGCTGTGACGTTTTAAATGACAAATTAAAAGAAACTTGTAATTAAAACCTGCAGTGTCTTGTATTAACTTCCAGCATTAGTTCACAGTGTCTGAAACAGCATGAAAACACACAGCAGCAGTGGATCCATCATTCACCCGAGTCTCCCAGTGTCAGACAAGATGAGCAGCCAGTCTAAAAGCTTTGTTTCTGATCAGTAATTTTACCCCGTTGCATCAGAGCCACCTGATCATCTCCAGCCTGGAGGGTTTGCCAGACACCTGTGAGTATATAAGAAGCAGAGCTCATTCAGAAAACAGCGGAGAAGCACAGACACACACACACACAGCGCAGAACAACTCACACTCATTCAACAAAGGTAAGAGTCATTCTATTCATATTAAGTCATATTAACAGCTGATTCCTTGAACACTGCCGCATTTGCTTGTAAAGTATATGAATTATATTTATTTATTCTTGTTTTTACGGCTTTTAAAATGAGCTCTTTTTTTAAAGCTATGTGACTTAAAGTGAATTAAATAGTGGAGTTTTCTAAACATCCTCATTAAATTTAATTAAAATGGCATCTTAAGAAAAGATTTAAAACCTCTAGTAACAAAGCTTTAGATCATGACAGATAATGAATAATAAATGCATCTTATTTATTCATTAGAAAAAAACTGTAAGGTTTACTGTTGTATTGTATGTAAACTTTCTTTTCCTTAAATTAAGTAATACCAATATTGGTTTATTATTTTATTTTATTAAACTGTAATTTTATACAACCATGTATGTACATTCAAAAGTTTGGATATTTTATGTAATAATTCTTATTAATATAACTATAATTAATAATTTACATTAGTTTTATTATTATTATTATTATTATTATTAAGTATGTCTTTTCCAAATAAAGTATACTTTTGTACATGTTTTAATATAGATAATAAATATAATAATATTTTATTAACTTTAACATTATTAGTATAAACAATGAACTGTTTATAACTGAGAGTGTGTGTTGGTGTAATTTATATATAATAGGACTTTATATTTGGTATTAATTCTTATATATATATATATATATATATATATATATATATATATATATATATATATATGAGCAATATGACACGAGTAGCAGTGCGATGTGGCTGTTTTTCGGCACTGGTGGGAGGCGTGCGTTGGCACCAGTGATACAGCCACATTGCACTGCTACTTGTACCATATTGCGTTTATACAACAGTACGACGGCATAATTGTGTGTTTAAAATAGTACATCAAACACGGAGATAGTCAAAATCCTTTCGTGATAGGAACTACTTTCTTCCGCCATTCATTCACATCTGCAGCTGATGTCATGAGAAACCATTGTTACCTAACAAATGTAACTTTTGACCTATTTTTGAATGATTCACTGACTAATTTTTGCTCACACTTTAAAATTATAAGGCTGAATGTCATGACATGCATTCAATCTGCAGAGATTTCTCAGTATTTTTGTTGTAATAGGGAAGATCACAATATTTAACCCCAAAAAAGCCAAAGTAAAGCAAACACTACCAGTTTCGATGGCATAAATACAGCACTACAACAGACAAAAGCCAGAGATAGAATTAGAATGTCGCTTAACTGTTTATAATGATTTGTTTAGCTACAGTTTGAAACAAACGCTGAGAAAATGCTGTTTTTCTTACCTAAGAACTTATTATGCGGTCTCTGTCGCCATCTTGTTGCGGAACGTCAACCGTCACTTTCTTTGGTCTGCTCAGACATTATGATGGCGGCCGATGCACTAAATCCGATGCTCAGAAAATATAAATATTTAAAAATAGCCACTATCCTTATAATAGACTGCATAGTTGCAATCTGAACAACTACATTCTCGATTAAGAACGCCTCAAAAATACCTTATGTAGCCCAACAGCTGCAATATTTGTCCTACTGTACAGTATCCTCTGCTTGTCATTGTGTGAGGGCGAAGTAATACACAAGGGTGAAGAGGCGGTAAGAGTGCTGTTATTTGCAGAATATCACATGGCTATCAGCCAATCAGATTCAAGAACCAGACAAAACTGTTGTTTAAACAGTATCTATATATATATATTTTTTAAATTTATTTATTACATGTAACAAATATATTTTTTATTTTTTTATTTTTTTTTACATATTTATAAGTACGTTAATGCATGCTCCTAAAAAGTTTTATAGATTTATTTATGGGAAATTCAAAAATATATGTATTATTAAATTCGAAAATATTTAATGTATTTTTATACAAATTTAAAAATATAGATAATGAATATAATAATTTATTATAACAATTTCTGAACATTAACATATGATATATACACAGAAACATTAAACTTTTCATAAATTAATTATGAATAGTTGAAGTCAGAATTATTAGCCTCCCTGTTTAAATTTCTAAACATAATGATTTTAATAAACTAAATTATTATTTAATTAACTTATTTCTAATAACTGATTTATTTTATCTTTGTAATGATGACAGCACATAATATATGACTAGATATTTTTTTTAAATAATACTAGTATATTCAGCTTAAAGTGACATTTAAAGGCTTAACTAGGTTAATTAGGCAGGTTGGGGTAATTAGGCAAATCATTGTATAATGATGGTTTGTTGTGTAGACTATCTAAAGAAAATATTGCCTGATAATAATTTAGACCTTTTAACGGTTTTAGGGAATTAAAAAAATGCTCTTCTTTTAGCTGAAATAAAACAATTAAGGGGCGAGGCAGTGGCGCAGCAGGTAGTGCTGTCGCCTCACAGCAAGTAGGTCACTGGTTCGAACCTCGGCTCAGTTGGCGTTTCTGTGTGGAGTTTGCATGTTCTCGCTGCCTTCGCGTGGGTTTCCTCCGGGTGCTCCAGTTTTCCCCACTGTCCAAAGACATGCAGTACAGGTGAATTGGGTAGGCTAAATTGTCCTTAGTGTATGAGTGTGTGTGTGAATGTGTGTGTGGATGTTTCCCAGAGATGGGTTGCGGCTGGAAGGGCATCCGCTGCGTAAAAACTTGCTGGATAAGTTGGCGGTTCATTCTGCTGTGGTAACCCCGGATTAATAAAGGGACTAAGCCGACAAGAAAATGAATGAATGAATGAATAAAACAATTAAGACCTTTTCCAGAAGAAAAAATATTAGCAGAAAGAAACATGCTGAAGTATTGTAATTGTAATTTCTGAAGGGGGGTGGGGAGAAATCAAAAGAAGATGCTAAAGTGGACGCGATGCAAAACCAGAGTGACTCATCAAACAACATCACCAACACAAAACCTCACTTTCAATAACTGCATCCACTCTAATTCATAAAGAATATTCATAGAGCCTACCCTCCCCTGTCAACTGCGTAACACATACCAGGATCTTCAGAGGCTTTAAACTGAATTTTGATCAGATCTGACTCATCATTCAATCTGATAAACGATACTTCTGTATTTTCATGGTCAATCTCAGTAATGAGCGTCTAAACCTGCAGGACTAGAGAAGCTGTTTAGTGAAGAGCGTTCATTTCAGTGCACGTCTTTCATCCCTCATACAAAACTGCTGCTGTCGTCACACTGTGATATTAATGGAGCACTTCTTTCTTCACAGACCTGTGTATATGTGTGTGTGTGTGTGTGTGTGTGTGTATTAGGATGTCATCAGAAAAAAAAAAGAGTTAATCATTTGAACAACAGGTAAAATCAATACCTGTTTTATCAATAGATAAAAGTTAATAAGTTCATTTAAAAACCAACTAATAACAGTCACACTGTACAAGAAGCTTCATTAGTAAATGATAGTATTTACAAACATGAACTAATTATAAACAATACTTGTAGAGCATTTATCCCATTCAAACGCCTTCCTGTGCTTTTACCCACGAGGGGAGTGTGCAGGAATGCGACCGGCGCCTCCATGGCTGCAGGAATAGTTGGCTGACCTCACTCATCGGATTGTATCCCCTGTTCCCATCCCCTGTGTCATTGTTGTGTCTTGCCGGTGTGCTTATGCTAGTGGGCTGTTTTTTTTTCTTTCTCCCTGTTCTCACTTTGCTCTATTTAAGAGCAAGGTTAGAGGTTTTTTTTAGCCTAACTCTCCAGATGTATCTTACTCCCCTTTCTAAATTCTATTTCCTGTGACCCATCTTCCCCTGAAAATTGTGATGTTTGTGTATGGTCGGGGGGGTTCAATTTCACTATACGAAAGTGTATGTGACAAATAAAGGCCTGATTTGATTTGATTTGATTCGATTTAATCATAGTTTGGTAATTACTAATGCATTATTAAAACCCAAATTCATGCTTGTTAACATTAATGCACCATGAGTTAACATGAACTAACCAACAACTGAATTTGACATGAACAAATACTGTAGTGAATAAGTTTTTTTCATGTTAGCAAATGCATTAACTAGCACAACCATATTGTTAAGTGTTAGCCAAAAAAAAAAAAAAAAACACATTCATGCATATATACACTTACCGGCACTTTATTAGGTACACCTTACTAATACCGGGTTGGACCCTCTTTTGCATTCACAACTGCCAGGCACGTGTACACATAGGGCTCAACCTGTGCAGTACACATGCACTTTTTAGTCTTGGATAAAAGACTAGGATACTGGAAATATTCCTCATAGATATTGGTCCATATCGACATGATAGCATCACACAGTTGCTGCAGAATTATCGGCTGCACAGGGTAGAGTTAGGACGATTCTAAGGGCCCATACATTTAGGGGTCCCAGAGACATTATCAAGGGCCTGGCGCAACCGACCAACATCCCCACCCTCCCCCTATTCCCTTTCATCCGCGATCATCGTAAACTAACCCCTACCGAGGGCCCGTGGTTGCCACCGGCGCCCCTGATGGCAGGGATCACCAAACTTGTTCCTGGAGGTCCAGTGTCCTGCAGATTTTAGCTCCATCCCTAATCAAACACACCTGAACAAGCTAATCAAGATCTTACTGGGTATACCCGAACAACCCAGGCGGGTGTGTTGAGGCAAGTTGGAGCTAAACCGTGCAGGACACCGGACCTCCAGAACTGAGACTGGTGACCCCTGCTGTATAGTATAGTTAATGCCACACGGACTGTAAAGTATTTTACATTAGTTGTTCATTTTGAAATAAAACTAGCGAAATGTTCGTTAAGAGTTACATTTTTCGCTGGAGGAAACAGCTGTGCTGATGAGGTGAACGCAGAGAAAACCAGACTGCTCCTCCGTGACATTGAGATACAAGTGATACAAGGTTATCTATATCAAAGGACTTTAAATAAACAGTTATTATAGCAATTTATTGATAAACACAACTCGCTGTACTCTTGCTGTCCACGGCTGATCAAATAAAAAACAAATACGTGGAGGAGCCGAATTCTGCAGCCATTTTCATATCAAATTTAAAGGGGACTGAGGCAATAATTAAGTGTACAGTTTATGAGCTAATCACAAAAGTTTTAGTGGGGCTGATTAGAAGCCCCCCTAAAATAGGCCTAGCAACGCCCATGCTCTCACCATTAGTTTGCTACGAGAAAATGATGCACAAAAAAGCCCTGCCCCCTACTCAATATTCGGTTTCAGTTTTTTAAGTACATCAACATACTGACAATAAATATCTCAGTGACTTCCGGTTCACACAAACTTTGCGCAACACTTGCAGTTCTTACAGTAATCATTTAACTGAGCATGTATTAAAATAAATATATTTCTTACCCTGATCACCTGCAGTGTTTCCTACAGTCAGGTTCAACCTTAAGCTCAATTTCTCCTGCCCACACGTCGTCATTGTGCCAGACATGATGACGAGAACATGCGACTCATTCAGCACAATCAAATCAAAGGCCATTCAAGTCAGACGCCCTGATAATGAAACTCGTCCTTGACGTTATATATGTGATCTCAGTATGAGCTCTTTGGCTTGTGTTCCCATTGTGAGTCATGCCAATGATACCTGAAGCATGGAGCAAGTGATGAGGTCTTTTCTTGTCTGACTTGTTTTTTTTTCCCAGATGTTCTGTCCGTCTTGGCTTTTGGCTGCAGCGGTCTTGTGTTTTCACAGCCCACATGTAGACGGTGGCAGATGCTCGGGTTTGATAGACTGCATGGACCTTGAATCCAATGAGCATAAACTGGTAAGATGCATTTAGGGGAATGAATAACCAAATTTCAACACAGAATGATATACATAATATAGGTAACAATATCCACTAATATAGGTGGATTTTATTGATGGATTAGTTAATGTTGAACTATGAATAATAAATGCTTTAAAAAACATTATTCGTACTTACAGATACAAGGTGCGGCGGTAAATTACTGAATGACAGCTTCTAAAATTGTCCAAGAGGCATCCCCTTTTTACCCAGTAGGCCTACCTTGTGTTTTATTTGCTAATTTAAGCTATTTTAAAAGATAAATATAATGCATAAAACTACACATTATTTATAATACTTCATTATGCTTATACGTCTGATAAGCTTTTATATTAATGGACAATGCACAGATATTCACAATGTTTTTACACTACATTATTTAGGTTAGGTTAAACTCTATTTGTTCCCGAGAGGAAATTTGTCTTGGGCAAAAAAGGTGCTACAACATTGTCTAAACAGACAGTAAAAATAAATAAAACAAAACAATTAAGAACAAACAGTTAAGAACATACATTGTTTACAGAATAAGACCGTATATAAGTATAAATATATAAAACACAGAACCCAGGTTTGAATCTACCAAGCTTAGCTTACAATGTTTGCCATGTTTACATTGATGTACTTACGTTAAATCTACATGCCAAAATATCAGAAATGACAACAGAGTGTTAAGATGTATTTAATGTCAGTTTTAATGTTATTTATTAAAGCACTTACTTGACAGATTTCATTCATTCATTTTCCTTCGTCTTTTTCTCTGGTTTATCACAGTGGAATGAACTGCCACTTGACAGATTTCTGTATTTTAAATTTTAGGGGGTTTGTGTACTGTGTTTTATATTTGGTAAAATAATTTCTATTTGCATCTTTAGTGATTTTTAACCAACTAGTCTTGTCTCAACGGGTGGATTTAGAGGTTTTTGCAAAAAAGCAGACGTGGATTTAGCTGGTTTTGACGTAAAAGAAAATCTACCTTGTAAAAAACAAGAGAATTGTCTAAAGTGACATTTTTGAAAAGAAGTTATTTTATTTACTAGATAATATACTTATAATTTCATATAAAATTAAACCTCTAAACCTAATTATAGGAGCCTGATAGAAAATGCTGATTTACAAGAAAAGAGGCCTGATGGATATAGAGGGTTTTGCATCTGAACTCTTCATATATAGATGACCACCTTAATCAATTATAGACAAGAATGTACTGCCTACTAATTTCTTACGGGCCTCATAAGGAAACCTAATTTTGCCCAAAGCTTTTTCAATAACTTATTTTTGTGTACTGTATATCACAGGCTTATCTCACGTCAATCCAAATACCTAGATATTAATAAGAGCTAACTGTTTCTATTGGTACACCATTTAAAGATGTAATTGTCTTTTTTGAATCTAAAACCAATTTTAAATCCTGCAACATACACTGTAGTACCAGAAAAGCATTCTGAAAATACTGTACAGCTTGGTTTAAGAAGTGTGTAGCTGTATATATTACAGTATCATCTGCATACAGGTGTATTTTAGCGGAGTCTATTCGATGACCTAAATCGTTAATGTAGATAGAAAATAACAACAGAGATAAAACAGATCCCTGAGGAATGCAGTGTTGACGTGAAGAAGGAATTAATTATAATTTTCAGCAGTCACACATTGGGTGTGTTCTGAAAAACTATTTTCATTAGAGCAGAATGACTAAAACTTAAAAGCCTAAGTCTCTGTAACATTAGTTTATGATCTACAGAGTCAACAGCTTTGGAACTTGTGGCTTATGCTCAACAGTAGCTGCATCTGTTAAAAATAGTAAAATATTTTATATTTTAAAACATGTTTTATTTCAGGATCATTGCTCCAATTATTACAACTTTTATGTTTAAAAATGTATTGAAAACAAAACTTATCTCCATTAAACAGCACTTTGGATATTTCACAAAATATAAAGAGACCTTTTGATCACTGGAAAAATTCTTCATGAAACCATTGATGCTAAAAACTCACCCTCATGTTATTCCAAACCCCGGAGATGTTTGTTCATCTTCTGAGATATTTAGGATGAAATCAGAGTGCTCCTTCATCCTCCATAGACAGCGAGGGTCCTGACAAGTCCAGAAAAGGAATTAGAAACATTGCTAAAACATGTGACTTCAGTGGTTCAACTGTAATCACACAAAGCTCCAAGAACACTTTTAAGCACCCAAAAAAACTTTTAAATTGCTGTTTTTTTAAAAAACTGTTAAATTACTGTTTGCCAATGTCTTGTTGAGCTGCTTACTTTAATGACAATACGTTGTACTGCCCGTAGTTAAAAAATACAAATAAATCACAAAATCCCCCTTGACCTGTTTTACAACCTTGGTGTTTTTGGATCTTCTTTTACATTTGACAAGGTTTTTTAAATCATTTTCCGGACTTTAAGCATCTCAAAACAAAACCCAGGCTCATTGCGGATACGTACCCATGTCTACATTTCTGAGGACAGTGAAATGCTTAACCGGAGGTACGTCTCCTTGCAGTTTTTGTTTTTGCAAATCCACCAGAGGCCGCTGTCTATGCTTTTTGATAATCTCAAATTTCTCTCGTGCATCCTCTTCTTGCGTAAATTCACCAGAGGGCGCAATATATACTTCAGTCGACTAGGCCGGCTTGCTGTCAACTGACCCACCCACCCCTATCCATAAACCCAACCGATAGTGTTTTCAAAAGCAATCTAGATCAAGAAAATCTGCTTCGGCTGTGTGATATCACCACACTTTAGCCTGTTGTTTATTTATTTGCTTTTGTTTTACCTGATTTCTGGAAACATTCTTTGCCAGACTCGAACCCTATCGTCCCCGTCAACTCAGCTTTGCGTCCCAAGTCCGCTAACATACACGCTGAGCTACTGTTTCAATTGGATGACTGTTTCAATTGGATGTATGTCACAATATTGGACAAAAGGACAATCTAAATTCCATTAAATGGTGACTTTTAAGGGGACATTTCATGCAAAAATCTATTTTATAAGGGGTTTAAACACAGTTGTGTGGCAATAATGGAAGAATATAACCAGATTATAATGGTAGAAAAATTAATTAATTACATTTTTTAGAATCACACTCGATAAAAACAGTCACTTTGATTGACATTCTCTTTTTGCAGATGTTATGCGAGGACGAAAGCCCCGCCCACAAGTGACAATCTCTCCCTAATTAGCATAGACAGCCCCGAGTAAGAACCAAGAAGCGTCCATCATTAGTTTTTAATTGGCCACTATGCTGATACACAGGCGTTTATAGCTCCACCTCCTTGTGAAAAGAGTGCCCAATCTCATTTGAATTTAAAGCGATAGTCATTATAAGGGCACAATTTGACTCCAAATCCAAATGGGGCATTTTCAAAGAATTATAAACATTATTTCTGTGTTATTTTGAGCTGAAATATCACATACACACTCTAGGGACATCAAAGACTTATTTTAAAACTTGTAAAAAGGGGCATAATAGGACCCCTTTAACTCTTGCTCTCTATCCTGACTCCAAAGCAGTGTCTCAGAAAGTGCAGATCGGACCAAGAATCTTCCAGAAACATCAGAGTTTCTTCATCTGAACATCAGAGCAGTGAAGAACAGGTAGAGGAGCAGAGTCTGAGCTTGGGTTTGCTTTTATCAGCTCTGTCTCCCGACTCCATCGAGCTCCAAAACCCCACGGCAGAAGCTCCTCACGGGGACGAGAGGCGGTCATACTCCATGGAGCACTTCAGATGGGGCAAACCCATGGGCCGCAAACGCAGACCGGTAAAAGTGTTGAGCAATGGGGCTCTGGAAGAAGAGCCGGAGGAGTCGGAGGAGAGCGTCCGTGTGGAACGAGGACAGAGCGGCACCCTGGAGGTTCAACACAGGAACAACGTCAAAAACAACGGGAAGTATCGCATGACCCACTTCCGCTGGAATGCACCACCAGACAAACGATACGGAGGACTCATGAGGCCGTATTTAGACGAATCCCACAAACCCCTGATCACACTCATACGAAACGCCATCGGCAATGGACAGCAGTTCACAGATTAAGCTAAAGGAGGAGAGAATTGACGTAATGTTAACATTTTTGGTCCCACTTTATATTAAGTGACCTTAACTAATATACTTACATTGAAATTAGTAATGCGTTACACTTTAATTCACCCTTAAAAATACCCAAACCACCAAACCTGTCCCTAACCCTACCCGTATCCCACCTCAGGAGCACAAGAAGTGTTCTGCAATACATTATGAACACGTTAAGTACATTTTATTTATTTTTTTGATGTAAGTACATAGTAGTTAAGGCCACTTAATATAAAGTAAGACCAAATTTTTAATTAACTAAATTCTTAATTTAAAAAAAAACTTTGTTGGAATCAAATTGACAGGTCATGAAACCTAAATGTCCTGTAAATACAATACAATACAATGCAATTAAAGAAAACAAATACTGGCTATGAACACTCATTAACTGATATATACGGTTGCTTGAGATTCACAGTACTGCTGTATTGATCACCTCTGGGATTTAAAATAAGAGGATTTTCAGATATACTGGCTATTTGTCTATCCGAGTTAGTTTTACTGTAATATACTGTATATGAAATGCATTAAAATGGATTTGCAATGTCTTCAGCTGTGGATTTGTGTGTTTGGATGCAGATTTGACATTTTAATACATGCTTCATTAAACAGACAGCTATGGTATCAAAACACAGAACAATTCATTGTCTGCATTTTTCCTTCCAGCTTTCAAGAGGAAAGCCTCAGATGGATGCAGATTCAACAACTTGACTTTAACCACTTGGCAGTTTGTCTGAAACTGATTAATCCTGAAAATGTTTAGGGTTTTTTTCATCAACATTTTTTAAATCTTCTTTTGTCCATGGCTGTGCGTGAAAATCCCAGTAGATCAGCGGTTTCTGAAATACTCAGACCAGCCTGTCTGGCATCAACAATCATGTCACGTTCAAAGTCACTTAAATCACCTTTCTTTCCCATTCTGATGCTCGGTTTAAACTGCAGCAGATCGTCTTGACCATGTCTAAATGCCTAAATGCATTGAGTTGCTGCCATGTGATTGGCTGATAAGAAATTTGCATTAGCCAGCAGTTGGATAGGTGTACCTAATAAAGTGGCCGGCGAACGTATGTCTTAAAATAAGAGTGCAAAACGCTCCAGTGTGCATGTATCTGTGTTTGCACTTGGTGAACTGCGATGAAGAGTGGTAACCCAAATGACCTACATGGCCAATCATGTGAACACAATGTCTAATCAGCAGTGTTTAAAAAAACAGTGCTTAAATGTAAGCAGAAAATGGGACGTTTTAAATATTTCAAGTTTTCCAATTGATCGATACTTTGACTACCCTGCGTGACAGGAACTATTTGACTCATACACTACATGGTTGAGTGTAAATGTGCCAAACTGTTTAATGTATAGTACTTGGAATGTCGGCAGCTAGCTCTCTGCAGCTCTTACATGGTCGCCCACTGAAGCCAAGCAGGGCTTCGCCCGCTCAGTACCTGGATTGGAGACCACATGGGAAAGCTAGGTTGCTTCTGAGTACTAATGCCCCAGTATTTTGATGGGGACTCTACACTGCTCAGTGAGCACCGTCATTCAGATGAGACTCTCTGTGGTCGTGAAAAGTCCCAGGATGTCCTTATAAACATATAAAATAGTAGGTTTAAAACAAATTTGCCCACTGGCCTCTGTCCATCATGGCCTCCTAACAACCCCATATCATAATTGGCTTCATCACTCTTTCTCCTCTCCACCAATCAGCTGGTGTGTGGTCTGGTGCAATAGCTGCTGTCGCATCATCCAGGTGGATGCTGCACACTGGTGATGGATGAGAAGATTCCCCCCCCAAAAAAAATGTGTGAAGCACTCTGAGTGTTTAGAAAAACTGCTACATAAATGTAAGGAATTATTATTATTATTAGTGTCTCTGCAACATGGCAACAATAACATAGCTCATGGAAGCTTTGTCTTTTTCTTTACAAATGCTTTTTGGCGGTGTTCTGTTAATATTTCCACTAGTTAGTAAAATAGGATTGGATTGATGTATTTTAGGCATGTCAGGATCAGTGTAGGATGGCATAAATGTTGTTTGTTAGACTTTAAGAACCATCTGTGCAAATGACCAACAACAAATTGTATCAAAAATGATTTATTGTCAACTTTTTGCCATTTTAAACCAAATACAAACCATGTGGAAATCTTTCATCCAGACAAAACATAATACGTAGAAAAAATTGTTAATGCTACATGACATACAGTAACAGAGCACTGCGTTTCAAGACTCGTTCAGTAATTCTGACCAGAAATGAACATCCTCACAACCATGAAATCCATTACTAAAACTACAACGCTGAAGAAATGTGAGATGCATTTACAGAACTATAAACTCTGATTAATTTAAAGGAACTACTTTTTGATTACAGCAGTGTTCAGGGGTAAAGACTATTGACTATGTCCATATGTGTGTATTTTTGGTTATTTATGAATTTGTGTCATCAGTTTTAACACAGCCTCATGTTATCAGCTATCAAAAGCTAAATTTAACACTAAAACCTACTTCATGCCGCCAACTAAGGATGAGATAAATATTATGTTGAGAGAATCTTCTAGAAGAGCACAGCAGTTCATGGCACTGTAAAAATACACAGACATACAAAAACTGTTCGCGCACACACAACAGGACTATATGCACAGCATCTAAATGTCTGAAAGATGAATCAATGAAATGCATCACCTCGATATTTAGAAGAAAACATGAGCAAAATAGAAAATTTTAAATCTACAGGGTTTAATTCTTTGTCAAATAATAATAATAACATAGTCTTATTTATTCTCAAATAAAAGTGAATATGGGTCAAAGACGAGACATAAAAGTTTGGTTTCTGCATCAAATTATATCTATGAAAGTGATTTTATATACATAGAAATAAAATTAAAAAGTGACAATTTAAATTTAAATAACTTCTGTGGAAATGTCAAAATAGTGTTGTGTTGTCATTTAGAGTAACAGATGTATTTATATAAAAAAGAAACAAAAATCTGACCTGTACTTATTAAAATTAAGGAATAGGTGATAATCGCAAGTTTAACTATATGCAAATAATTAAAAAAAATACACACACACACATACATACGATATATATACATACAAAATATATATACATACAATATATATATATATATATATATATATATATATATATATATATATATACACACACACACACACACACACACACACACACACATACATACATACAGTTGAATTCAGAATTATCAGCCCCTGTGAATTATTAGCCCCCGTTTATTTTTTTCATAATTTCTATTTAACGGAGAGAACATTGTTTCAACACATTTCTAATCATCATAGTTTTAATTACTCAATTTTTTATACCCGATTTATTTTATCTTTTTCATGATGACAGTAAATAATATTTGACTATATATTTTTAAGACACTTCTATACAGATTAAAGTGACATTAAAAGGCTTAACTAGGTTAACTATGCAGGTTAGGGTAATTAGTGAAGTCATTGTATAATGATGGTTTGTTCTGTAGACTATCGAAAAATATAAAGCTTAAATAGGCTAATAATTTTGACCTTAAAATGGTTTTTAGGACTTTCTCCAGAAGAAAAAAATATTATCAGACATACTGTGAAAATATCATTGCTCTGTTAAACATAATTTGGGAAATATTTAATAAAGAAAAAAAATCAAAGGGGAGCTAATAATTCTGACTTCAACTGTATACTCTATATAGTTTAATACAGTGGCAAAGTATAAAGATTTTAAAGAACAATTGATGAGCATTTGGGGCTGCACTGGCATCTTTAAATAGTGTTTTAATATGACATCAAAATATTCTTGTATTGAGCTGTAAAAGTTAGACAGAATGAGTCTTCAATCTGTTTTTTTCCCTGTAAAATGCAAGATTGGCATGAAAGCAAATTATTACGCCACTAAGAAATGACAAAAACCCGAACAACAAAACAAAAATTAACTAATTTAATAGCCTGGGTCAAATGAAAGATCTACATTTTGCCAAGAAAATAAATAAATACGTAAATAAACAAGACATTTAAATATGAAAAAAAAAATAAAATAAAAATGTAAAAGCTTCGAATTTTGCCTAGAAAATAAAACAAATTTAACAGCTTCAGTCAAATGTATGATCTAAAAATAAATAAATCTGTAAATAAAAAAAGCCACTAAGAAAACCCCAAACAAATAAACAAACAAACAAACAAAAAAACTAATTTATATGCTTCTGTAAAATGCATGATCAGCATTTTGCTTAGGAAAAAAAAAACTAAAACAAACAAATTTAAAAGCTTCGGTCAAATGTATGTTCAGCATTTTACCCAGAAAATAAATAAATATGTAAATAAACAACTAACAACTAAAACAAATAAAAAAAAAAACGAATCAAAAACAAACTAAATCTAAAAGCTATAATACACTTTTATTTTTTGATGTATAAAAATCTCTAAAAAAGCTTAACTGCATAAATCTGACTCTCTTTGAACTGCATGGTTGGCATAAAACTTGTTAAAGATGGATGAGGAAGAACTTAAAATAGTGGAAGACGTATGACAGACAAATATATTAGCTAACCACTCCATTAAAAAAAACTGCATCGCGTATCATATGAAATACATTAATGAATTAATAAAAGTGTTGCATTGGCTTGTTTTGTTGCTTTAAGCTAAATTAAAACTGAAATAATCAAATAATATCAGCTAAAATTCAATCATTTAGTTGCCATTTACACTTATTTAATAAGTAGCTGTAAAATAAGCTGCATGATGTATAGTCAGGTGGTCTTAATCGCAAAATAAACCCTAATAAATTAATTTTTAACATAGAGATACAGCTCAGAACTGAAATAATCTCACTTGTTCCGTTCTTTATGTGATTCATAGCTGGGGCTACAAAACAAGAATAAATAAGCATGAGCAAATGTTTGATGGATGGCAATGCTATCATTCCTTCATTCACTTTTGAGCCCTGGAGTTAGCAGTCAATCACGAAAAACAAATCTGCGGACTCTTTTAAAAGAAAGACGTCAGACCGCTTGGCAAAACACAAACCCACACTCTCATTCAGACAATGAAACCTGACCAGGAATAAAACTGATTTCCAATAAACAGCTACTGTATATACATATACTCGTTGATCTTATATACACTGTAAAAACAATGCTAAAAAATAAAATATCTGATGACTCAAAAATCAGCACAACAAAGCAAGTTAAAGGCTGAGCAAACGGTTCGATAAATAGAAATAAAAAAGTGCGAATTAAATAATTCCTTCAGCACCGGAGGACTTTAACGCCACTTACTGTAGTAACAACTGTGTTTAACATGTAAAAACAAGCAGAGGACAGACATCACCTCCATCTACACAGACCGCAGATCACTATTGTGTGCTAAAGATACCAGTGTTTCATGAAAACAACGAAGACGTTCATTTTACTCATTTAACCGAAACAGAAAGATAGCACCAACAAGTAACATCATTTGAGAAATGTTTTGTCCAACAAACATGCCTCAGTGACTACGTTTACATGGACATCAGGAATCTTAATCTGAATAAGGCATTAATATGATTAAGGTCTTTACATAAGTTGTTCCTTTCATGATCCCGTTTCACATGTTATAGCGCATAATTCGATTAACGTTATTGCGTCACCAGGCTATTCAAGTTTCCTCTGGAGTTTCATGTAATTTCAGGTGTTTCATTCTTAATTTGTCGACTTTAACTGCTGTTTGGCACTTCCACTTTTATTCATTTTCTTATTGGCTTAGTCCTTTTATTAATCTGGAATCGCCATAGCCGAATGAACCGCCAACTTATCCAGAATGTTTTACACAGCGGATGCTCTTACAGCTGCAACCCATCACTGGGAAACATCCATACACACTCATTCACACTCATACACTAAAGAGGATTTACCTTACCCAGTTCACCTATACCACATGTTTTTGGACTTGTGGGGAAAACCGGAGCACCCGGAGAAATCCCACGTGAACACAGGGAGAACATGCAAACTTCACATAGAAATTCCAACTGAACCAGCCGGGGCTCGAACCAGCGGCCTTCTTGCTGTGAGGCGATTTTGGGACACACTGCGCCACCATGTTCCACCACTTTCACTTTCATTCAGGAACATTTCATGCATGCCCCCGCGTGACAAACAAGATATTGGATGAGAGTATGAACTGATGGAAGAGTCTTGTTTTCATGGGATTTGATACCGCATGCCGTACGGTGAACAAAAATACTTCCGCATTTCATGATGGAGGTGTCTGTGGTCGTTCATTGACTCGGTAGGTGCAGAGAATAGTGTCAAACAGCCATGTGTGTACCGAATATCCTGTCGCAAAACGTGGCGAAAAGTCCTACACAACGGTAATAGTTTTTCAAGAGTTCAAACTTAGATAATGTTTGAGTATTTTAGCAAGTTTAGGATGCTGTCCCGGGAGAAAATACTGAGCTCGGAGATATTTGGGCCCAAGGCTCACGCCTGGTCAATAAGCATTAGGAGGGATACGAGATCAGGTGGCTCTCGATAACTTCCCAAGAATAGACTGTTAACTGCGGCAGTTTGTACGTAGTATGTGCTTGTGACTTTAACTTTTGTTGCATGTTTTTTGACTGCGAGAGGAAAGCGGATTGCCCTGGAAAACCCACGTGAACATGCAAACTCTGCACAAAGAGTATTGACTGGCTCAGCTAGCATTTCAACCAACGACCCCCTTGCTGTGGGGCTACAGTGCTATCCACTGAGCCACCATGTCGCCTGAACTTAGAATTGAGGAGGAGAGAGAAAGAATGGATGGGGGGTTCCAAAACGAAGTTTATGCTGGATATTTATATTAAATTTGGGATAATTCGATTGGCTAGTTAGCGATTAAGTAATAGGGATCAACTGTAGTCGATCCTATCACATGCTCCTCTCGAAATTAGTTTGTGAAATTCACAAGGTGTTTACATGTCTGTATTGCACTTCAATAATGCCACTAAAAAAGAAATACTTCACATTTCCCAATTCGATTTATGATTAGTTTGATTACGACTTTAGTCGGATAATGGTACTAAAATAATTGCTGTTTACATGGTAGACTCTTGGTCAGAGTCCTGTCTTAATCATATTGAAATTTTTGGATTTGAATATTGGTGTCCATGTAAACACTCATTGATACTGACTGGTTGCATTCAAACTCTTGGGAGAAAAAAAACCTCGAACCCTATAAAAATGAAACTAATAATAATAAAAAACTAGGATGAGTCTAACATGGTAACTAGTCAAATGTTTAAAAGGTAATGGCGACTTTTTAATCAGACTAATTTTTAAAGAACTGCAACTTTGAGTTATAAATAGTGAGAAAAGTCAACTCAAAATGGCAAAACAGTAATAATTAATTTAGTTAAAGTATAGGCTTTCACACAATTGATTATAAATATTTTGTCCTTTTGAGTTCTTATAGAAGTTAATGTAAAGTATTTATATATACTTAATTTAAAATAAGTACACAGTGCTCAGCATATATAAGTACTCCCCTCACAAAACTATCTTTTAAATTAATATTTTTAACAGGAAGCTACAATATATTATATTTGTGCATAAAGTATACATTAGATTAGTCAGTACTGAAGCCAAATTGTGAGCTTATCTAACAAAATAACTTACAATAACGGTCCAGAAACTAGTACACCCAAATTTACATTATAGAAAAATATTAAAAACAAATTTAAACAAGAGGAAAAATCAAGAGAGGTAAAAAATGGAAAAATTCAATCGAAATTTTGTAGTTTGTAATTTCTTTTAGCAATATTTTGCTTGAATTTAATTGTATTATATTGTAAATATATTTGGTGACTAAAATATTATTTTATAATCATCTGTTTGGGAAATCTGTTTTGTTTAAATGCACCAATATATATTACCCATATTCACTGAGAAATGGATAAAAATATTAATTTTCAAAATGGGCTGTACTCAATTATGCTGAGCACTGTATATAAAAAGGAAAAGTGTTTTAAAACGCTTTATTTTCTAGAAATTCCAAGTTTAGATCTCACAAATAATGATTTCCCCCCATAGAATTGTTATAAAAACACACAATTGTGATATTTCTGACTTTTATCTTATAATTCTATCTTTTTATATATGTATATTTATATATGCATATAAATGTATGTGTTTGTGTGTGCAGGTGTATATATAAAACCCTGTGGCAGATGTCTATCTATATATAAATATATTTTGATTCTAATGAAAATAAAGCCTACTTGCTGACCTTTTAATTTGCATCATGACAGTATTTTGACAATTAAGCACTATTTACCGCCATACTTCTCAATGCTGCAGTCTCAGTATTTACTGATCTTATTATTATTATTTTGTCAAAGGCAATTTTATATTATAATACTTTAAAGAATGACAGTAATGAAATTCAAATTGCAATCTACAAAATTAAAGGGCAGGCATAATGAATTTTTAATTTGAATTAAGTTCAGCAGATAAATGTGCTTAATTGCAGTCAAAATGTCACTAAGCAAAAAAAAAAAAAAAAACTCAATTAAGTTTACACAAAATACTATCTATTATTTCTTATACCTTTTGGGGACCCAAACATGTCCTAAAATAATTCCCTGTCGAGATTTTGCTGTAATATACACCCTGACTTTATAGTGGATGAGAAGAATATCAAAAAAGCTAAAATATTTACAAGTATAGAGGAGTATCAGGAATTTAGTTCAAATGTTTGTTTGTCTACGGTCACAGCGAGAAACACATACAGCAATGAGGTTCATAGGATGGAGAAGGGGTGACCTCTTAGTTTCCCTGTATTAAAAACATTAAAATATCATTTAACATGTGACAGTCTCCAGCTCTCTGCACCTCTGGCTGCTACTGAAGGTTCCTGAATCCTGAGATGAGCTGCGCTAGTAAACACACAAATCCGGAAACTTCATCTCATAAACGGGGACAGAGCGACTCTGGGTTTGGCCGTAACTTGATGTGATGGTTCCAGATGGACTGGGAGGAGGCCTGCGAGCGAGAACAAGAAAAAAAAAGAAGAAGATAAGAAGATTTATCAAACAAGCATCTTTATGAGAGCCGAAACAAGTGCTGCAACCCACCTGATGGTGATTTCAAAGATTTGATTAAGTTTGCTCTGCAGCATTGTAGCCTGAAAGGAAACAACAAGAAGAGAATAAGTATTAGGAACAAATTACTTATATGAAGTTATAATAATATTGAGCTGATCAGTGTGAGAGAAGACAACAGTGGCATTTACTATCAGGTGAATTATGGAAATCACACTTCACAACAAGGTTTTATTAGTTAATGTATTTACTAACATGAACTAATAATGACCAATAATAGTACAGCATTTATTAATCATAGTTCAACATTTACTAATGCAATGATACAATCCAAAGTTAATGTACTTACTTTAATATCTTAATCTACTTTCATATATTAACTTAATGGACTAACAATAAAAAACCTGTATTTTCATTAACTAACCAACCAACTAAATAACCAGCTAACAAATTAACCAACCAACTAATTAACTAGCTAACTAACCAAATAACCAACCAACCAAGAAATTAACTAGATAACTAACCAAACCAACCAACTAATTAACTAACTAACTAACCAAATAACCAACCAACTAAATAACTAGCTAGCTAACTAACCAACCAAATAATAAATAAGCCTACAAACTAGTTAACTAGCTAACTAATAACTAACTAACTAACTAACTAACTAACTAACTAACCAACCAAATAATCAATGAACCAACCAACAAGTTAAATAGCTAACTAACCAACCAACAAAATAACCAACCAGGAATGGTTGATAGTTACTGAGGCATGGCTCAAATAACTAGGGAACATTTCTACACAATGATCCCCAAGCTCAAGTGTTTCTAAACAATGCACCAAAGTATGATCTTAAACACCCATGTCGTGTGACTAAGGTGATTGGAAACACCCAGGTCACTTGACTAAAGTGTTTTAACACACCCAGTTAACATGACTTAAGCTATTCAAAGCATCTGTCATTTCAGAAGCATTTCAAGACCTGACAAATCTGCGTTTAACTGACAGGGTCGGAAATAAATCTCTATCTCATGTAGCTTAGTGCAGTGGTTCCCAATCTTTTTTTCCCCGTAAAATATTGTAAGACCCCACTCCACATACAAGTTTGCAGTAAGGATGACCAAAAACATGCATGTGGGTGGTTCAGGGACACTTTACTTTAAGAAAAAGAAATAAAAATCACACTTCAGGTTGCTATCTTGGTATTTCCTGTATTTTGTGTTTCTAGTATTGCTAGCGCTGCGACCTGAAATGTTTGGAGCTTCCTCACCTGGGTCTAGTATGATTGGGTCATTACTATTAGCTGATGAAGATGAATCAGTGAGACTTGTTTTTGTGGAGGACGAATTACAAATTTGTCTATTTTTTGGTCAGCCAGGGGATAAAATGAACTGCTAAAAAAATTGTAAAAATATGAGGCGACCCCACACAGTACATGCTGAGGCCCCTGTGGAAATATAAATTTATATCATCTAATTTCAAATTAACAATAATCTACGTATAACTAAAAAGTTATATTCTCTGGTTTTTAATTATATTATTTCATTGACATGCCAGCTAGGAGGGTAATTTAACCTTTGCCTTGCTGACTACAGGCTAAGCCAAAGTGATGCAATTATCAGTTTCACAGCATGGGGTGTCTATTGTTTTACTCTTTTCAATCAAATGGTCAGGAGGTTTTGTCTCCAGAACATGATAAGATCAGGCCAGAAAAAGCAGTTTACCATGCCGACCACAGCTCTTAATTTGCATGCTTTGTTTAGCCAAATCCCCTCCTCCTAAGAACACAATATAGCCATGAAATCTTTGTCTCAATTCAGACTTGTGTGAGACTTGTGAGAGACTTGTGAAAGAACTTGCAGACTGCGGACCTCTAGTAGGCTCTTGCAGACACATGGACATCTTAAAGACGCTGTATGACTGCAGATTAACCAACACGTCTCAATAAAGGAATTCTGCTTGTTTCGAGTCTCCTGGACTGGGTTCTCTCTCTTCTTTTTCACTCATTTATTTATTTTTTTTCAACACCCCCTTGTAGGCCGGGACCCCCCTGTTGGGAACCGCTGGCCTAGTGCGTGTGCACAGAGTAACTGTGCTGCAAATGTCCTGAGTTTGACTCTGAAATTATGAATTGATGTATTTTAAGAATGTTACTTTTTTATGACCAAATTAAGACAAATTTATTCACAAAGTGTTTATTTGGATGTCAGAGCAATATTAAAACACATTACAAGGACAGAGCATTTAAAAACGAACATCTATAGCTGCATCACCCTAGATTTGAACCCTTTATGTAAGCATGCTAGTCTGGAACTCTCACCGCTCCACTAAACCACTTGTAACTCTTCAACTCTAGAATATGGGGTTTAATACCTCGGTTTGCTTAATGCCTAGTTCACACTAAAGGATTTTAAGCCTGATTTGAGCCCGATTTGGAAGTTAACGAGCTCGCCGACAGATCGGGCTGTGATCGGGAAGTAATCTGCGGGTGCTCGGCGCTCGCCGCTCTTTATGTGTGAACTACTGAACAACACATCAACGAGGCTCGCTGACGCGTCGCCGACACCTCGCAGACGGAAATCCAACATTCAGCATGCTAAATATTCCAGAGCAGTCGGCCGACTCAACCCCACGTGTGGTCAGATGTAGTGACGAGCTGCAGCCAATGAGAGAGCATATCAGCATGAGCCGCGTGCCTGTGTGTTCAGGAGCTCAGCAGAAACATCTGTGATTGGTCAGAATGGGCATCGGTGCACTCGCTTCATTCTGCGTTAGCACAGATATGAGAGGAGGATATATTAACAGTGGAACTAGAATTCTGTGACTATTAGAATTACCATACTGCTCATTCTGACGGTTCTTATATAAAACGCCATATTGTCACAACATATTTACATTCAAAGCTATTATTGAGATATTAAAATTAAGCTTTGAATGTCTGGCATCATATTTAATGACACCATTACCCTAAAAATATAATCTTTTTTTTGTAATACAGCCTATAAATATGTAGTTAAGATACTAAAACACTTAAAGGTCTTGGCTTTCATTTTCACTTTCAAACAGGAGCTATTTCACAGCACAAAATATGCTGTTTTTAAAGATATCTAAAGTAAATTGATGTTTTTGCCATCAGAAAGTTTTGTTTATGTTAGCAGGAAGTTGCTAGGCAAGAAAATGCACACATATTTAAAGTCACAGTGAAAAGTATTAGACATGCATGCAGTCATTTTAACCAATATGGTAATTTAAGGCAGAAATGCTCAGTTCTTTACTGTTTTGTAATAAAAAAATAACAATGTCAGAAAGAAATACACTAATAGTTAGAAAACGGCAGGGTGTTATAAATATGTTAGTTTTATTTCAAAGAGTTATAAAATTACAAAAATTAAAAACTCTCTGTGTATCTATCCACTGGAACCTGCAGATGAGTGATTAATGCGCTGATAAATCAGCTGATTTGACGATGTTTTTAAATGCTTTCTCTAAAGCTTGAAACGCTGTCAGTGATGTAATCTGCACACAAGCAGCCAATAGTGTTCAGCTTTTTCTGACGACTCCTCCCTCAACATTTCATTGGCTGTGGTTTGGTAGCTTGAATGAGCTGATGGGGAATGAGTTGTTGTCAGATCATGTAGTGTGTGACCCCCCTCTTGTGGATCGTTCACGGAGTGTTGCGTAGTGTGAACACCACAGAGATAAAAAGACACAAAGTCAAGTCATGTAGTGTGAACGGCACAGCGATCTGCTGATGTTTAAAATCCTGTAGTGTGAACTAGGCTTAATCTTTTCTGTGCTGAAGCTGATTCAGAGCAAAACATAAAAATGACTACTAGGCGTCACTGTAGAGACAGGTTTCGAAACGGTTCAAAGCATCGACACATTTGCTTCAACTGTTTCAGTATTTCATGAACCCTTGCTTTGCCCACTACAACAAATAATCAACCAAACAACCAACTAACTAATTAACTAACTAGCTAAATAACTACCCAACCAATCAATTAAACTACCCAATAACTAACGTTAAGGAGCATATCCCTGGTTAGAGACCCAGCGAGTCAATGTGAATAAAAGTAGGAAGTAGATTTTCAATAAAACATATGTAAAAGTTGATTGAGGGAGTTGTTTTTAGTCACAGAACTTTTCTTCCGCATCTGAAAATCTTTTTTTTTTAATGATTTGTTTCAGTTCTCTTTAAAGAAAGTTTCTCACTCTGGAAGTGCAACCCATGAAAAGAAACACAGATAAAAGAAAAAGTGCTTTAAGTCGACTCACTCTGGCACCACAGTGGGCAGCTATTTCCTCAAACGGGGCCTTTTGGAACTTCTCCACCACTTGTCTCCTGCGTTCCTTCTCCTGCTCCTCCACTCCTACACTGTCCACTAGTGAATCCACAAACACAAAGACATTAGTATTGTTCCCCCGACGAAGAAGTAAATATCTGAAGGAATGTTGGTCCTTCAACCCACCAATGGCATTTTTAAGTGTTTCAAATGTGATTTCTTCAGCAGGTGTTCTCTGTAAGAAGAAAAAACATAGTAACACTTCAAGAGTAGTTTTCAAGAAAAGTAGCATATTATTGAGGCAAAAACGCATATTTAATCGTTCATTAATAGCAGGAATTATACCTTTAAATAAAGTGTGACTAAAAACATGTATTAGAAAAATGCTTTCCCTAATATAATCATAATCATAAATGTTATCAAATTTTGGAAGTAAAAACAAATATATAAATGAAATAATTATTTGAGTATAGTTAAAATGCATTACATTATCATTGTGTCTAATTTATACTGTATTTAAAACAGACTAATGTAACCTAACAAATAAAATGAATATTATATAGCTACAAAATATTTCTTCTTTCATGAACGTAATATTTAAAAAATATTTCTTAGGTGAGCACTAGTCCATTTAAATTACTATTGCATGAATTAATTAAAAAAATACAGTAGCTTCTATTGTTTTGCTCTACCCATAAATGCAAAATTTGCCAAAGCGTCCTCAAAAATATTTTAAAAGTCCTTTAGTAAAATATTATTCCTCACTAATACAAGAAATACTAGAAATATAAACATTGTACATGTATAAACTGTTATATTCTCTTGTATATGTAACATTTTACAAATATTAATTAGGTTATCATTAGTCAATTTTAATAATCAGTGCATGAATATAAAACATAGCTAAAATTCTTTTGCTCTACCTACAATTGCCAAATTTACCAAAGTAACCTCACAATAAATTTTTTTTAAACTTGTTTTAAAAACAGCCCTTTTACCCCTTTTTTTCAAGTCTCCAGAATGTGTCTGTAAAGTTTCAGCTCAAACTTCCCATCAGACTATTTATTATACCTTTCTGAACATGAGGATTTTCAACTCTGAGCACACTGTAGCTATTTTTTTTGTCTGTGCCTTAATGCAAACGATATGGGTAATACGTGTATGTCAATCAATTCAATGGAAGGGGAAACCGCAGAATTACATCATATTGCGGTGGGCCTCAGGATTGAAGGGTTATGGATCCTATTTTAACATCAGGAACGTAAAAAAAAAAGACTTATTGTGTTTCTATCACTCCAATATGACTCCTATATGACTGTGGACACATTATACCTACACAAAGTTCTGTCTAAACAGCTTACAAAAGTTGATTTTTCATCATAGGTGCTCTTTAAAAGTCCTTTTGGCTGTAACATGTTTTTGGTTTACCTCCTCTTTCTCTGGACTGTTTCTGGAATCCACCTCCACCTGAAGAGAGATTGTTTCTCCAATACTCTTTCTCTTTGACAGCCGGTCTTCATCTGAGTATGGAAGAGAGTAGGATTAATCTATCGTTTACTGGATTTATCTGTCAGTCAACTAGTAAGAAGAAACCACTCCAGACTGAAGCTGCCGTTCATCTGCTATGCAAATGTCTTGATTGTATTGGCTTCGGTAGCTGTTAATCTACAATTACATTGTTTTCATGCAAACACAAAAAAAAGACACATTGAGAGAGTACTGCGTGACATTTGTAGAGCAAAAGGTGCAGTATGTAAGTTTGACACCCAGTGGTTGAACTAGGTATTACACTCCTGGTTCAAAACACACAAGCACAGGTTGCCAGATTGACGACACCAACAGAAGCGAGCCTGACTATCGAGACTAAAGGCTTATTTAAGGCTGGGTTAAATCGTGTTCTAACTAAAAGCAACGGCATGCGATAGAAGGAATATTTTCTTATCAAAAGGAGTTTTTATCCTAACCAACACCTGACATTTACATTTTAGAAACCGGTTTTATTTTTGTCTCACATCAGTCATTCAACATGTACATTTAATAGTGTTAAAAGAGGTTTAATATGTATTAATTACATTATAAACCTTACCATTTTGTGGGAGTGCAGTGAGTGCACTATTCTGTGCTTCTGAATAACTATTTAAATTTCTGTCGTTTTACGTCTGTTGCAAACAGCCAAATTGCTTATCACTGCAAATCTTGTCACACAAGTGTGATGTCAGGACACAGGGTTACAATGTAACTTGCTCACCTAATGTTTACATTTCTAATATTTATATTATTTTCTAATTAATAACCACCTCATGTCTCATTTCAGAGGCTGGCATTGAGCAAGTTAAAGAGATCAAAACAAAGACAGACGTTCTGGCACGGAAAGCACATTTTCAATGCAGAATATCTGACTTCAGCACTGTTTTTCAGAAAAACAAGAATGCACACTTAGCATGTTTCTCAAATATCTGTAAACATATCATGCTATTTGTATGCCTAAGAAGAGTAAAAAGCTTACATACAGAACCTTTAAACATGAAAACAATGAAGAGCTAGTTTGATTGGACTATACTATGTGAACATTACCACCATAGGCATTTCTAAATAACAGAGTTAACTGTTATGTTATATGATGTCTAACAAATTGCTGATCTATGCACCTGTGAATTGTGGGACATAAGGTGTAGCGAGTCGTTCAGTGTTGTAGCCGCTTCCTCCAAGAACTTCAGTGATCTTGGCTTGTTGGAACAAAACATCTCCTTCCAGCTTCTCCAGTGTTTTAGGAATCCTGGGAAATCACAGTAAACATAATTTTATATACACACATTTGTTTATATAATGTACTGTTCAAAACGTTTGGTCAGTGTATTTCTAAAATGTTAATGTGGACTCTTATGCTCTCTAAAATCCAAAATATTGAAAAGCAGTTTTATTATGACACTACACTTTAAAATATTGTGTAATATTACGGTTTTACATTTTTATTATTTATTTTACTGCAATTTAAAACTCTTTTTATTCAATGATGGTTCAGATTCATTACTTAAGTTGTTAACATGACAATGTTCCTTTAGAAACAATTCTCCAGGCTGATTTGCTGCTTAAACATTTATTATAATTATAATAATAATAATTATTATTATTATTATTATTATTATTAATGGCATTATTATTATTATTGGCATTATTATTATTTTATTATTGGCATTATTATTATTATTATTATTATCATCATCATTATCATAGTTATTGTTAATTATCAATTAACTAACAGCTCCTGTTTAAATTTAGGTGAAACCCACAAAACATATTTCAGGTTTCTTTCACAATGGGAGATTTTTTTTTTATTTCAATAGAAATCATTTTGCATTTATTATTTATTTTACTGCCATTTAAAATTCATTTTAATTCAATGATGGTTCAGAATCATTACTTAAGTTATTAACATGACAATGTTCTTTTAGAAACAAGTCTCCTATGCTAATTTGCTGCTTAAACACTTATTATTATTATTAAAAGTATTATTATTACTGTCATCATTGTTATTATTAATCATCAATTAACAAACAGCTCCTTTTTAAATTTAGGTGAAACCCGCAAAACATTTTTCAGGTTTCTTTGATTATTAGGGGGGAAAACGTATTTTAAAAAAAAAATCTTTTGAATTGTATTAAACTTTGACAGATTTTAGTTAACGTTTCCCATATATTTTGAAATAAAACCGTCAAGGATAAAAAAAAAAAAACACAATAAAGCCCTGGGCTTGTTTTCATTGCAGTCAGCACTGTTAAAAAAGAAAGTTTGGCTGTAAAGTACAGTTAATGCATAAAACAAACAGTACCACATTTAAAAAAACAATAAAAAATTCACAGTCAGTGCTGTGGAAAGTTACTTTTGACAGTAATGCATTAGAATATTGAGTTACTCCCTAAAAAAGTAACTAGTTGCGTTACTTAGTCACTTTTCACAGTAAGCAATGTGTTATGCTACTTTTAAGTTAATTTTGCGTAAATTTTTCTGACTCAGCTGAGGTTTGATGTCTTTCATAAGTTGCAGGGGTGTTTTTTCTTCTTTTTTTAATGGAAGCTGCAAACAACAACAAACTGTATGACCTCCATTTACCTTTAAAAAACATAAAAAAGTTAACGAAGGATAATGTTATCTTCGGAGAACTTCCTGACCCCAGAGCTACAAATGTTGTATTTACAAATTAATGAAAGTTTAAAGAAATGTGTTTGCTACTTTTGTACTTTTTGTATTATTAAAAAGTAAAATCACTGTCCATTCAGATAATCCTCTTTTCCATGTGTTCAAAATAATGAGAATGCTTACATCGTAGAAATATAAGGCTCTGCCATCTTCCTTTCTGTCTGTTACTGCATTCTCTCATTGTGTGCGGGATTCAACATGACTACGTACATTTTAATTCAGCAATTCATTCAGCAATTTTATTAGGGTGAATTCACTAAACTTAAAATTAACTTGCATTACACTTTTTTTTAAAGTAACTCAAGTATTCATTCCATTTCTTTTTAGTTTAGTCCCTTTAATAATCTGGGGTCGCTGCAGCAGAATGAACCGCCAATTATCCAGCATTCTCTGTATTTCCTGTACATGTGGTTGAATTGACAATAAAGCTGACTTAGATCATTATCCACCATGCAAACTAACTATCATCATTAAACAACCCTCTTTTGATCGCTTTTTGATTCCTAAGTTTAAAGCTGCAGTAGGTGATTGTCTTCAGAAACATGTTTAGTTGTGCTGGTTAAAAGTCTCTTCACATTTTATTAGTAATGATAAAGGTAAATGATCTAAATGTATTTATTTGTATTTTTATATTCTGGGTAAGGCATAAGACAAAAAAAAGTTTATCCAATTAAATAATGTCAGGCCGACATCTCCCATAATTCTGATAAGTAGTTCAAACTGTCTGTCAGCAAATGTAGATTTGCACCTATGTGCACGCAGATACGCCAATGCACATTCATTCGGGCTGTGGTCATTTGGACACGAGTGAAAGCACTAAAAACAACGCTGAATCAAAACTTTTTAAAATCCTAAATCAATATTGGAGTAACTTTTGCACGCTGGAGGAAGGACGACACCATGGCTGAAGTATTTCTTATAGACAGATAATGTTATGTTTTAACACTATATCAGTCACACAAAGCTGATGTAGATTGTGTTGTCATAAATGGGTTATATGCACTGAAGTGTTGTTCAGCCACTGAAATCTTCCGGCAAAATATTAATGTGACTATTTTCAGTTTCATAAGGGACTTTTTAAGTAAAGAGCGCTATTGCGCCTAGCCTGCTTTACTGAGGTGAAGTTGGTTTTATATTCACATTGGTTCATTTTTGAACAATGACAACCTGTGGCGTGCTCCCTATATTATTTATCATGCTACTCTGCATATTCTGTCTGAAATAGCATGCAAGTATGGCTGAGTAATTAGTGTAATTCCAGCACCCAGCCGACCAATCACTAAGCATACAGTAGTTGCTGTAGGACAAAGCATGTGAGAGAGTGAGACCAGCGATCCTTGCATGTATGAAATATTGCACATTATGACAAGTTAAGCTAACTACACAACTGCAAACATGCTAGATATAATACAATTTTTCGTTCAGAATTAGACAATTATAAAGCACTATACAGTTTTTTAACTGGCGAATGACATGATCTAGCGGGTCTCTGTCATCTTTAATGCACGCTTGTGATTTCAGGAGGCATGGCTTTGGACGGCGAAGGAGGGACTGTGTTTGAAGGATACTATGCTAACCGGGTTTGCATTTCGGCAGATCACCTACTGCACCTTTAAATAAACAAATATTAAAATCCCAACCCCTTGTACTACAGTATATGTGATTTTAAACTGAATAACAACATAATAGATTACATAAAACAACTGTAAAAAAGTATAAAAAAGGCATGTCATGTCACTATTTTAACTTTTAATTTTAGGTTTCAAGTTACTACATTTTATAACTTAATCATTTAAGTCAGATTAACTAAAGTTGAAATTACTTGACTTAACTGGCACCATCTAAATGTTTAGTGTGGGTTGTCTTACTTTGGGTTTTCAATGAAGACATCCTCCGGTAAGAGATAAGGAATTTCTTTTTGTCTCATTTCAATCACCTGCAAAAACATTCATACATTTTATTCATCTGTTTTTAATGCAACCTGGCTGATAAAAACACTGCGTGAGTGGACTGTAGTGGTGTTTGATGGAGACTGACCTCATGAACATGCTGGCAGAAAGCTGGCACTGTTGTGAGCTGACTGATGAGATTGAGATAGGCAGAGGACAGGGCATGAATAGCACAGCGGTTGTACACCGGTAACATCTCCTCACTGCTCAGAGCCAAATCCTGGAGAGAAGGAAACACAGGCAGATGAGAAGAAGTATTAAAATACACACAAGAGTCTTTATAAAATGTGTGTTAAACCATATAGATTGATGGAAAAAAAAAAAAAAAAAAAACATTAAAAAATTTATTTTGCATATGGGATTGAATAAAAAATAGAAATTGAATTAACCACTAAATATGAAATAAAAATAAATTGTAGAGTGACCAAAGAGGATGCAAAATGTGATGTGAATTGCATAATGGTAACAAAACTACTAACACATACTCTGAATCTGAATGTGAGGCTACTAAATAAAATGTTGATTCACATTTGTCCAGTAGAGGGCACAACAGGTACAGCTATGTAGGGAAAATCTACTTCACACTTTCAAGCCATTCACACCGGCCCACACAAATGTGTGTCTGTGCACGTGTTTGCATTGACTGTATTTAATCAGTTTGTGCAACAAAAAAAAAGCTACCTTGCCATTTATCTAAAAGGGATAGTTCACACAAAATGAAAATGACCTCTTTTTATACTTCCTCATGTGGTTTTAGAGTTTCTTCTGTTCAACACAGACTTTCAAAGTAGGCTTTTTTTAACAAAGAAAGTCAATGGATACCAGCAATTATTGCACATGGAATGTTTTTCACTGGCTAGAACAGTAACTGGTGATCTGGGAGCCTGGACAGACTGCTGTGTATAATTCCAGATACACGAGAATACGTTTTTTTATGTCATTTGTTTTTTAAGATCATTTTTGTTGAAAAAAAAAAAAGTTATATTTATAAAATTATATAAAAAAAGGTAAATCGTTAGTGTTGAGCCCTAAAAAGTCCAATTAAACTAATTGCAATGCGAAACTATGAAACCACAACCCATTTGCTCATGCTCATCACACAAAAAAGTTAAATGACCAAGGAGGCATGTGGAAATAAAACAAAATCTAAATCAAGTCATTTTAGCATTCGAAAGTCAAATTTATGCATATCAAATATATTTTCCCAACAACAAATTGGGGCTAGTGGGAACGGCGAGTGGCTAGTACCATTGGAAAACTACTTCCAACAGTGGCCGATGATCAAAAAAGTTTATATTAAGCCCTGCTAGTGACATGGACTGTGTCTTGTGTGGCCATGCTAATGACATCATACACCCTCATTTTACGGTTAGGTTTAATAGAAAAAAGGGAAACACTAAAGTCATTTTAATTTGTTGTGGGTTTTACTTGACTGCACAGTGGAGCATTATAACAGAACCCTAAAATGTATTTAGTACAGCTTCTTCCTCTTCAAAAAAATCACTTGCTTTACTTCAACAGCTTTTCAGCCTGCCATGAGTTCATAGTCCACCTGTTGCTTCACACTAATATGATAATAAGAGTTGAATACTTCAGCTCATCCATGAACGTCATTTCTGCAGGAGTCCAGTAGGATGTAATGAAGACCACAATTCCCATGATTCCACACTCAGTTTCGGCATCAAACTACACCTTTGCTGTAAATATTGGAGAAAATGACACAATGCGCCTTTAAGGCTTAATATACTTCATAATAATCACACCTGCAGAGCGAGCGCAACACGGATCAGGTCTACCACCACCTCTTCATTGGCCAGCTCCATGCTGATGAGGGCCAGGAGTGAATAAAGCTTCTCAAAGTGAGGCTGAACGCTGCTCTGCTCCTTACTGCACAGATATATGTGTCGGTAGAGGTGCTGCGCATGCTAAAAAAACAAACAATCAGTGTCAAACACAACATCAGCCCTTTAGAAATGCAATGACTTCAAAAAGATAATGACAATAATGCTGTACCTTCTTCATGAAGAGGTTGTCCTGACGTGAGCACTTGTCCACTTTGAGTTTAAGCACAGAGATATCAGAGATGATGCTGCATGGGGGGCAAAGCGACATTTAAAAGCATAGTAAAACAGTTCATCATGTGATCAATTATCACTAAAAACAGGCAGGTTTTCTAACGAAATTTTTGTTTGTAATGTTGCCAATTTTACCGGAAGAAAAGCCTACAGACTCTCAAAAATCAAGACCAACTGACAAGCAGTTTACTGAAGTAAAAACAGCAAATGTTGCCAAATTTCCATTATCACTTGACCAAAACGCTTGCTCTTTCACTTCAGTGAACTGCTTATCACTTCATCTCACTCTTGTATTTTTAATGTTTAATGCTGCCTTCACATCAGACCCGGATGAAGGGTCAAGTGCGAGTGTTTTACATGTTAAGTCAATGCAACACAGTTAGAAAATCTGAAATCTGAACAGCTCAAACTGGGCTTGGCTCAGTCTGAAGCACCGCTGAAAGCCTCCATCATCCATCATCCAGATACAGTTTCTGGAGAAGTTGATGAACTCTAAGTACACCTCTGAAATCAGGATCTAGTGGACTTCCTAAAGCATGTAAGCACAGTTATTTTCTCAATAAAATCCATGTTAGCCATTTAGCAACGAAGCAAGAGTCACGAGGCAGACAGAAGCCCTGCCCATGACATGAATTCACGTATATTGAAGTAAATTTGACGAGCTAATGAAGCAAATTTGACGCATGAATGAAGCGAGTAAACTCCAAATGTTCATGCGTGTATTTAATAGTGCAATTTATTCGAGAATGCCATGTCTGGTGTGAACACAGGATAAGAGTATGCAGACTTTTCTTCAGTTATTTAATTCTTTTGGATCTATTGGACCATTTTGAAGGTGTATGGTTGTTTTTTTAACATTTCACCTGAAGAGCAGCCTGCAGACTCTCAAAAATTAAGATCAACTGACAAGCAGTTTGCTGAAGTAAAAAAGGTAAACGTTGCCAAATTCTGAAGAACGTTTGACCAAAGGTTTGCTTTTTTACTTCAGTGAACTGCTTGTCACTTCATCTCACAGAGTATGCAGACCTTATTATTTAGTTATTTGATTCTTTTGGACCTATTGGATCATTCAGAAGGTTTTTGGTTGTTTTTTTGCCCTCTTCAAACTCCCACTGAATATTTAATTGTTGTAAAATCCATTTATGTTGTGATACGATATTAAAATTGCAATTTAAAACTATTTTTATCACCTAACATTTTTGTTGTTTCCATTTTTAACCAAATTCATTTAATGAAATACATACAAATTTAAAGCCCTTTATCACAAAAACAGGTAGTGATTAACTATGCACAATAAACAGGATGTAAGTATCCCTGTTTTTGTCAGCACTATAACCAGTCATACATTTTGGGTTGGTGTAAAAACATTAATTTTATTTATAAAATATTTATTTCACTAAATGAACAGAAAGAAAAACTAAAGCATGAGGTGATGTGAAAAAAAAACATGAATCTATTTAGACAGAAGTGAAAAACTGCAAGCTTTACATGTTTCTCTTAACGCAAAAAGAATTTGCCACTGTTTTGGAGCACACCAACATAAAGAAGTCTTTAAAACTAACAGACTGAAACTAACATCTAAAACTTTATTTGAATTTTATAGGACCTTTAAAAATATTTTAAACTCCTGCTGATCCCATGATCACACACAGCATAATGCAAACACCAGGGCTACTCGGCACACATCACTTACCTGATGTTGGAGAACTTGGGGAGGTTATCATGGCGATCGATGAGGCTGACCAGAATTTCCAGCACCAACAGCCGAATTTCAGCATCTTCTAGCAGAGCAAATGACAGCATGGGATCCAGAAAGGAGTTGGGAAGAGCTGTAAGCATATTAGTTGTCTGGAAACCACACGTGACCTGGACGGTGAACAAAAGGAAGAGTAAAAATAAACATTACATTTACAACATCAAATATTTGACACCAAGCAGGACACCAAGCATTTACCTGTCTCAGAGACTTCAACAGCATGACTTGGATCATTCGGTTGCCCTCAGGCCTGTAGCACAAAAACAAGCGATTATGTTTATATACATGTTTACCACAGAACATTTGGAAAAGTGTCAAACAACAGTGTGAAGTCCTGAATTGTTTTGAGATCAGGTCAAACTGATTTGATAGAACTTTTATTAAACCACAGCTACAGTGAATGGGGTTAAAGTTAAACCTAATGGTTTAAAAGCAATCATACTGGCTTTTAATGTGCCTCATTACATACAGTGCATCCAGAAAGTATTCATGGCGCTACACTTTTTCTACAGTTTTTATGTTGCAGCCTTATTCCAAAAATGATTAAATTCCTTTATTTCCTCAACATTTTACACACAATACCCCATAAAGACAATGTGAAAAAAAGATTCGTTGAAATTGTTGCAAATGTATTAAAAATTAAAAACCTGTAAAATCACATGCACATAAGTATTCATGTACATTAGTAGTGTGTTGGGTCAGCGATGGAGGGACAATGACAGGCGGTCGCTAGTTTTATTAAACTATTAGAATTGCCATATTTTATATATAACGATAATTTTTAATAGTAAAAAAACAACAGCATGCAAACAAAAAGCCATTAGCCTTTTGATTATTTTTTTCATAGGATTGGTGTGCATACGTTAGATTAACAACACTGCAATATCGTCAGATACAGCTAATTTTATTGCACCAGGTTAAACTTTCTGACACCTTTATGGCAATAAAATACATTACAAATGAATACAGGCCACTACTGAACATTGAGGATGATCATGGTGGTTGCTGGTCTCCAAAATTACACCAATAATAGACTTCTGCTGAAAGCATTAGGCCCACCAGTCTCTTTAGCTGAGGTTAATATGAAATAAATTACTACATAAATTATTATAGCCTATGGTTGTTAGACTGTTGCACTTTTTTGTGTTGTCAATACGCTCATGTTTACATAGGCCCTTTGTGTGTGCAACCTTTATTAGTTTATAACCACTCCTGAGGAATCTGGGGGTTGCAAGTCACTGGCATTGATATTTTGGGGGTCGTGGGTTGAAAAAGTTTGAGAACCTCTGCTTTAAAGCACGTAGTAGCTGCAGTGCTCACCCTGAGCCTATAGAGGGCAGTGTAGGATGCAGGCCTGGAATTGGGACCTTCCCCATAATGAAGAGCATCACCTCAGAGCGCTGGTATGTCGGTAACGTGTTTGCAAATGAGCCTGATTTAAACAAAAACACACAGACCATAATAGTGAAAAATCACTTAAAAGCAGGCAGTGAAATACCACATATACCCAATACACAAACACACTTCATTGGACATGAACTGTACATTACCTATATACTGAAGCACATCACCTACGCTTTTAGTTACTTGTTAATTAGTTAAAGGTATGGTAACTAATAACTTCAACTAAATTTGATTGTAATGCAACAATGTTTAATAATAACCTTTTAAAGTTAATAATTATTAGTCTGACAAGAGCTATACAAATAAACTTGAACTGAATTAAAAGCAAGCTGAATCATATTTTGCTCTCATACAGACCAATAGTGCGGATGACGGCTTCTTGCAGCTGCCTCTCCTCGTGCTCCTTGATGATTTTGGTGCCGATGTTAGTGCAGTCATACGATCCCGTGAGTTCATAGTCCACACTGAGCCTCAGATGCCGGAGCAGCGTGTTAAAAACCTCCAACACCGTGGGGCCTAAAACAAGCGACAAGCACACCCAAACATTAATAACGTATGCAGATATTTTGTTTATGTAAGCTGCAGGTGAGCAGAATAAATTAGTAACACTGCTGACACATCCGGTTCAATTTTGAGGTGTCATTTTTACCATCATTCTGTTTAATATGGTCTGTAAAGATGAGACATTTCTAGAGTCAGAGTTGCCAGATTTAGCTGACTTTTTCCAGACCTAAAGCTGTCTAAAACCTGCCAAGAAAAGCCCAAAATAGTACTATTTTAGTTCACTTTTATTGTAATAAAAAATTAACCAAGTTACTTTAACTGTCATACTTTTTTAACCATACAGCAACCAACATCAACAGTCACAGAACCAGAAGTGTAAAATTACAACATATCCAGATCACATCGAAACACTGCATTACCTTTCACCCTCACACTGCACTTACTGTTATGTATATTACAACAGCTATTAAGACTATAGGTGCAGCCTAAATCGCATACTTATGCACTACCCTACACCATTTTGTTGTATAAATAATAGTGTGTTCACACTGTAATTTGGCAGTTTGGTCATTTACTGATTTGGCAACAGTCAAGCGTCATCAGGGAAACGGGTTGAATTTCCACTTAGTAAAAAACATTAGTGCTCCATTTGGGACGACACTAAGTGCATAAGTACATAGTGTGCCATTTGGGACGCAGCTTATGTTTTACTTCGAAAATGAGGTATAAATTCATCCATTTGGCGTTTTAAATGCTTTCCAACATAATTAGGTGGTGCTTGTCAATCAGACAGCTCTTCTATGTTTGTTCTTACTATCAACTGCAGGGAAAAATGATTGCAAAAAGTGTCATGACAAACCGTTGTGAGTTTAATTTCAGGTGCGGTGGGAAAGGAGGTCAGATTTTTGAGTCAGAACTTTCCTTCACCTCCTCTTGCGGGTGGGCCCACGCAGTTTGTGCTATGCACTGGTCACTACTAAGTGAATGGAGTAGGAGCACAGTTATGTTTTGTTAAATAAGGGGCATATAAAATTTATCTCTTAAAACTGCCCTGATTTCGTAGTTCAAAGTCGTCCAATCTGGCAACACTGTGTACAGTTTTCAAACATTTATATAACTTTGTTGCAATATTACGTTCTTAAATATGTATTTATAAAAAAAATGTTATCGTTTAAGCATTTCAGTCAATATTCATTCATTCATTCAATAATTCATTTTCCTTCGACTTAATAATCCCTTTATTCAGATCACCACAGCGGAATGAACCGCCAACTTATCCAGTAATAAAAAAAAAAAATATTTTAAAACTATATAAAATAAATAATTATGAAATTCCAAGCTTTGACTGTAGAGATGCATATGGTATATATACTTACAGTAATGTTTTTTTTTACATTAATAAATAAATTCTTTGCATTTAAACTATCATCTCTGTATTTCTATTACATAATGCTGGTGTTTTTAGTTTATTTTGTTCATATACATTTTTTTTAATAAAGATCTATTTAACTATGTCTATTTTAGTACTTCTTAACTATGCTTGATTAATTGTATAATGTTTGTATTGTTTTTTTAGGGTGACAATTTTAACATCTGTCCAGGTACAACGAATGAAAAATAACCTTCTGGCTAATTCTATTGCATTTGCAGCAATGCTTATTAATGTACACTGACCCTGCCAAATAAACAAATAAATAAATAAAAAATGATTACTTACCATTATCAGCTAGCATTTAATTTTTGCTAATTTATTATTAATGAAAATTATATATAGTATGTATTTTTTTATTAACATAATCAAATATTATAATTTCTTCTGTCACAGTTGAAGTCAAAATGATTAGCCCTCCTGTTCAATTTGAATTCTTTCATATTTTTCCCCAACTTCAATTGTTTTAATAACTCATTTCTAATAACTGATTTATTTTATCTTTGTCATGATGACAGTAAATAATATTTATTAGATATTTATAAAGTGACATTTAAAGGCTTAATTAGGCAAGACATTAAATTAAGACATTTAATTAGGCAAGTTAGAGTAATTACTGTGTGTTCACATTAAAAGCGGCGACAGCGTCAAAGTAGGCAAGGAGCAGCGCGGGGAGGATCAGCACAGCACAGTTTCCCCAGTGTGGGTGTCGAGGAGAGCTGAAATCATGTCAACTTTATGAAAATGAGCTATGATGTGGTTCAGCGGCAAGCAATCGGAATGTAGAAGTCCACAGCTTGAGAGGATTCTAAAGAACACAGTCCTGTGAACTTTGGTTCCGACAACAGTTGTTCCCAAGGGATTTAATATTGCAGTTGCTGGATTTCCAATTGTTTCTTACAGTGGCATATATATAAAGGTGAGTACTGGCGAGTTAATGTGCATTAATTTTATATACAGTTGAAGTCAGAATTATTAGCCCCCATTTGAATTTTTTTTTTCTTTTTTAAATCTTTCCAAAATTATGTTTAACAGAGCAAGGAAATAATCACAGTATGTCTGATTTTTTTTTTCTTCTATTTGTTTTATTTTGGCTAAAATAAAAGCAGTTTTAATTTTTTTTTAAACTCTTTTAAGGTCAAAATTATTAGCCCCTTTAAGCTACATTTTTTTAAACAAACCATCGTCATACAATAACTTGCCTGATTACCCTAACCTGCCTAGTAAACCTAATTAACCTAGTCAAGCCTTTAAATGTCACTTTAAGCTGTATAGAAGTGTCTTGAAAAATATCTAGTCAAATATTATTTACTGTCATCATGGCAAAGATAAAATAAATCAGGTATTAGAAATGAGTTATTAAAACTTTAGAATATTTCAGACATACAGTTTGGACATGTATAAGTGGAGCAAAGCCACACATGCACCAATTTGATCTTCCATAGTTAAATTTGATTAAAAAGCAACATTTTCATGCTAGAAAGTACATTTTATGCTGGAATGTAACTGATTTGCCAATAAGCTGCAATGGACCCTTTAAATACGAGATCAATGTAGCGAATTTTGACAGTGGAGCAGGGAAGGCAGACAGCGTTGTCATCAGGGACAGCGTTCTCATCAGGGCAGCCAGAGCGAACTTTGACGCTCTCACCGCCTTTGGTGTGAATGCAATTAGGCAAGTCATGGTTTGTTCTATAGACAATTGACAAAAAATATTGCTTAAGGGGGCTAATAATATTGACCTTTAAAAAAACTGCTTTTATTCAGAAAAAAAAACAAATAAGACTTTCTCCAGAGAAAAAATATTATAGAAAATATTGTAAAAGTTACTTTCTTCATTAAACATCATTTGGAGAAAATTTTAAAAAATGTATAATAATATTAATATCACATGTGGGCTAATTATTTTGACTTCAGCAACTGTATAATTCAATACTTACATTCTTGTATCAATACTATCAACAAACAGGAATGCAGAATTAACAATGATATTTGATAGCGCCAAACACATATGAATGGTGAATTTTTTTAAATAAAATTGATATATCAGCATTAACCTTTGAATGAATCTGATTTCTTTTAAACAAGCCATTTCAAACCTTCAAAATAACCTGATGGGTGACACGGAGGCTCAGTGGTTAGCGCTGTCGCCTCACAGCAAAAAAAAAGTTGCTGGTTTGAGTCCCGGCTGGGCCAGTTGGCATTTCTGTATGGAGTTGCATGTTCTCCCAGTGTTTGTGTGGGTTTCCTCCAGGTGCTCGGTTTCCCCCCACAGTCTAAAGACATGTGGTATAGGTGAACTGAATAAACTAAAATGGCTATAGTGTATATGTGTGTGCATGTAAGAGTTTATGGATGTCTCCCAGTACTGGGTTGCAGCTGAAAGGGCATCCGCTGTGTAAAACATAGCAACCCCTGACCAATGGTACCCCCTAACAAATAAAGAGACCAAGCCAAAGGAAAATGAACGAAAATGACCTGATTCAGTATAAACTACATAAAAGTGCTAATTTAGACCTGCAGGTGGCGCCGGTACAGCTCTTGATTCAGCAGAGAGGAGGTGTGAATGACTTTTACACAGGACAGCGAGTGTGAGCACTGACCTGACGTCAGAGAGGAGAGTCGAGCTGTGAAATGTGTATTTTTGGCTGAAATTGAGATTGGGTCAGAAGCAATGTTACAGTTCTGTTCTCCCAAAAGAGCAGCTTAACGTCTGGTGGAGAGTGACCCAGATACTGAGCACAGGCGTGAAATGTATGATATGTGTTATAGCCTGTGCATACAGATTTAGAGGACACGTGTGTATTTTTATACTGTGTACCAATATTTGCTGCTTGTTTAAATATTTTTAAGCTTTCAAAATGCAAAGCTAAGAAGAGGGTTTTATTTCCTAAAATAGTTATTTTTTATTTTTATTCTTTAAATATATATAAACATTTTATTTATATATATATATATATATATATATAGAGAGAGAGAGAGAGAGAGAGAGAGAGGTTATTTTTCTATAATATTTATATTATTTTTTATATTTTCTTAGCACTTTACACTGTAAAAACATTAATTGATTTTTCCCCAGTTTACGCTGTTTGATTTGTGGCTTGTTTCAGTGGAGTGAATAATATAACTGTAAAATGTCTGATTTTTTTTTCTGATTGGTCAATCATGACATTCAAAGATACAGTGCATACGGAAAGTATAAATTCTACACACAATATACTACACCCATAATGACAATGTGAAAACAGTTTTTTTGAAATTGTTGCAAATTTATTCAAAATAAAAAAAAAACTAAACAATCACAGGAGTATTAACAGCCTTTGCTTAAAACTTTGTTAATGCACCTTTGACAGCAAATACAGCCTCAAGTCTGTTAAATATGACGCCACAAGCTTGGAACACCTGTCTTTGGGAATGTTTGCCCATTACTCTGCAGTACCTCTCAAGCTATATCAGGTTGGATGGGAAGCGACTGTGTACAGCCATTTTCAGATCTCTCCCCAGATGTTCAATAGGATTAGGGTCTGGGCTCTGGCTGGGCCACTCAAGGACATTCCACTGCCACTCCATTGATGTTTTGGTGATGTGCTTTGAGTCATTGTCCTGCTGGAAGACGAACCATGGCCACAGTCTGAGGTCAAGAACACCCTGAAGCAGGTTTTCAATACATTGCTGAATTCATCTTTCCCTCTATCCTGACTAGTCTTCCAGTTCCTGCTGCTGAATACCATCCCCACAGCATGATGCTGCCACCATCATGCTTCACTGTAGGGATGGTATTAGCCTGATGATAAGCAGTGCCTGGTTTTCTCCAAACATAACAACTGGCATTCACTCTAAAGAGTTCAATTTTAGTCTCATCAGACCAGAGAATTTTGTTTCTTATGGTCTGAGAGTCTTTCAGATGCCTTTTGGCAAACTCCAGGCAGGGAGTGGCTTCCGTCTGGCCACTCTACCATACATATTTGATTAGTGGATTGCTGCACAGATGGTTGTTCTTCTGTAAAATTCTCCTCTCTCACAAAAGAATGCTGGAGCTCAGACAGAGTGACCATCGGGTTATTGATCACCTCCCTGTCTAGGGCCCTTATCCCCAGATCACTCAGCTTAGATGGCCAGCCAGCTCTAGGAAGAGTTCTGGTGGTTAAACATCTTCCACTTACGGATGATGGAGGTCACTGTGCTCATTTGGAACTTTCAGAGCAGCACAAGTGTTTCTGTAACCTTCCCCAGCCTTGTGCCTCGTGACAATACTGTCTCGGGGAGGTCTAAAGACAATTCCTTTGCCTTCATGCTTGGTTTGTGCTTTGACATGCATTGTCAACCCTGGGACCTTATATAGACAGGTGTATGCCTTTTCAAATCATGTCCAATCAACTGAATTACCACAGGTGAACTCCATTTAAGCTGCTGAAACATCTCAAGAATGAGCTCAATTTAAATCATCACGGCAAAGGCTGTGAATAATGATGTACATGTGATTTTTCAGGTTTGTTTTTTTTTTATTGTTTTTCATTATGGGGTATTTTGTGTAGAATTTTGAGTAAATAAATTAACTTAATCTATTTTGGAATAAGGCTGTAGATTAAAAATATGTGGAAAACTTTCCGGATGCACTGTATGCAGTGTATACATTATCCCTTACAATAATTGTAAAGTTTGAACAACGATTATTTAAAGAACTAATTAAGAAATAATTGGATCAGCAAGAGTCAGGGTTTCTGCAGGTTTCAGTTAAATTTAAGACTTTAAGAATGAAATTTAGGGGTTACATTTTTTTACTAATGGCCTGGTATTATGAGAAATCATGTAATTGTATTTAGGTTTTTTCTGATTAGGGAATTTAATTTGGGGAATTTGCTGTAAAAATGTCTGACAGCTGTTGTGAATTGTTTTTCTTTGCAATAAAATACTTGAATATAAAAATTAAGGTTTTACTGAGACGTATTGTTGGTGATTGGATTGACGTCTGCCCAATTGAGTAGCTTTACTTGGATAAAACAAAATTAAGACCTGTTTAAAATTATTTAAGACCTACAACACAGTATTTCAGTGAGGTTAGGACTTTTTAAGGCCTAAAATTTAGTTTTTGAAATTTAAGACATTTTACGACCCAGTGGACACCCTAAAGAGTAAACTATTTATGTCAAATTTACAAGGTAATTCAAATAAAAGTTTGGTTTAAAATGCATTTTGCTTTTCGACTTAGATTTGCCTAAATTAAGTTGATTTAACATCTATCAGATGTGCAGAATTATTTTTATAGTAGGTAATATCAGTTTTTACAGTATATTGAGTCTACAGAGTCTACAGTATATTGGCTACATTAATTAACTATTGTATTATTATATTAATTATGAAAGAGATTCAAATAAATCATCCAAACCCACCAACGGAGCCACTGGCAGCGATGGCAGCAACTTCCAGGAGCACCTCCACTATCCCAGCACGCACTGTGGCAGAGCTCTTACTGTTGGCATCCAAATGACCCAAGAGCTGCTGAATGACCAGATGAGAATGCTGGGACTAGGAGAGAGCAATATAGGAGAAATGTAAATGACAAATTTGCATACCATAATAGTTGACATCACTGTTTCTGATTAATGCTGTTTAATATGATAAACAGTGTAATTACTGGCTATGCAATGCCAGTTTCAGAGCATGCGGAAACTGTGATACTATTATCTGATATACTCTCTAAAACTGAGAGTGAATGTATTTGGTGAAATAAAAGATAGTTGATTTAATAAAAAATGAAATAAAATTAAAGAGCATCACATTTTAGGATGGTTGTAAAATGTATGTATTTTTTATGTATTATTTGTTTTGATCTTTCTTTTGAATTACTACAGTACCCAAACAAATGAGCAAAAACAATATATTCAGTTACAAAAAATGACAAAAGCCTTTTTTAAAAAGTAAAAAAAGGCATGGCAATTATTACATTGATTATGCAAAGCTATTTGTGCTACTTTATGAAAGATTTTGAATATCTAAACACACCTATTTTATTAGTATTTTATTTATTAATAAAACCTTTTGGATACCTTAAAAAAACAAACAAACTCGAGTGCCTTGGACTAATTCCTGTTGTTGTTTTGGATACCATATTTTTGTAAATGCTAAGAAAAAATGTTTTTATAAAATTTTATTTTATGTTTATTAATATTTTTTCCTTTAATTAGCCTTTTTATTTATTGATTTTATCTCACCTGAATGGAGTACATGATGATCTTAAAACAGCGCACCGCAAATGTTTTGCCTTCCCACAGTGAGTGATTGTCAAGATGCCTGCAGTGACAGAACACAAGTCAAAAGTGAATGCAAAATACATTTCAGTGAGATTAGTTATGTTCATTAAAAAAACTGACACTTTATATTGTTTTACTAGTATGGATGTCAGTGGCTACAAGTTTCCAACATTCTACAAAATATCTCTTTTGTGTTCAACAGAAAAAAGAAACCCAAAATGGTGTGAAACCACCTCACTTTTGTGTGAATTATAATTAAAAATAAATAAATAAAATAAAAAATCTTCATAATGTTTTACTAGTATGGATGTCAGTGGCTACTAGTATCCAACATTCTACAAAATATCTTTTTTGTGTTCAACAAAAAAAAAGAAACCCATAATGGTTTGAAACCAGCTATTTTTTTTTTTTTTTTTGTGAATTATACCTTAAAAAATGAACACTTCATATTCTTTAACTAGTATGGATATCAGTGGCTACTGGTTTCCAACATTCTACAATATAACTTCTTTTGTGTTTAACAGAAAAGATGCAACCATCTTATTTTTGTGTGAATTATACCTTTAACAAACACTTCATATAACAACCCAAGAACTACTTCACCAGTAGTATTCTATTACTACAGGATGGGCCATTTATATGGAAACACCTTAATAAAATGGGAATGGTTGGTGATATTAACGTCTTGTACGTGGCACATTAGTATATGTAAGGGGGCAAACTTTTCATGATGGGTGGTGACCATGGTGGCCTTTTTTAAGTTGGCCATCTTGGATCCAACTTTTGTTTTTACAATAGGAAGAGGGTCATTTGACACATCAAACTACTTGGGAATTTTACAAGAAAAACAATGGTGTGCTTGATTTTAATGTAAATTTTTCTTTCTTGAGTTATTTACAAGTTTACACTGATAGCAACACCGCAGGAGAAATGCCAGCACAGGCTTCCTGTATCTACAGTTTCAGGTGCTGTACATCTTGCATCTTAACACCATAAACAACAAAGAAAACCTCAAGGACTGGATATTTGAAATTGCTACATGATGATGTGTTTCCCTCTTTATGCACTGAAGCTGGCACGTTTCCTTAGTTTTTCCAGCAAGATGGTGCACCAGCACTCTATGGGTGTCAGGTCCGAGCATTCCTAGATGAACAGTTTCCTGAAAAGTGCATTGGTCATCGTGAGATAGTTGAATGGCCCCATAGGTCTCCCAATCTGACCCCCTTAGACTTTTATCTTTGGGGTCATCTGAAGGCAATTGTCTATGGTGTGAAGATACAAGATGTGCAGCACCTGAAACTATGGATATGGAACTATGGAAGCCTGTGCTGGCATTTCTCCTGCGGTGTTGCTATCAGTGTGTGAAGAGTAGGAGAAAGGGTTGCATTGACAATCGAACACAATGGGCAGCACATTGAACACATTTTATAAGTGGTCAGAAACTTGTAAACAACTCATGAAAGAATAAAGTTACGTTAAAACCAAGCACACCATTGTTTTTCTTGTGACATTTCCAATAAGTTTGATGTGTCAAATGACCCTCTTACTATTGTAAAAACAAAAGTTGAATTCAAGAAACTTGAAAAGTTTACCCTCTCACATATACTAATGTGCCACAAACAGGACGTTAATATCACTAACCATTCCCATTTTATAAGGTGTATCCATATAAATGGCCCACCCTGTAGTATGGCTGTCAGTGGCTACTGGTTTATAACATTCTACAAAATATCTCTTTTGTGTTCAACAGAAAAAATTAAACCCATAATGGTGTGAAACCACCTCACTTTTGTGTGAATTATACCTTTATAAAACTAACACTTCATATTCTTTTACTAGTATGAATGTCATTGGCTACTGTTTTCCAACATTCTTTAAAATATCTTCTTTTGTGTTTAACAGAAAAAGAAACCACCTCATTTTCGTGTGAATTGCACCTTTAAAAACAAACACTTCATGAGACAATTGTGATATGTGGCAGGTCTCTTACATCAACACAGGGGTGACAGCGTTTTTGATGTTGCCGTAAGCGGCTCGACCCAGCAGCTCCCGAAAGCAGCGCTCCGTCAGCTCAGCTGGGCTTTCCTTCTCCTTCTCACTGGCCTGCAGCGGCGAGGGAGAGCGACTGCAAAGGAAACAGAACGAGACACAAGCTTTCACACTCCAGCTCTTCTTGGCAGATTAGAAACACAGCTTTGGCTTCAGTAAAATGTAATTTCAAATGGAACAAATCAAACCACATTGAAAAGAAAAACATTCGATAAGAAGACAGGGCTAAAACCTGATGGCGAAACACAAGTGCACATTAAAGATACTTCTAGCAAGCAGCAAGAAGAGAGTGGCTACCATTATAATCCTCCAACAAAGTCTGAATGGTTGGATGTTGTTACCAATTTTCATTTATACACTACCGCTAGTTCGCTTGAGTGTGTTCGTGCAGTGTGGCGTTTGATTTGAGTTGAGTATAAACCACTTTTTGAAAAGATTTTGTCTGAAACAGTACGACTGTACAGACATCTTTATGATCCGTGATCAGAGGGATAACCAAATGACCATTAATTCTTGTATAGAAAGAGGAAAGTTTTTGTTAAAAAGTTTGGAGAAACCTGAGGGAAAAGTTTGTTAAAGCCAAAAGAGGCCATGGCAAAAGTGGAGACCCAGGTGGTTTTAATAATACAGAATATGTTTTTCCACCATTTATAGGTTTTACACTGATGTATAAATTACAATTTTAAATGTAAAAAAAATTAATAGTTACAAAACTATAATAAAGTTACAGAATTATTTCTTTGATAACTGGGAAGGAATATTTGAACCTATCAGTTTACAATATACTGATGCCAGTTTTTCTGGGCTTTATTGGTGATAATGGTCAGGAATGTTGGACTATTATTGCCTTTTACACATAAGAAGAGGACAGAAACTAGCCAGACAGTAATGTGTGAATTGTGGAGTGGGCTAAATCAAAAAAAAAATCTGTATTTTTTAGTAAGTGTGCTTTTTTTTTTTCTTGCCATAAAAAATATATTTGTAGAGCAACCCATGCTCTCTTGTCATTAATATAATTAAAAATTATAATAGGTAGAACTGTCCGAGATATGAACAAAAGCAAGTAATGCATCAAAGTTTGATAAAAAAAATCTTGAATGGTTATAAAAATCTTTAAAATGATTAAAATAATTTATAAAAATAATAAAATAATTAGTTTTAAAAATCATGAATGATATTATGGCTATGACGTAGTTCTGGAAACTTTCTACATCTCTGTTTATCTGTCTGATTTTACAGTCAGTATCTTTTGACCGCCCCCTGTCGTTTTAAACAATATCGCAATGGCGAACATGGCAAGTATAAAAGCCTCGTCTGTTTTGTGAGGTGTGCATGCAGTCAGCGGAGGTGGGAGATGTGGCGTCAGGTGAAAGTATAAATCCAGCTTCACTGGCAGAGTGAAGGCTTTTTTAAAAAGGAGAGGAGCTACTCTATGTCCCGCCCCCTGTTTGTTTTTCAGTTGAGATTATGTCAAACCTTGAATAAAAAAATGCACATTTTAAATTTCTTAACGGGACCTTTAAAATAATACAATCTAACAATACTGAATACAACTACACTTCTTACAACCATACAACTCATACCATTAAAACATTAACATTAAAACCACCACGTCTTAGTTATCATACATATCTTGCATCACAAGTATGGTCCCACTTCATATTAGACCTTAACTAGTATGTACTCACACTGAAACTAATCAATTGTTACAATGTACTTATTTTGTACATACACATTTTTACATGATTAAATACCTGCATATATTTACATCTGCAATTAATTTCTGTAATTACATCTTTAATTACAACATTGACCATCCCTTACACCTTAACTAACCGTTAGTCCTACCCATACCACCAGTTCAGTCAAAAACCCTCCCCGTATCCCACCTCCAGACCTCCAGAAGTGTACTTCAACACATTATGACCACAGTAAGCACACTGTATTTTTTTTTTGACGTAAGTACATCATAGTTAAGACCACCTAATATAAAGCGGAACATTTTTAATATCTAAGCAGTCTAAAAGCCTGACAAAAAAAATCCATATTTAATGAAAAACTTCCAGTGTGAGCTTCGCCATGTGTCGGAGGATCTCACAGGGTTGGTCTCATCATTAATTAATCTCGCTGTTGCTCTGCCCTCACACACCCGCTGTCAGTCAGTCTGCTGCTCCGCACACCATCCCTGGCTTATATAATCGCACCACACTGCTCGAAATCTGCAGAAACTCTTCTCACCTCAGCTAAATGTGCAGAAGGGTGCCGGACCCTTCAGTTCACCAGAAACACTAGTGCTTTATGTTTTAGTTGACTGCTGTAGCTGCAGGTTAACCAGTCTGACATGTGCACATCTGACAGAAAGAGTTCATTATCAGTTGCCCTTTACATCAAACGGCAATTAGTGCGCACACCAAACAGCAAAGAGGGGCAATTAAAGTCTCCCCCGATGAGTAATTATGGCAAATCAACAAGGAGCCCGCTTCGTTGATTATAATGGGAGCAAGTTAGTTTGACGCGTCAGCATCCCGAATACGTCAGTTGTTGATTTAGTGTAATTGTGGCTCTATAAGTTGCAACTTTACTTATTACAAAAAGTTTTTCACAATTTTTTTGTGATTTGTTACGATAAAAGTATATAAAAAATTATATATGATATCTTATTAGTTAGCCTGCTACAGTAGTGGCTATGGAGAATGCGCATTTCTTCACTCGTAGTGCTGCAATTTGTCACCTGCAGACACACGCTGTGCTGCAACAGAAAACAGCCGCCTTTTTATATATATATATATAAATATATATATATATAAATATATATATATATATATATATATATATATATATATATATATATATATATATATATATATATATATATATATATATATATATGTGTATATAGATAGATAGATAGATAGATAGATAGATAGATAGATAGATAGATAGATAGATAGATAGATAGATAGATAGATAGATAGATAGATAGATAGATAGATAGATAGATAAAAAAAAAATTTAAAAAAACTTTTGTAAATATCCACCAGGTGGTGAAAGGAAAAAACGTTTTTCTATTGTCGGGCCAGCACAAGGGCACACCCCCAGAATCAAACAGCCTGACCAGAGATGCGTTTCCAAAAATCATTGATAGCTAACAAAAGTTGCAATGTCCATCATTAAAAACATAGTTTGTTGATTTGGTGTTTCCCCAAGTCAATCGTTCCAACAAACATTTACAAAATTGTGTTTACATTTGCAACTACTTCTCTAGATCTGTAGTCACAGGTAAAAGGTAGAAGCAACTGTGTTCTATTTCCAGTTAATCCCCCATACTCTATTTCTTTAGAACGTTTCAACGTTTAAACTTGGAATGCTTTAAAAAAATGTAAGCATTAAAGTCATCTCTCTAATGTAATTTGCTCTTGAATGTATTTTTTGAAGAACAGTATTAGCAATCTTTATATTGACAATTGCGCTCCATTCATGGTGTATTAAAATCATAGTATTATCTAAATAGTTTACACAATATTTAAAAACTCCTGTTCTAAAATCTTTTTTCCAATCTTTTGCAAAAAGAAAAGAAAAAATGGCTAAGACTGGCTTTAATGTATTAGTAATACAGCTATATGACTAATGTTATTGCTTTTGTTTGTTTTATATTGGTTTATATATACTTAATTATATACGATTTTTATATGCTTAACAAATATTTTATCTACATCTTCATGACGTTGTGTTAGCTAAAATGACACAAAACAACAGTTATGTAATTCTGTTGTATGCATATTTTTCTATCATCTTCAAATAAAAAAAATAATGAATAAACAAATCAAGCATTATCTCGCTCTTTCGCTCCGTCTCTCACACACGACATGCATGCATCTAGACACGCACATTCATGCACATGTTAGGTGTGCAGTCTAACACAATGACAATGACACAAATCCTACAAATAAAGCTTCTTAATTTTGGTCTCTTGTCAAAGCAACATCTCAAAAAGAAATAAACGGTAAAGATTACGCCAAGGAAGGTTGTATAACTCTTATTTCTATCTTACTTTCTCTATCTTAGATTTCACTTCCCGGCACATCTGACATTATGTGCATCACTCAGCACATGTGTTAGGGCTTCCCCTACAGTAATACACCTAAAATACAGATTGCCTTAAAACTCTTGAATGACAGGGAACCATTTCTCTTGTCAATGGCAAGGAAAGAGTTAAGCGAAATCATTTATCGGTTTGAAGCACATGATAACAGGGTACCAGTCATACATGTAAAGCAAATATAGTCCTTTAATTCAGTCATGACTGGTAGCCATCATCCTTGAACCAATCTTTACCATTGTAAGCGGCTTGCTTTTTTGTCTGTTTTATTGCTCCATTTATTAAATGTTGCGCCAGTCTAAAGCACGTCAAACGCACAAAAAAAAACGATTTTTGCCAGAGGATGTCTAATCGCATCTTTGCATTGATTCGCGATTCATCCGTATCTGCTTACTGCACAGGCTGCAAAACAATTTCCCCCCACTTCCATGTAATGTAATGATTGTGAGAGCACAGGTGAGACATCATTTTTCAAAACACTAAGGGTGCTTTCACACCTACACTTTTGTTTCGGAACCTGTTTCGTTTGCCCAGTTAGCGCGGTTCGTTTGGCATATGTGAACAGGGCAATTGCGCTCTGTTCCGCGCCAAAGTAATTGCTCCGAGATCGCTTGAATGAGGTGGTCTCGGCTCGATTGAAACGAACCCTGGAGCGGTTCGATTGCAGTGAAAAAGTGATCCGATCCGAGCGCGGTTATATCACGGTGTTTTATGGATATGTTATAGGCTTACGGCTATATGAAGAGAGAATCATGAGAATGGCAGGAAGTTTCGCGAGCCTCCGGATGCCCGCAAACGAGTGATGATCTCCCGGTAATGTCGCGTCTCCCTCACGGTCCTCAAATAGGCATTGTCGCGCACCCTTCTCACCCCTCCCCACCGCATCTCTCCTCAGACACGACGCGCGCACGCACCCGGTCAATCACCACCAAACCACCACCTCTCCTGACAGCTTAGCGGGACGCTCCAAAATCAACCCTGACACTCTGACCAATGTGAGGAGAGTTTACTCACACGTGACTTGTTTTAGCTCTTTTGGTCCGATTAGAAACTTTGCAGTGTAAAAGCGAACCGCACCAAGAGCAAAGAGCAACAATGTAACATTTGTAATCTCTGTTTCGGAACAACTGAATCGATTCACAGGTGTAAAAGCACCCTAAGATACATCACATGTGCTCCGTACACAATGACTATAAGTAGGGATGTCCAGATCCGATCACGTGTTTTTGAACATAATCGGGATCGGATGTTACGTCCCGATCAGGACTTGCATATTCTCATAAATTTTTGACACATCTATAGTTAGACAGAGTTAGACCTCTTTCTTGACCTCACACAGAAACAGCAATGCGTGTGAAATGGCATGACTGTTGCAGAGACACTATTGGTTAAATGCTGGCAAAGTAGAACACGAAAGCAGCTTGAATCAGAAAGCGTGAGTATGTCTACAGTGTGGAGGTATTATAAATTTGATGACAACAACATTGCAATAGTAAACTTTAGGATATGTAAACTTGTAACTACCTGCCGGGTATTTTAAGTTGAGGTGCTCTTTGTTTTTATATTAGATTTTTTATATTTACTGTTGCACTAAAGTCCAAAAGTGAAGAATTTAGGAATTTATTCATTTATTACTTGATTGTTCAAGCTACCTCACAGAAGTGCTGTGAATGATAGTTGTTGTATGTTAAAATAGGATAATAAAATAAAGAACATCCTGGATCTGTTTCTTCGCTCGTCTTTATTCTTTTTTCATGTATTATAGAAGTATCGGATTGGTAGCGATATCGGTAGATACTCAAAATCAAATGACTCAGACTTGAGGGCAAAAAACCCAGATTGGGACATCCCTATCTTCACGTCATGTAAAACAATTTAATGCAAACTGAAATCATTCTAATTTGATTAATTGGTTTGAAATTGGATGTTTTTTGAGATTATTTACATTTTGTGTGATTATTTTGTGTTTAAATTAAGAATTTAGCATGATCTTGTGTTGGATACAGCGTTCTCGAAATCACAACCTGTTCCAATCAGGGTTGTCTTTTTGTGAAGCACTTTGGTCAACATCATTTGTTTTTAAATGTGCTCTATAAATAAAGCAAACAAACAAACTAACAAACAAACAAACAACACATTCAATACAAAAAAAGAAAAGAAAAATGGCAACAAAATAAAAAGACCAGGCGGCATGGCACTGTCCAGCAGTTTTCAGAGCGCTTTGAGGATTTAGCTTTGGGGCTCATCGAAAGTCCCTGGAGAAAGACAAGACTATGTTCCATAGGATTTAATTTGAGTCCAATTCTCTCACCTCTCTGTGCCTTCACCAGACTGCAGATTGAAGAGCAGTGACGGGACGATCTTGTCCATGTGCTGAGGATCCCAGATGTTGGCCTGCAACTCATCATTAACAGTCTTTCTCACTACTCCCTGCAGACCTTTGATTCCAGCCATTCGGATTCTGAGGCGAAGACATTTTCAGTCAGGTTTGACAAAGATCTTGAACGTATATTCATCCATCCATATATCAATGCATTATCCATCTCAATCTACCATCTATAAATCAATACAACTATATACCAATTAATCCATTTGCCTTACTGTCCATCCGTTTATCAATACACCAATCCACCTTTGATTTTATCCATTAATCCAATTCATTGATGCCCTTTCTACATCTATTCATCCTTTTCTATCAGTTATTCACCCATCAATCCGTCAGTCAATCAATCCATCCGCTACATATTATAAACAATCTATACCTATCAACCCATCCACAAATTCAGCTTCTCCACCCATCCATCGATCCCTGTATACTACATAACCAACAATCCATAAGAATCCATTCATCCACTTAACAAGTTCCACCAACAATTTATCCATTCATCCAACTCAATTAATCATCCATATATCCCTGTATACTATATAATTAACAATGCAATCCTGTCTTTTCATCCACTTATACAGCTCCATTATCCATGCACCTCAGACCACCATCCATCCGTCCAGCTGTACTCATCATTCAATCACTATATGCTATATAAACAATAATCTTTCATATGCATTTATCAATCTCTCTCCACCATCCATACCTCCATCCATCAATCCTGCTCTGTTTATCATTCGTCAATCACTGTATACTATATAACCAACATTCCTACCTATCCATTCATCCATCTATCAATCCATCCATCCATCCATCTCTGTCTTTCCGTCAATCCAGCTGTATTCATCATTTATTCATCACTGTGTACTATATAACCAACAATCCACTCTATACATTCATCTCTCCGCCATCCATCCATCCGTCCATCCATCCCTGTCCTTCCGTCAATCCAGCTTTATTCATCATTCATCCATCACTGTGTACTATATAAATCAACATTCCTACCTATCTATTTATCCATCTATCAATCCATCCATCCATCTCTGTCTTTACGTCAATCCAGCTGTATTCATCATTCATTCATCACTGTGTACTATATAAATCAACAATCCTCTCTATCTATTCATAAACCCATCTCTCCATCATCCATCTGTTTATCTATCCGTCCATTCATAAATCCTGCTCTATTTATCACTCATCAATAATCTATACTTTATAACAGACAATTCTCCTTATCCATTCATTTATATATCCGTCCACCATCCATTCATCTATCTATCCAGCACAGTCCTTCCGACAATCCAGCTGTATTCATCATTCATCCATCACCGTGTACTATATAACCAACAATCCTCCCTATTTGTTTATCCATCCATCTTAGTCCACCATCCATCCATCAATCCAGTTGCATTCATCAATCACTGTCTACTATATAACCAAAAATCCTCCTTATTTATTCATCCATCCCTCTCCACCATCCATCCATGCATCCATTTGTTCATCCATTTATTTGTCAATGCTTCTCTATTCACCATTCATCATTAACAGTCTACTTTATAACCAACAATCCTCCCTATTCATCCATCCATCCATCCACTTATACTTTATAACCAGCATCCCTCCTTATCCATTCATTTATCCATTTCTATCCACCATCCATCCATGCATTCATCTGTTCATCGATTAGTCAATGCTATTTTATTCATCATTCAATCAATCACTGCCTACTATATAGCCAACAATCCTCCCTATTCATTCATCCATCCATCCATCCATCTCTCTATTCATTCGTGAATCCTGCTGTATTCATCATTCATCAATCAATGTCTACTCTACAACCCATAAACCTCTTTATCCATTCATTTATCCATCTTTCTCTACCATAAATCTGTGCATCCATCCATTCATAAATCCTGCCCTTTTGATCATTCACCCATTACTTTATAATATATAACCAACAATCCTCCCAATCACCATAAATCTCTATCCACCACCCATCTATCCACCCATTCCTGTATATTATATAACCAAACAATCCATCCAGCCACTTATACAACTTTACCATCCATCTATCCATCATCCATCCAACTCTCCCATTCATTCATCTACAGGTATTCATCGATCTCCAGCCTTTATCTACTCACCAATCTATTGTTCCATGTATAATCACCTTAAGTAAACCTCCACCTCCTCCTTCCTTTTCTATAATTCATCCATATATCTGGATTGACCGCACACACATACAGCAAGACATGTGTTTGCTCACTTAGTGCGGATGTCAGGGTCCTCATAGCCGGAGTGACACATCTCACTAAATCGTGACACAAAGAAATCATAACTACGGTGATACGAAGGGGTGTCCTCCTCGATGTTGGCAAACTTCACAAACTGAAAGAGAAAAAAAATCAGTAAAAAATAATTTGATTACATAACAGACAACCGCAGACAAATCAGGTTAAAATCTCATTTCCTTGAAAAGATGGCTCTACCCAGTAACGGCTAGTGGGTGATTATGAGGTAGCATTATCAAAGATTAAATGCTAATGTGATGTTGTTTTTGTTCTACATTAACCCCAGCCAACAGCACTGCCACCACATCTTCAATATTGGACAATAAAAGCTGACACCTATAAATAAGAACAACATAAGAACAGGCTTCATCTGCATGGAAGCAAATGAACTAAATTAATAACTTTAATGTATTTAGTTAAAAATAAAGATAAGTTCATGAGTAGACATATTCAGATATCCAATAATTAAATATATCATGATAATGAACATTGCAAGGGTGGTGTAGGAAAGGTGATCACAAAAAAAAAAAACGAAAAAAAAGAATGGAATAGGACGTGTGTTTGGATATAACTCAGTTCAGTGCTTCCCACAAGTTTGAAATATAAATGCGGTGGTGGCCGAATTGAAACACACCTTTTATCCACATCACAAATGGTCAACTACAAGCAACAAACAAAAAATACTGTGATTTTTTTACTTTATTTTTATGTATAATGACACTGTTATACACCCTTTCTTTTCAGTGGGTTAAAAAAGGCTGTTAAAATAAAAGACATCCACGTTTTCTCGTACTTTTATGCTATTTAAGAGCCATGTGCACCCACTGAAAGGTAAAGGGTGCTCGCTCTCTCTCTCTCTCTCTCTCTTTCTCTCTCTCTCTCTCTCTCTCTTTCACTCACTCACTCACTCTCTCTTTCACTCACTCACTCTCTCTTTCACTCTCTATAAAGTTGCATAATTGGCGTGACATTTACAGTATTGCCAAAGCATTTTAGATATGTATAATGTAATATATTAACATAATTAAATTAATAAAATATACCGCAAGTGAGAAATATCAGAAAAAAATTTATAAAAATAGACATTATTACTAAAAATTCTTACAATTACTAAAATAAAAAGTGTAGATTATTTAAATAAGACAAATTAGTTGATTAACCATTTCTAACAATTTTTTTTGCAGTCATTATAGATGTCATTTTGTTCTCTCCAAGTATATGGTAAAGTTTATCTGAGTCATTTATTAAATGATTAATTGTTTAATGCTTCTCTCGCAGCTGCGCGCACAGCTGCGAAAAGGTAATGCAAAAACGCATGCAAATAACGGCAATTTTATTCAGCGAAAGTAAAACCTGAATGCCGGACAATTAGAAGATTCAGAAATTACTGTTGGATGTATTTTGGTAGAATAGGTGTGTCTCTGCAGAGCAAGTGAGAGTTTCTGCGTGAGTGACAGATCGCGCACACACAGAACCAGCAGTAGGAAACATGCAGAGCGAGAAAAGATTTTCCACTGGTTAATCGATTGCGAATGTTTGTTTTTTTTGGGTGGATACAAAAGTGTAAAAGGATGAAAATAATAGTATTATTCATGTGTCACCACAAAATATACTAGGGCAGCCGTTAATATACCTGGGCGGCCAGCGCAAGTAAAGACTATGTGTGGGAAGTACTGCAGTTTTTTGACCACATTTCATTATTAGTGTTCATTTATTCGTTTGCTGGAAATTAGAATCAAATCATTTGCATTTAACAAATGAAAATAATGGATGTCTTCAGTGGAGTGCGTACAACACCGTTTCCTTATCCACAAAAGAGAGAAAGTGAAAGAGAAAGTAAAGGCCGATTGGAGGAGGCTGGTTCTTTTTCCTTGCGCTGCAGATGATCTGTTTAACGGTTTTCTGGCTAGTGAAATGTTCATGCTTTCCTCTTACAAAGTCTGCCATGTAAATAGCAAATGCAGCATGGCTCTTACATGACTCTTAAAGGGAATGGGAGACTGGTTGATTGCATGTTATGCTCAAAACACACCCATAACTCATTAAGAGAATAACCACAACCCTGTTAGACCATGCCCCACATTGAAAAGTGGATTTTTTGTCCTCAAAATATCAAAAGTGGATTCAGACTTTATGCTTTTGTGCCATGTACTTTAGACTTTGCGCCTACATGGTTAAAATGAAGCTCTTAATAACATTAATTCTCAGCCTTGAGTCAGGTCTAAGACAAACAGATAATTCTATAAAAATGTATTTTATTTTATAGAATGGTCATAATTAATATTCATGCAACATATTTCTTAGCATATCACTTCATTTTTGTCCTTACATTGTTTTCCGGTTTCATTTAGGATGGATTTCTGTTATTTAACATATTCTGTTATAGTGCCAAGTTATGGGGTAGTTCGCCCAGGATGCCATTTAAGCTAGAACCGCTACTAGTCATGAGAGACATTTTTGAGTGCGTATAAACCAATAATTACTCACATATACTTTTACAGATTCATATATTTGAAATGCTGCGAATGAGCTACAGAGAATTCTCACTGTATTTGTTTCAGACTAAAAAAGGAAGCTAATCTTTTAACATTTGACAGGTTTTAGCTATTTAAAGTCATGTTCACGGTGGCCATGAATAAAATAAAATAAAAGGCCCTAATATAGAAACGGTAGGAAGCTGATGAATGAGATCCTGCCACCTAGATGATTTAATGACTCGTTTTTAAACTAATGCCTACATATCAAATCTGCATTAATGAATAATATCTGCGTAAACTACACATCCTTACAGTATGTGATTAGGCATTTGCAGAACCAAGTGAGCATTAACTAACTCTTCTCTGTCCTAAAGCATTTCCAGGTTAATAGGTAAAACGGCACTGAAAAATGAATCAGTTTAAAAGGGGATTCTATATACGATGTGATTTCTGCTAGTGTATGTTTGCATGTATTGCTTTCCGCAATTTATTTATTTATTTTTTCATTTTGACCTATAATTTATGTTCATGTCCGAATGTGTTTAGATGGATGGACTCCATTGTGTTTATGCTTGTTTATGGCTCATCTCAAACATCATTTTTATATATTTTATGTTTTTAAAAACCTTTAATGCACAAGGTCTAAAATACATAACATTCAATTTTGGTCATATTTTACACTTTCACAATCAGAATGCTTCATTATAAAAGGACAGTTCACCCAAAAATGATTTACTTAAAATTCTGTCATGATTTACTCAACCTTAATTCGTCACAGACCAGTTTGACTTTCTTTTTTCTGTCAAACGCAAAATAAGACATCATGAAAAATGTTAGAAACCTGTAACCATTGACTTCCATAGTACACTATCTGACAAAAGTCTTTGGTATCAAAAGTGGCTTATATGAAAGGCAAAGGCCTCTAGATTATGCTCATTTTACCAAAATAAAATTTGATCATGCCTTGATTTTTAATTACTTAATTAGAACAGTAAGGTCTGACTATGCTTGGACAAAAGTCACTTTACAGAAATAATGTACACTATATAATATAAAGTCATGGTGTAGTGAAAAAAGAATTAATATTGTGTATGACTCCCATGATATTGGATGACTGCATTCATACATCTCTGCAATGACTCAAATAACTTATTAATAAAGTCATTTGGAATGGCAAAGAAAGCGTTAACCTCTTTAATGCCTCCTCCTCCATCTTACCCCAGACATGCTCAATAATGTTCATGTCAGGTGACTGGGCTGGCCAATCCTGGAACAATCCTTGACCTTCTTTGCTTTTAGGAACTTTGATGTGGAGGCTGAAGTATGAGGAGGAGCGCTATCCTGCTGTACAATTTGCCTTCTCCTGTGGTTTGTAAAGTAATGGGAAGCACAAATGACTTGATACCTCAGGCTGTTGATGTTTTCATCCACTCTGCAGATCTCTCGCATACTCCTATAATGAGTGTAACTCCAAACCTTGATTTTTCTTTCACCCAACTTAAAAGATTTCTCTGAGAATCTTGGGTCCATGCGGGTTCCAGTAGGTTTTCTGCAGTATGTGTGTTGATTGGCATGCAGTCCCAATCATCTTGTGCCACTTCTTCTAATGATCAACTAGAAGTCAAGTTATTATTAGTTGTTCCTACAACTGAGATCACTGACAAGAATTTTGTCAGGAGGTGTAGTAGGAAACACAAATACTATAGATGTCAATGGTTACAGGTTTGTATCATTCTTCAAAATAACTTCTAAGGAAAATCAAAGTTATGGAACCACTGAATACTGAAAGTACATTTAAATTTTTTTTTTTTACATTTTACGGAAATTAAAGCAACACTTGATGCAGTTTGGTGTAGACATACAACAGTGTGTACGTACTGAATTTGTTCCTAGGATTTGCAGGTTGGGTTTGTCAGCTTCCAGGAGTTTTCGCACCATCTTTAAAAAACTCTCTACAAACAGGTTGATACTCTGACAGTGACAGGCCATTAGAAGCTGGTCAAGAGCTTCCATTGCAATACACACATACCTGAAAAGACAAACACACACTCAATACAGGAAGTATCAAGAGTGAACTCAATACCAAGAGTGATAAGAAAAAAATTCAGATCGGTCATGTTATGAATTTTGTTACCCATATCGATGTCTAGCTACGTCACGGGACAGTCTTTCAGACAGGTATGCACCGATCCGATCCAGCTTCTCTGGAGCTGACAGGGCATAGAAAGTCAGTTTCTCCATGTTGGCCTTGACCAAGCCATCCTGTACACACAGATAACAACACCACACACAAGTATCAATATCATGACCAGAGCAGACTAGGAATTACATATATTGTTGAGTGGATATATTGTTATCAGAATATGACATGACTTGTATCGCAAGATGAGATTTTTGACATATCGCCCAGCCCTATTTGCTATATAAAAAATGTTTGAGAAACTGCAGAAGTACATTATTGGTCAAAAGTCTGGCATCATCAAGATTTCTGGATGATTTTGATGGAAATCTGTAATGTGGAAGATGATTATTGCAATGCAAAACCCTGCTGGCTTTAAACCACACTGAACATGACTAATGAACTGAGCTACCGCAGCTCAAATGCTGACCAACGAGAGTCAATGGAGACATTTCAGATATCTCAGCTTTTCCACTGGGCGCTTTTTAAGAAAATAACATAAAATGGTGTTAAACTCAGCAAAGACTGGGAGTCGATGGGTTTCTGGCTTGCTTCCTCACGACACCTGCTTAGGTAATTGCCAGTTACACACTAAATGCACTTTCTTTTAAGTGGTCTCGGAAATCAAGCATCTGCCAAGAGCATGAATGCAAATGTAAATAAGCGGTTGGAGAGGAGAAACGAGGGCTGTTTGACTGTAAATAGACTCTATGTGATGCTGTAAAAGAATGGAGTTGAGAGAAAGAGAGAGAGGGAATGTTCTCACCTCCGGGTCTTCCGGAAAGATGTTATCCACCAGTCTCTTGTAGCGAGGCCTCAGCGCTCCACAACAACCGCACACCCCTGCAGAGAAAAAAGAAAATGGTTATGTATTATTTTCTAGAAGCAAAGTGCCATTGATTTTAGGAAGACATTAGATTTTCGTGCACAAATGGTAACTTGAATTTTGGGTCTGGTATTGTCTTCAACACCACAGGAGGTATTAAAAATATTCTCAATTTTTTTGTGTGTGTACTTAATATATGTATATATACAAATATTTATTTACATTTATTATTTATTAGGGCTGCACAATGTTGTCAAAATCTGACATTGCAATATTTTGGTTTTCTGTAATATATATGATTAAAATTTCAGCAGATGGCTTGAATAGCTTTATTTGGAAAGAAATAATTAATTTAGAATGATTGTGGTGATTTTGTAAGGGTTTAAATCATGTATGAAAAAATAAACAAATTGCAAGCAAAATAAATACAAAGAAGCTAAGAAAAAGTCAAATAAACAGTGCTTTAGAGTTTTCCGGAAAGTCAAACTGTTATCAGGTACTGAAATTGAATAATTAAATGTAAAATATAAAATAACACTACATAAGTCGTCTTTAAATTTCCTCATTAAATTTAAAAATATTGTACATTTTTGTGCCTGAATGCTCTTGAAATGCCTTTAAAACACAAGCAAATCATAAAATTTCACTCTGCTATGGTTATGATTTGCGATGACTCCACAAATCTCATGTATTCTCAGCTGTGGTGCTGATCCATAATTCTAACTCAACATTGCAAATCCTGCAATGTGACTATTGTGGATATATATATATATATATATATATATATATATACACACACACACACAGTTTAAATCAGAATTATTAGCCCCCGTTTTCCCAAATTTCTGTTTAATGGAAAGAAGTTTTCTTCAACATGTTTCTAAACATAATAGTTTTATTAACTCCTTTTTAATAACTGATTTATTTTATCTTTGACATGATGACAGTACATAATATTGGACTAGATATTTTTCAAGACACTTCTATACAGCTTGAAGTGACATTAAAAGGCTTAACTAGGTTAATTAGGCTGGTTTTGGTAATTAGGCAAGTTATTGTATAATGATGGTTTCTTCTATAGACTACCGAAAAATATATATATAGCTTAAAGGGGATAATAATTTTGTCTTTAAAATAGAAATAAAAAAAATAAAAACGGCTTTATTCTAGCCGAAATGAAACAAATAAGACTTTCTATTATTAAACTATTATGTTTATTACGTTCTCTCCGTTAAACAGATATTGGGGGAAAAATAAACAAAGGGTTAATAATTATGACTTCAACTGTGTGTATGTATATATATATATGTATATATATATATGATGTTTTGTGAGACAAGGTAAAATCCCTTCGCCATATGGTGAACCCTGCTGTTACTAATTGTCTCTATATTTATTATTATTATTATTATTATTATTATTATTATTATATTTGCTGATTCAAATTCAATTAAAAAACATTTAATTAAAAAATTATGTTTTTAATTTTGTATATTTTAATAGTATTTAAAATAAATGCATATTTTCCAAGTCTGAAATTAAATTAAATTAAATTAAATTAAATTAAATTAAATTTAATTAAATTAAAATATAATAATTATAGACCTGGCAAAAATTCTTGGCACCGTTTCATTGAAGAAAACAAAAATAGTAGTCACTTGAACCTGAAAAACATAATGATCAAAAATTAATAAATTAAACTAATGAAAATCAAATATTGTTTTCTAATTGTGGCTCAACCAAAGCATTAAAAAGGCAAACTAATGCACCAACAGTTTTGTCTACACATATGTATATTTAAAGTATATATATATGTATATACTTTCTCTTCTTTTTCTCTTTTCTTCTTTTTTGCCTCTCATATCTCCTAACATTCTTTCAATCCACTTAGTTCGTTTACTCCTTTACACCATGACACATCTTCACAGACAGACAGACACAATAAAGTCTCATTCACAATACAAGTGGCTCGCAGTGGCAAAGCGACAAACGACCATTCATTTCAACGGAGAGTGAGCGACTTCCGGCGACTTCCATCTAATGACATCGACCATTAGCGACCAGGTAGGCGTGTCGAGCAACGCGACAAAGTTGAGTATTAACTTTATGCAAATGAAGAGCGACTTTCTTGAGTGACAGCCAATAGGAGCAACAGTAAAGCTCACGTGACCCTTTCTTAGCTCGCTCAGAGGTCGGTTGTTTTCATGCTGTAGACCGTTTACAGCAGGTCGCCACCCAGAGCGACAGGCAGCTTTATGCCTCATTCACTGCTAGTGTGAATGAGCCATAAATTATGTTGAATTTTGGCAGTCAGTTTATGTTTAATTGTATGTTTATGAGGTTAAAAAAAAGCGTTCTCATGGCAGTATGCAACCTGCTTACCATATTATAAACAGTTAATATTTCTTGTGGCCCTCTTTAATATCTATCATTACTGACTGAGCATAACATGAGTCAATATTCTAATTAGTATTTTCTAATAACAGCCACGTTTCTAGAAACGGAGAGCATAACCTTGGATCATTAGTGTGAGTCAACATGGGAATAAAAGCGAACGTCAAACCATTAGCGCAACTTCAGTTATTGAGGACAATGTTGACATGGCACCGTGTGGGCTTGAGGACACTTCATAATGAAGGTCAAAAATGGCACAAGCTGCATCTTGTCAAACCCAGACAGCCTTGAGGACAGAGCAACACAGAAATCATTGGTTGCCAATATGCAGTGGGAAATCTGCAATCTGATTGGCCAATGCATCTCAGCAGTGATGAGTCACACGTGTCCCACTGAACTATGTGATGGCAAGAAAAATGAAGTTCTGGAGGCAAGCATAACTTACTTGAAGTGTTTTTCTGCACATCACTATATGGTATGATCTGATCAAAATCACTTTTTAAAATAACACACACACACAAATAAAAACAGATTTCATGCAGATCTGGCTCAAGTTGAGAGCTGAAAGACCTTAATCTCTGAACGACGTCACTGAGGGGAAAGAAAATCTTCAGATCTGCGAATGCTTTTTCTGATCGGTTACGCTAAAATGAATGTTGGAGAGCCAAGGCTTCTCTATTTTTAGCTTCTGCTCCATTTTAACTTCAAAGAGAAGCTTTACTTCCCGGCTCAACTTATCTATTGCCTTCAACGTCCCCGTTTATGTAGAACCCAATTAAAACATGTTAAACGCTCATGTTATTTCTAACACACAGGACTTCCTTCCTTCCTTCCTTGTAGCCCAGAATGGTTGAGCTGTTCTTCTGGAGCAATTCCATGCAAAATCAACCTTCCTATGAAAAACCAAAATAGCAAAACCTTTTGACGTTTTTTGTGCAAGCAAATATTATACAGTACTGTTAAACTACTTAATTTTTGAATAATACAAACTCATCTAAGAGTGTATTAGGAAAAGTGTATGATATTTTACATTAAATTGTAATGCCTTACTTGGGTGTCATTTGTTAATTTATTATTATTATTATTATTATTATTATTATTATATGTGTATGTATGTTTTTTGTTATTGTTTGGTTTGTTTGTTCCTTTTTTGTTGTTGTTGTTTACTTTATTTTCATCTCAATATGGGTTAGAGAGTAAGGAATGTTTAATTACCACTCAGTATTTCTTTTCTGAACATTGTGAAAATAATGTATTATGGTTTTTCTTTCCCTCACTTGTAATGCCTCTCTGATTGAGAATTGTCAATAAAAATAGTTAAACTAAAAATACTTAAAAATGTCTCTGTCAAAACTATTATATTTGATTCACCAAAGTCACACAGGCGCAATTCCACATCTGTCACATCCATAATCCAGAGGCATAACATTCATAACGAAGCTTTTTTCTCATAAATGCAAAAACATAAAATAAAATTAAATCAGTCAATTTTATTCTATAATGAGCCAGCTCTTAAGCTTTTGATTAGCATTGTTTCTTTTGGGTTGTGCAGTTTAATTCACAGAATTTCTACAAAATAGGTTGCACACCATAAACTTGCTAACTTTATTAGTCACATCCATAAAGCACTTTTATTTTCCTCATTTAAAATAAAAAAATATAGTCACCGATGGATATTTTCCTAATCTCATCATTAGTCGTTTTGGAAAATATAAACAGATGTTTCAATATAATGTTAAAATATACTATCTATGTTCTGAATTTTTACTGCAAATTTATCATCCATAACAGTGGAGTTGCCCATACAATGAAAGAGAAGTAGTCATTATTTTACTGAAATGAGCTGATCAATAAAATTATTGCAGTACATGTCTATTATTGCAATCAATATGCCTTTTTATGTCAACATGATTTATGAATGTTACAAGCTGATGTTATTTCTGCTGTGCAACACCAAAGAATACTGAATGTTTGAGCTGTTCATTTGAATACAACTCAAGTGAAAGTGTCGTTATTCAATTAAATTTAAGAATTTCCCACATTTTATATTATTTTTGACAATTCAGTACAAAACCATGAACAAAATCCATTTCGAATTTATTTCAAGCTCTTTCAAGGACCTGTGTTTGTTTTCAAATGCTTTCCAGGCCTTGAATCCATATGTCTGAAATGTGGGTACTTTTAAGTATACTTTCCAGAAGTGTAGGAACTACATTTATATTTTATTTTATATTAAATAATCAGTGGCTTAAAAATGGTATTTAAATGTAGAGCTGCGCAATATTGGAAAAAATACTTTGTTTTTCTGTGTTGTTGATTGCAATATGAATATCGTTTCACCAAAAAACTATTTTTGAGGGGTTTGGGTAGGAAATCCTAATTTTACATTGATTGGGATGGCTTGGTGTGGAGTGTATCTGCATAAAAAATTATAATATATGAATATATTTCATCATAAGCAACAAAGAAAATCATAGAACAAAGATAAAAATGAAATAAACAGTGTGTTATGGTTTTAAAAGTATTAAGATACAGAAAATCATTAGTAAAATGTAAAACAAAAAAGACATGGTATATTCTTTATTGTATAAATAATTAAACTAGGGTTGAGCGATAAAGCAAA